TCCCGTGTGCTTGGCCATCTGCATCTGATGATGCGCCAGAGAGTTCGCCTCTTGAGCCAGGGTGGTCATGGCTGCACGATCCTCGGCAGACATCCTCTGAAAAAAGGGTTCTGCTTTCTCCCAGAGAATTTGCTGGTACGCTCCCATACAAGCCCCATAGTTCGCCATGCGGGCCAGTAAGAGGGCACCGGAGTAAAGCTTCCTGCCCACTGCGTCGAATCTCTTCCCCTCACGGTCGGACGGCGCCGACGACTGTCTTCCGAACCCCTGAGCCGCTTTCACGACCACCGAGTTAGGGTCGGGATGGTGTTTCAGCCACTCCAAGCCCTCATCGTCCGTTCTGTACCAAGATTCAATTTTCTTGGAGGTTGGAGGGATGGAGGAGGGGGTCTTCCAGGAGCCCTGGATCACTTCAAGGAGATAGGGAAGGAAGGGTAGAAGAGGAGCGGGTGGGGACTCCGCTTGCACCCTTTTAAACACTGGGTCCAGCACTGCCTTGGAAGTTTGCTTGACCTCCAGGCTTAGAGCATCAGCCATGCGAGCCATTTGATCCGCAAAGGCTCGGACATTGTCAGTGGGAGATGGAGGGTCAGCCTCATAGGCGTCGTGGGTAGGTGATCTCTCGATCCCGAGGGACAGCACCGATCCTGAGTGTACCGATCCCGGTAACTCGCCATCTTCCTCTTCATCGTCAGCAGCCAGGGATCGGGGAGGAGGGGATGAAGAGACATCCCGACTCGGAAGCTGCAGAGGAGCCACTGGGGGAGCTTTTGAGGCCGAGGCCTGAATGGCACGGGCCAGTCTCATAGTTTGCCTGCCCCTCTCCGGAGTCTCCAGCACTGGAGAAGTCTCCTGTCTGGCTGTCACAGTAGTCAAAGTCGTGACCGACGGGAAGAGCTCCTGTCTGGCTGTCACATGTCGAGTTGGTGCCTCGATCACCGTGTCCACCGAGATCACCAGGGACTCGGGCTGCTCCGAAGGCTGCTCCGGCAAAGGCTGCGGCCCCTGAACAGGCTGTGGAGCCAGCTGGGGTTCAGCAGGCTGCGACGGAGATGACCTCGCCGACGAGGTGGCCGAGGAGGCAGTGGTTTGCTTTCGGGAAGAAGAAGAAGATGAGGATGGAGGCGGCATCATCTTCTTCTTCTTTGCCGGCGGCTGAGCAGACTTTGACACCGACTTGCCCGGGGTGGGCGGGACGGAGGATGAGGTGGAAGCGCGCCAAGACTCTTCTTGAGACCGGCGAAAGGCAATGCGAACCGCCGTGGAAGATGGCGGAGTCGCCGACGTCGACCTCGTGGACCTGATCGATCTCACCGTCGCCACCGAGCTGGTCGACGAGTGTCGGATGCGTACGGTCTCAGTAGTGACCGTGCATGGAGCCTTCTGTTTCGTAGGCTTTGCAGTCTTAGAAGCTGCCGACACTGAGGCCTTCGAGGTCGTTGACATAGCTGCTCTCGGCCTTTTCTGTGCGGCCTTCTTCGCCCTTGTTTGGCGAGGCTCGGCCTCCGTCGAGGGATCGACAGATGTTGTTGTCGATGCCTTCGACGTCGAAGCTGATGTCGAAGGCCTGGATACCGCGGCTGACGTCGACACCGATGTCGAAGTTGAAGGTACCGGAGCCAACGTCTGCTGGTACAGAAGGTATCGAAGCCGATGGACCCGGTTCTTACGGGACTGTGCCGTCAATGATTGACAATGACGACACGAGGAGGTGATATGTGCCTCTCCGAGACACAAGAGGCAAAGAGCGTGCTTGTCCGAATCAGGGATCTTCCTCGGACAATTCGCGCATCTTTTGAAGCGAGTTGTTGACATAATACAGTCAAACAACTTGAGTAGAACTCTAAGTAAAACTCTAAGGATCACTATCCAACACAATCCAACACTAGAAGTACCGAAGCGAGCCGTGCGGCGGAAAAAAAGGAATTGGATCGGTGTGCGCGGGGCGCCCTTTTATCCCCTGCCGGGGCTGGGTGGGGTTACCGCCAAAACTTCAAAAGTTTTAAAATGAAGAAGTTTCCGTTGGAGCCCGTGCAGGCGCAGTCTCTCCACAAGTGTGCATTCGCAGAGACCACGAAGAAAAATGTAATTTTTCTGCTTCTTGGCAGGGAATTGGACTGGATGGCCAGCGAGGTCTCTTCCAACTCTATAATTCCATAATTCTATGAACTACTGTAGAGAAGTGTTTATTATAAAGGGTTTATTGTACTGTGTTTAAACTGTATTTATGTTTTACATGCGNTCAGCTCCAGCTTCTCATGCAGGGACATGAGAGAAGCCTCCCACAGGATGGTAAAACATCAAGGCATCCCCTGAGCAACATCCTTGCAGACAGCCAATTCTCTCACACCAGAAGTGACTTGCAGTTTCTCAATTTGCTCCTGACATGAAAAAAAGTCATTTGCATGAATGAGACTATTTTAGTAACCATTTAATCTCTGGATATAATACCCTTGAATATGGAGGGCCAACTGTATTTTACCTGCCCTACTTATGTTTATATTTTACGTGCCTTCCTTTTTCATACAGAGGCTTTGGAAACAAGGGGGACAACGGGGGGAGTATTTATGTCCTGAAAAACCCTTTTCTAGGGCCCTTCCGCATAACCATATGACCCACAATATCAAGGCAGATAATCCACAATATCTGCTTTGAATTGAGGTTCCTTCCATACAGTTGAATAAAATCCCACATTATCTGCTTTGAACTGGAATATATGGCAGTGTGGACTCAGATAACCCAGCTCAAAGAAGATATTGTGGGATTTTCCACCTGGGTTATATAACTGTGTGGAATGGCCCTGCATTATCTGAGTCCACACAGCCATATATTCCATTTCAGTGTGGATTTTATATAGCTGTGTGGAAGCAGCCCTAAAGTTCCACCATTTGACCAACAACACTGCCACACTAAAGTGTCAATTCCTTCGTGGCCTTCTACCTACCTTCCAAGGAGCTTGGCCTCACCACACTCAGGAGAAGAAGAAAAAAGAGTGATATTCCCAGCTATAGATTCAAAAGCATGATTATGAAAGAGGTTGAATCTCCAGAGATCTAGACTGAGATTTTATAGTAAAGGAAGGGCACATCTCTGTTGTGGGAAAGCACTGGCTTAGTTTTACTTGTTTTACTTGTTTTTAAGTTTTATATAGGATTTTTATTGTAGTAGACATCTGTGTGAATACCAAAATTCCATTATTTTTTTCAAATACAGACAGAGGGAGGAGGAGGGGGGAGGAGGAGGAGGAGGAGGAGGAGGAAAAAGAGCTGCCACTGTCACCTGGTTATGGAACCTACATTCCTTTAGTGCGGATTATGATAAATAGGTGGCATATTGCTTTTAGGGTGCTTTGGTACTCTAAACAAATTTGCGCAGAAGTGACATATTTGCTCCATGGCAAAGAAGATGTCTGAGCAAGGGCATGGTTGACAAATTTCTTTTGGAGTGCATTACAGAGATGCTTTTTGCTTAAGAAGGATGACAATAAATTGCATGTTGATGTACATGCAAATCTTTGTACTTGGATGGGATCATAGAACTGTATTGTTTGATTTTACAGTTTAAAAATGTACCATTTTAAAGAAGCATAGTTAAGGAGTGTACTGGGTTTCTTTTTTCAGCAGGGAGGATGGGAGGATCTTGATGGTACTTGCCCATTCACTGCACTCCTGTGAAACAGATGGAGCTTGCTGGAAAATGTTTTAGTATCAAAATACAAATCATACTCCTTTGTCATTTCATCTTTGCCTCATGTATATAGTTTTGTTAAGATTCTTTGCAACATGATTAACAAGCCATGCCATTTTTAAAGGATGTGCCTTCAAGACAGCTATCTAACTGCGATAGGTGAAGTGAAATCATGGTATCACTGCCATCTGAAAAATTTAGGATAAGAGATACTTCTCTCCCTGTCCAGAAGTGTTTAATTTTTGACATCTGAATCTGGTAATCTGTCACTACAGTGAATCCTGTCTGGAATGTATTGCTTAGACATTTTTAGAGTGGAAGACTTTCTTAGGATGGCTCTCTTGGGACATTCATGTGTAGAAATTTATTATTTTTGCTGAGAGTTGTTATAGTTGACAGTCCACTTTTTTCCTCCCATCATTTGTCAGTTATCTTAACCTATAACATTGTCAAACCAATTTTGTGGAAAAAGATAAAATGAAAAAATTCCAGTCCTCTGAATTGCATTGTTGATTTGCTAGGTGAGAAGTGCTTTATAGGAATGGTATAACCCCAAAACATACATATGTTTCCTGTGGATTGTCTATATTTATTGGGTCCACATATTTTCCCTTAAATTGAAGTTGCCACATTAAAGGGAGTCAACCAATGGCTTAAAGAGCTATTGCCAATCAAAAGAGCACCAAGCCAGATAGACTTGAGTTGAAAGTGTGAGTCAAGTGACAGTTAAGTACATGTTTAATATTGTCAAGAACATAAAGTTTGAAAACCTGTCTTGAATAATTTGTATACATTGGCTCTCTTTCTAAAAGTATTAATATTGTATTTTGTGAAAATATGGCAGATGATAAACATTTTCACACACTTGCCTTCATATATTATAATTCTGTAAATGCACTTTCAGTATGGATAGAAATGTAATAATTATAATGATACATTTATCACAGTATCAGGTTTAACTGTTTATATTTTCACCGTTCTAGGGTCCTCCAGGTGTTCCAGGACTTCCTGATTCCTTTAAAGGCCCATATTATCAGGTATGGACACTCAATTCTCATGAGAAACACAATGCAATCCTGAGGGATTATCATCCAAAAACAGATCAGCAGGTTAAAGCAACAAACATTTTGGCTCCTAATAATGATCTTTCCAGTAGGGTCTGCCTATTATTTCCTTTGGGTCTGAGACTATCTTAGGGTACCTTTGGAGCTCAGAATTGTCTTGGTAGCTGGGGTGACTTATTCTGAACCGAGAAAAATATACCTACTTGGACTCAGCTTCTTCCTACTAAAAGCAGCCTGGTTCTCCTCATTCTGCCCTTATGAGTTCATTCTAATTCTTATTTGGTAAACTCTCTGTCAACATAACCCAATAGTCAAGTTCCAAGGGGTTGATATATATCAACTTAACCTTCCTTCTTTGTGCAGAAAATATGGTATTCTGTCATTAATTCTGTTGCAATCTTGGTGAATGACCCAATTTCATTTTTAAAATAACAACAACAACAACAGCAACAACAAGGGTTTAAAGATTGAACTGCAAAGACTCTGGCACAAGCCAGCCCCTGGTGACTGGCTCCTTGCAGACTTGGGCCCTGACTGCCTGGCTGAGGCAAGGCCCAGCAGAAACACCTGCTGCCTCCTGAGGCTGGGCCATAAAAGGAGGATGCTAGTGGAGGACCAGTCATACAGCACCATCCAAGACAGCCAAGAAGACCTTGGGTCATTGGTTCTCAGCCTGTGGGTCCCTGGGTGTTTTGGCCTGCAGCTCCCAGAAATCCCAGCCAATTTGTTGGGATTATTGGGAGTTGGTGCATCTGGGGTCCCTTGGATTGGGAAGCACTGCCTTAGGATCATGAAAGGGGAAAGGGGAGGCTTAGATGTATGTTGTACGCCGCTCTGAGTCCCCTGAGGGGTGAGAAGAGTGTGATAGAAATAAACAAACAAACAAACAAATAAATAAATAAATAAGGTGGTCCCTGGGTGCAGTGCCTAAAGACCTTGGCCTGCACTTAAACACAATCGGCGCTGACAAAATTACCATCTGTCAGCTGCAAAAGGCCACCCTACTGGGATCTGCACACACTATTCACCGATACATCACATAGTCCTAGACACTTGGGAGGTGTCCAACGTGTGATTCAATACAACCAGCATAGTGATCTTGTTTGCTGTGTACTAATTTTGTTGTGTTTCTAATAATAATAATAGTGATAATAATAATAGTAATAATTACAACAACTTTAAATTTATCCTGCTCCCTCTCCCAGAGAGCATCAGGGCAGTTTACAACAATATAAAATCACAAAATATATAATAAAACAAATAAATATTTCAAATTAAATACACGACCAACAATAACCAATTACAGAATACCATACTTGTCTTGCTATGTGCACGATGCCTCTTCAAAAAAACTATTTTTGTGTTCATTACACACACTTGCACAAATGCAAGCTTGTGTGCTATTTGTGCATTCAGTAACTGATTCCAGCTTCTGTTATGCATATCTTGGTAGGTTATAAATTTTACTGTTTCAAAATATTGTTCCACTAGTTTTGAGTTATTTGAAGGACTACTTTCAAGATGTTCTCTAATCCATTATATGTATGAAAAACTAATTAAAGTGGAAGTCCTTCTGCTCTTTGTTGTGTACATTTGCTTCCTATAATCACTCTTGGTAGACTTGGCATCAGTTTTAGTAGCTTCCTAATTCCACATAATTTAAGATTAACTGCATAGCAGGTGACATGAACCACAGTGGAGGTCCTCAGGGTTTGATATGTATCTGTCTGCAAGATTCATATTTCTTGCTCCCATGAGACTCTACAAATTCCTAGCTCCTATCGTGTTTCCCAGTTAATATCTCCTGGCAAAATGTGAGCCAGCTGTTTTGCCTGCAAGAAATTAATCATCTTTTAAATCCTCTTACAGTATACCAACACACTTCTCCTTTCAGCTGTCCAGTGAAAACCATGTAATGACTTATTCTCAAGCAAGAAACTTACAAAAAAACAAGTGCTAAGTTTAGTTTTTCAGATGATGGCTCACTCGTTTAAATTACAGATTTAAATAGTTAGACTCTCTGGAACCAGAGTTTCAGCTTGCAACAGGGCTGATTCTTCAAGTCCTATAATGCAATAAGTGTTCAAACCTATACATTGTGTTAGGAGAGTTCAGAAAAAGCTATGTTTAGATATTGGAAATATAAGAAATAAATATTTATATGCTTCTCTTATCACTATTTTACTTTTAATGTCAAGGATTATTTCTCAGCATTTATCTTAATTGATCATTTGTTTACAATACAATATATGTGTATGAGAAAAGGGGAGAAACCCTTATTTTTCACAGATATCATCTTGGATTCATCTTGGATTCTATTATTTTTGAATTCCCCAAATTTATTTAAAATGAGTGTGATAGGAATTAAGATAATCCATTTAAATAACTATAAGTTAGAGCTCTGGCACTTTTATTTATTTATTGGTTTTAAGGTTAGTTCTCCCTGCCTGTGGATTAAACCACTGAGCTCCTGAACTTACTAACCRCAAAGTCAGCGGTTTGAATCCAGGGAGCGGGGTGAGCAAGGCCATAGACAGAGGCTGGGTTCGGGGGGGGGGGGGTTAAGGGTTAACCCCCCCAAAAAAAAACCTGGTTTACTAGTGAATTTTAAATGGTTAACTAATTTATGAGTAAACCAGGTTTCTAACACATTTCAGGGTGGGGTTGAACTTTTAACCCTTCCGGCTATGGCCCTGGGGGTGAGCTCCCACAGTAAGCCCTAGCTTTTGCCAACCTAGCAGTTCGAAAACATGCAGTCATGTTCAATAGGTACTGCTCTGGTGGGAAGGTAACGGTGCTCCATGCAGTCATGCCGGCCACATGACCTTGGCAATGTCTACGGACAACGCCAGCTCTTTGGCTTAGAAATGGAGGTGAGCACCACCCCCAGAGTCAGACACAACTAGACTTCATGTCAAGAGGAAAACTTTACCTTTACTCCCTGCCTTGGTATGTGTTTCGTGTTAGACAGGAGAAGACCAAATCTTAAAGGGATGCAGACTCACTTCCCACTATTTACTTAACATATTCTTTTACATTGCTATGTATGCAATAATCATCTCCTTCCTCTCTTCATATCTTCAGTACTTTGGGTACAAGATTTGCTCATCTCTGGTTGAGAAGAACAAATGTTGTCTGTTTTATTATTACTTCCCACAACCAGTTTGGTATGTTTCGCAAATTAGCGCTTTAGATCACATATATAGGTTCTTCCTTTAGCCAGTTACCTTGTAATTTGAAGCACACATCTTTGCCATTGTTACTTTGAATATGTTCACACAGATCATTTTCTCTTCTATATGCAAACTCAGTTGTGTGATAAAGGGAGCCAGTGAACTGGAACATTTCCATTAGAATACATTTCCAATATTTAAACTTTATATACATTCTGAAAATCTTATCTCCCCTTCCCCCTCCCAATTCAATTTTAACCATCTGGTGTAAAGGAATGATATTTCAATTGTGAACTTAATGAGGAAATAGAATGTGCAGTGTTATGAAAATACACTCATGATCAATGCTGTGTGTTGAAGAGCTTGGTTAAAGAACTTCAAAATGCTTGGTAGCATTTTAGGTGAGTAATTATGTTTACTGCTTCCCCGTCTGTTCATTTAGAAACAATAAAAGAACCAGGCTCAGATATGCTAAAGTGAGGCATAGTCCTCATACGAAGGCCAGACTTTTCAAAGAAGTAGAGAAGGAGGAAGCACAAGTAAGCCACAGTGAGTCCTATTCAGTTGTGTGCCTCTTCCAGAGGAGGATACAGTGTTGATGGGATGGAGTCCCTGACTTTCCAGCAACCTTCTGTTCAAGTCTTCTCCAGAAGAGTGGAACACCCTCTGGAGCTGATTTGAATGAGGTAGAAGATAAATGAGCATTACATTGAGCAAATGGAAGTCTCTTCATATGTTAGGTGGAATCAATAATTTCTACTAGTTCTGTTATAAAACCATCTCTAGTTTTCACATGCTGCAGTTCACAAACCAGGCTCCTGCGAAGCCTGTGCGGTGGGTGACCACCAGAGATACTCCAGAAGCTTTGTATTCTTCCTCTTTTCATCTTTCAAGTTGACAGTGCGTACAGCTCAAGAGGTCTGTGCTGTTCTCATTGCTTTCCCATCAATTTCCCCATCTTGCCTCCCTTTGCTTCCCTCTCAACCTGAGCCAGATCAGGGCAGGTGAAGCCAGAACATCCTGCTGGAGCCTCTTCCTGCTGCTGTTCTCTTGTTCTCCTCTTCAGCATGAAGTCACTTTGATTCCTTGCCTGCCTAAACCCATTTGGTTGAGCTCTCTGTGTCAGAGCAATAATATAATAGTCATCACAAACATGTCTTTTTTCCTCCCTGCTTAAAGTTCATATGGAATCAAGCATTCCTATTTTTCTGCAGTATAGCAAATGACAAAAGTTGAGGCCATGTAGTATACAAAGAATTCAGCTACAAATTGCTGAAACTCACTGAATGACTTTGGGCCAATTAATCTCCCTGCTTTGTGTACCTCAGAGGGCTGTTGTGAGGATGAAATGAAAAGTTGGAGAGCCTTAACTGGTGCCTTGAGCTTACTCTAGGCAACAAACCACAATAACAACAGACTATAAAAGTAACTGACAGATAAAACAGATGGGAAGTCATGTACAGCAATAGGTTTTCCAGATCAGGACTATCCTAGAACCTGAAATTTCTGAGCCAGAATATGAAACCAAAGGATTACCTAATGTGGTATCAATAGACTTGATTATTAAGCATCATCTGCACTTCCACAAAGTATTCATTTGAAATGAAAAAACACCTAATCTATTAATGAAGCAAATATAGATGCACACAGTTTTCAAGAAAGTGGTCTAGTTCTGAGATTTCTCTATGTTGCCCTTTTTAATTTATTTATCATATCAGGAGTAAACCAAACAGTTGTATTGTATTAAAAACACACGCACAAAGTTTGAAAACTTGGCATTATAGTAAATGTCCTTTGACCAGTAGCTGGCCACTTGGAGTGCCTATGGTGTTGCTATAAGAAGGCCCTCCATTGTACATGCGGTGAGACTGAGACTGCATTGCAATAGGTGGTTTGCTCTTCTCCACGCTTGCACTTTGTGGCCCCATTTCTTAAGGCTGGCTCTGCATCTTGTGGTGCCAGAGCACAGTCTGTTCAGTGCCTTCCAAGTCGTCCAGTTTTCGGTGTGCCCAGGAGGGAGTCTCTCATTTGGTATCAGCCATTGATTGAGGTTCAGGGTTTTAGCCTGCCACTTTTGGACTCTCACTTGCTGAGGTGTTCTTAGAAAACTATTTCTTGATTTAAGTCGTTGGCATGCTGGCTGATATCCGAACAGGGGATGGACTGAAGATATCATTGCCTTGGTCCTTTCACTATTGGTTGCTACTTCCCAGTGGATGTCAGGTGGTGGAATACTGGCTAAATGGTGCAATATCTCCAGTGGTGTAGGGCACAGACACCCCATGATAATGTGGCATGTCTCATTAAGAGCCACATCCACTGTTTTAGCGTGGTAAGATGTGTTCCACACTGGGCATGCATATTCAGCAGCAGAGTAGCAAAGCACAAAGGCATTGTTGCCCTGACAACTAGAGAAGACCTGCAGGCTCTATATACGATTCTGAAAAAACATTGATGAAAAAGCGGAATAACAATAAGGATCACCTTAGTGGCTGGGATGCTCCTGGCCTGGCATGTCCTATATATCACTAGAGGAAAAATAGTGATAAGTAGCCATAGTGACAATGTAAGTGTTTCATTATCTGTCAAGATGACGAATGAGAGACAAATGAAGGTCAATTTTGTTTTTTTCAAAAGAGTCATCATGAAGAAAAGGCCTCAAAAGGTGAAAAGGTAAGTAGTGACCTTTGGCAAGGGATCTGGCAATGGCACAGATGGCTGGTTGCATGTGATTAGTTGGAATTAAGCATGACTTACATTTGCTGACTCAAATCTTTAAAATCAGTTTTAAAAAAAAGAGGCACAACCATGGAAGAATATATTTCATGGTTTCCCCCGGTGGCACAATGGGTTAAACGCTTGTGCTGACAGGGCTGAAGACCGACAGGTCGGAGATTCGAATCTGGGGAAAGCACGGATGAGCTCCCTCTTTCAGATCCAACTCCCCATGCAGGGACATGAGAGAGCCTCCCACAAGGGTGGTAAAACATCGAAATATCTGGGCGTCCCCTGGGCAATGTCCTTGCATACAGCCAATTCTCTTGCACTAGAAGCTACTTGCAGTTTCGCAAGTCATCCCTGATATGAAAAAAATTGGTTACAGGCTTATTATTTTAACTGTATTTTAATTAACATGGTCCTGAAAGGTGTGACAACTTCTGCAGTGTGGACCTATTGCATGCAACAAAGCCAAAACTCAAGTACAAGAATGCTGAGAAGAATTATCTTTCCATGAAATTTGCCCTCCTGGAAACTCTGAAGAAGCTTGAAGGACAAATTCTGGTAGTTGCACTGCCAGTCACACATATGAATTTGAGCTTCCACTCTTACATTTGGCCTTGTTGTTCTGTTTCTTATTGTGATATGGCCTAAGGGCTAATCAATAAAATTACTACTACTACTACTACTCTTACATTTGGGATACATGAGGAAGTCTCTTCAGAACCACTGAGAGAAACTCCGAAGGGACTTCTAGCAGTCTACTCAGTAGCAACATAGCATGAATTAAAAGCTGCCTCACACGACATGAGTTAATGTATTCATTTGGACTTGGCAAGTGTGTTGAAATTAATATGCATAGCTCAAGAAAGGCATCATTTGGGTTATACTATTGATCACATGATCTTGGCATATTTGAAAGCATTGTTACTCAAAACTAGGTCCCAATTCAATGGGTCCTATCCTTATTAAAGTAGCCACCAATAAATGCAAGCATTGATTTCATTCTCTATTGAACTGTTGCCTTTGGAAGGCTGCCCTGAGTCCCCTTCGACTTCTGTGTCCTAAATTTCCTCTCCTGAAATACTGAAATTGTACAATACTGTAGCATTCCGCTAAATGTTATCATATTGTTTAAGCATATCCTGCATTATACATATGTAGTTTGTTTATTTACCACATTTGTATACCGTCTTTCTCAGCCGGAAGGCAACTCAAGGCGGTTCATATGGATGTAGTAATTCAGAATTCTTTATTTGCTGGTGTTTTGTATTATAACATTTTGTTTTGCGCTTTCTTATTTTATTTATTTATTTACCACATTTATATCCTGCTCTTCTCAACCTTGAAGGGAACACAGGACAGCTTTACAAAGGGAACTATTCAATGCCATATATTACTTTTATAAAGCCAACATCCTGTTTAAACATGCCTTGACTATTAGCTCTTACCTTAGCATGTCAGTTGCTGCATTTTCCACATGCCAGCACTCCATTTTAAATATCTGCAGAAAAATTAAGATTTCTGACACTCTCATAGGGGGAGCCTTCTGAGAAAGGAGAAAAAGGGGACCCAGTAAGTATATCGGAAGCCTGTAATTATGATCTTAATCTTTTGTATTTTCTCATTTTCTCTATGTCTTGGTTACTTTACATACATCTGAAGAAATCCAGACATATCTGTATGTAAAATACAAATTTCAGATCGTGGGCAGTATATTGCTTGCATACTAGGTGACTGATTAAAAGCAGGGAAAGAGATAGTCTTCCAGTTATTGCTGGACAACAGCATAGTTTTGCAATCCAACCATATGTGAAGGGCTACATATTCCCCATTTCAAATTGCAGTAAACAGTATGAAAGAATATAGTTCAAATAGTCTTCTTTCTGAGAAAAACTACTTGTAGCAGAATGGGGAAAAATGTGCCCTACTTCTGGATTTTCCATACAGTTAGAAAGTGAAGTAAATTGCATAGGTCCTATGTGTATTTCAAAGTGCAGTTTATTCACTATATATATATATATATATATATATATATATATATATATATATATATATAGGATATTTTTTCCCATGGTTTGAGACATAGAACCTCATCACATTAGGAAATACTTAATTTCTGAGACTGTTTGAGAACAATTTCCAACAGCTCCCATCACATGACGTTTGACCCATCCTTTAGTTAATCTGGTGAAATACATCTGCAAAACGTAGTAAAAATGGAAAATTTCTAGATGACATTCTAATTGTATTTTAAATACTATGGAGTTCTTTGTCGCTGAAGCACTGGTTTTGCATCCCATCAGCAACAATACGAGTTGTCATTAGTAGACATGTTTGATGCAAGAATTTTCATGACAGTAACAGATGCAATTTCTGTATGGGACGTCAAAGAAGAAAGATCTCCAGGATTAAGGAAATAAGAAACTGCCACTTTACCACATTATTTGTTTAGTTTTAAAAATAAAAAACCAGATTCTGTGCAATTCCTTCCTCTGTTGTATCTATATAGAAGGAACAAACTTTTACTTTTCATTATTACACCACCATCAGCATTGTCAGATGCTGCTGTTGCCTCTGCATTGCTTCGAGTTTTGCATCATAAAATTTAAGTAGTAACCGCAGCAGCAGAGTCAGTAGATGCAGCAAAGAAGCCACATTTAATGAATCAATAATCAATCATTTGGAAATCATAAAATTAGATTCCTCAGAACTTATTAGATTGCTGAGAACTCTGTACTTCGCGCCAAAAGATAGCAATCGGGTGAATGCATTTACTGTGCAGATGTTTTCAAATCAGAACTTGGAGGCTATGTCACTGCACAGATTTAGATAATAATAATAATAATAATAATAATAATAATAATAATTTTATTTCTTACCCACCTCCCATGGCTTGAAGCAGGTTACAACATTACGAAAACACATAATCAAAACAAAGAATCATTTAAAAACACTCTGTAGAATACACATATTAAAACATATTTCCATAAAATGCACAAAACAAAGGTTAGACATAGAGTGGAAGTTGTAAATTCATCATTAAAACTGTCTTGGCAGGCCTGCCAGAAGAGATAGGTCTTCACTTGTGTCTGAAATTCCGACAGCTGATTTAGCTGTCAGAGCTCTACTGACAAGTCATTCCACAGTTGTGGGGTAGCCAATGAAAAGGTCCTCTTGGTGGTGGTTGCGATTCAGGTTCGAGAAGCCTGGAGCAGATGCCACCCAGAAGACCTCAGTGTTCAGAGTGCCATAAAGAATCTTTTGAATGGATTAGAAGGAGACAGTTTTCCAAGGTGTGATGGGACAATGTGAAGCATTTTTCTGAAGAGAAATAGTATACTACTTGGGTGTGATGGGGTCAGTATGTATCCTGTCTAGAGTTGTCAATACGCATTTAGGCAGAAAAAACTCTGGCATGCATACTGATTGAAATGGAGTATTTCCTAATGTGATGAGATTCTATGTGCATTGCATTTTAGTGTGTAGATGACTTGTAAATACTACATCCACACATTACTATCTGGGAGATGTCAGAACAGAACAGTGATCTTTCTCCTTCTAAAGCATGTAACCCACCAAAAAATTATCCAAACTAGGTCCATGCTGACACACTTCAAACCATGGGTATTTGATTTTATTACAAGTCCTTGGCAAGGAGTGGCTGTGTCTCATCTAGTGAACGGAGTACAAGTTCAGAAAGCTATCATCACTAATGGAGGACATTTGCCATCAATCATATTACTTTCAGTGAAGCCATGGAGTTGTGCCCAGAGGTGGGCTTTGTGCTAGTGAAGTGCACTTCCCCACATAAAGGCTAAGGCATGAGATTTTGCCCCCTTATACCTTTCTGCGCCAGCACTCCATGGCTTATTTGCTAAATTTCCAGAACATTTCTTGACTATGGTAGCTAATCAATAGAATAACAAACATTGACTTCCCTGTCTTACACATTTTGACCTGCCTTCTGCTAGTTCAAGGTCATCACTGGAAACAACCCAATGCAAATATCACTGATGTTTGCTGTTACTGTAAAGACATTGTGTACTGACAAAACTTCAAAATTATATTGAGTACTTGGATTACAATGCTTTCCTGACAAGATTAAAGTGAACTTTTCTCTAATATATCAGCTATCTGTGTTGCACTTTTTTAATATCTTAAGATCCAAGCTTATCTCATGTTTTTTGAAAATGTTTATTTAGGGTGCACCAGGGGAGACTGGTCCTCCTGGGCCTATTGGTAGTCCAGGACCTCAGGTATGTAAGTAAATTGTATTTCATCAGTTTCATTGGAGTTTCTGTGTTGTCTTTATCAGCGCAATAGTATTAATTTGTTTGTTTGTTTATTTATTTATTTATTTATTTATTTACAGTATTTATATTCCACCCTTCTCACCCCACAGGGGACTCGGGATGGATTACAATGCATATATACATGGCAAACATTCAATGTCATTTAGACATACAACATATATAGGCGGACACAGAGGTAATTTAAAATTTCAGCTGTTTCCGGCTTCATGAGGGTATGCTCGGTTCCGGCCACAGGGGGAGCTTCTGCTTCACCGTCCACTCGTGATACCGGGTCCTTTAACAGATTCCTTCCTCATTCTTCTGCACACTGCTGAAAGGTTTTGTGGCATCATAAATTAGTTAAATTGGTCCCGTCCCGTCCGTCCCCCCCGCATTTCCTACTTGACAGATGCAACTGTCTTTCAAGCTTCATAGGTCAATAGCAATCTAGACTATTAATGGTTGGGAGCTTACTCTAACCCAGGCTGGCTTCAAACTCATGACCTCTTGGTCAGTAGTGATTTAATGCAGCTGGCTACTAACTAGCTGTGCCACAGCCCTGTCCTATGCATAAATCACTATGCTTTTTCAGTTCTTTGATTAACTGTTAAAGTATTGAGGATATATATAATTTTGTGTTTTAGTAGTCACTTATTGCATAAAATCTTTAAAGTATACGCAATTCCCTAAAAACTGTGCTCAAAAGTCATTCTGCTTCTTAACATTCATTATGGCCACAGTTGCATATAAATCACATGCAATCCTTTAGACAGCCAACATCCAGGATGATTAACCAATATTTAAAAAATTCTAAATAAATTCAAAATACATAAAATGAACACAACAAACAACACAAGCAGATTTGTAGCAGAAGGAACACTAAACTAAAACTCAAACCATTAAATTAGAGCCACGTGTCATGTTGAAAGGAATGTATACATGAAAAAATATGTTGTCTAGTTCTAGATAAAGATTTTTCTTATTGCTGTTCAGATGAATCCCCATTAAAATGAAGCACAGAGAGAGAGAATGAGAGATATGCTGGTGGTGTTGTTTTCAAACTCATTTGAAAATGTCATTATAGGGACCCCCAGGGCAAGCTGGTCCTAGAGGACAACCAGGAGAAGTTGTAAGTATTGAAGTGTTTTACTGCACCTTGTAAACATTACTGGAGTGAAATATTATCCAGTGAAATAATGTTGTGAAAGCTGTTGATATGCTCTTTTTTATTAGGAGTTTGAGAAGAGCTGTGATTGATGTACACCTACAGGATTTAGAGGCACTCTTACTAGCTTTATTTCTGATCCTCTGAGTTATTTACTATGTATTCTATTATTTCCATATCCAACTTATGATATCTATGCAAAAAGGGAGTGGTAAACTGACAAATAAGAACTCCATATTTTGAACTCCTCCTCTATCATGGAGAAAACTCGATAACAGATGATGGAAATAAAATGATCTTGACATATAAAAATGGCTGCATTCAGAGATTATGGTAAATCATGGATTAATGTTATGATAATACATTTTTCTTAGACTGTCTTACGTGTTTCCTCCTCCCCTTTCATTCTCTCTTGCTTCCATATTGGATTAACCTCAGTTTAGTTTGTCATCTAAGCAATTAGTGAAGTCAGTCTTCAAGCTTTGGAGGGGGGCAAGTTCATAAATTATGTCTGGAAATTAGCTTGCTTTCATTAAACATCGGTAAGATTGTCCACCTCTTTGTTCAGATGACATGGCAAGGTGCTGTTAATTAAAACAGAATTTTTAAAACTCCCGATGATGCTAGAAGTGGGATAGAACAACCAGGAGGAGGTGATACCTGTTCTTACAACATTAAATTGAAGTGTAACCATTTAATCCCCAAACAGAGCTAAGACATTTACTCTATTTGTCAAATTTACCAAATACATTTTAAGAGCATAAGAAATAAACCTCTTCAAATTGTTTCCCATAAGAGATTGTATATGTCAATAAATACAATCAAGTATAAAAGTACAAGCATACTTTATGCATTATGAAGAATGAACATGCATAACAACCCAGTATTCTCTTAAAGTAAGAGACCAATCCACTCCCTCTTTTAGAAAGAACAACCTTATTTTAAACACACAAGGAATATTTTTTAAAAAATTGTAACCAGAGATACAGCATCTATTTTAGATTTGGCATGGATTACTATAGCCAAGTATAATAATACTTTGAAAAAAAAACGATTTGTGTGTACATTGTCTGTTTTGCACAGTCTGTGAGAGAAGGCAAAAAAACTACAACTCCCAGGATTCCATTGCATTGAGCCATAGCAGCTAAAGTAGTGTCAAACTACATTAATCCTAAAATATAGGATTAACCCTTCGTTGCAAAATACCGTAAACTTGACAAAACACTTGACTTCATAAGTGAAGGAAGAACTGGCAGTTCTAATAGGGAACAAGCTGCTATTAGATTCTCCCAACACAAAATCTGACCAATTAATGTGAATTTTCCCTGAGATTCTGGAGCAAATGGCAACTTTGAGCCCATGGAATCAGTGGCATTGCTTCTTATTACAAGTGCCAAGCAATGACCACCACAATTTTCATGACTGATGTTCAACTGCAAAGCCTAGAACAACACAATAAGGTAAAGAGGCAGTCCAGTGGTACCAAATCGATTCTGGTGCTGCTGGGTTTTTTGTGTACCATCCAACACAAAGCTGTCTTAGCAGTTGGTTATGCAGACCATGGTATCCCACTTCAGATCAGCATCTCGATTTTTGGGCCACGTAGATGTGTGCTTGGTTGCAGGAGGATTTCCACATATATTACCATTTAAGAATTAATTAGTTTCTGTTTCTGAAAGGCAGTCATCACAATCTTTATTTTAAAAAAATAGAACAGCTCTGGATTCAAAGGAGAATATGATTTTGTGAAACATAAGGATGCTTTTCTTACATCTTTAGAGGAGAACACGGAATAAGCAAAAGAACAGCAACAGCACCTTCAACATCCAGTTTCTTATGTAGATGCCAGTCTTTCCTTCTGTAGTTTATGAAAGGAAAAGTTTCATTTTCCCCCAAAAAGATGAAATGAGGTTTTTCATGTATTGCCTAATGGAAAGAAGGATTTTTTCCTTATGAATTCATGTGTAATGTCTGGCATGATTGCAAGCAATACTTTTTTCTGACAAGCTCTGCCATTTGCTGTAAAATATATCTGAGAGACATAAAGAAGCGATATCCCACCTTCTTGAATAAAATTGATTTAAAATATCAGAAGGGATAAAAATAGGAATTGACTCCAGAGTTCTCTTGTTCATACCAAAATATAAACTTACTAAAGTAGAACTCCAGCTAAAATGCCTTATTTTTTAAGATGAATTCCAGTTTATTTTATCTTCATGGATATTGTCAGAAAGGGAGCAGAACATTGGTCATTAAAATGAGACCAGGGATGTTGAAAACAACATTGTTCAGGCAAAGCTGGCGAGAAAAATGGAGCATTGTAAATATCTCAGCCATAAGGAAGGCTGAGTGAAGGAAGATGGATGCTTTTGAACTGTGGTGTTGGAGGAAATTCTGAGAGTGCCCTGGACCGCCAGAAGATCCAACCAGTCCATATTCCAGGAAATAAAGCCTGACTGCTCACTGGAGGGAAAGATATTAGAGGCAAAGATGAAGTCCTTTGGCCACATAATGAGAAGACAGGAAAGCTTGGAGAAGATAATGGTGCTGGAAAAAATGGAAGGAAAAAGGAAAAGGGACCAACTGAGGGCGAGATGGATGGGTGGTATCCTTGAAGTGACTGGCTGGTTTGACCTTGAAGGAGCTGGGGGCGGTGACGGCTGACATTGAGTTCTGGCGTGTGCTGGTCCATGAGGCCATGAAAAGTCAGAAGCGGCTGAATGAATAAATAACAAAAAAACTTGGATCATTTTAAGTACATCTTTTGAACACAGAAAACTTTAAAAAGTCTCTTTTGTGTCGTGGAAAAAATAATTCTCAATTAAATAACATCTACTTCTATAATTAGCTATTTTAAAAACCAAGAACTTGTTCCCAATCTTTTAAATAATGTAACTGAACTATGCAAATAGAGAGCCAGACAACCATAAGGGAAACCCTTTGATTCTTTAATGATTCAGAACTGTAAAGGTCCATGGTCATGTTGGCTGGGGATTCTGGGAGCTGTAATCCAAAAGTAACTTTTCTAAACTGTCTTATCAGGAAAGTTTTTTTAAAGGCAGGGTGCACAATGGACCTGAAGCGTGACTGTATCTTCCCTTCTGAGAATATAGACATTGCTCAATGACACAATTCAACTTTATGCAGTCATAACTTGGTTTACAACAGTGAAACTTCCTAACAGGATGCCAGCCTTTATTTTAAAAAATACAAATACAGTATGCCACTCTTTTAGCAACCATTGTTGTGTGTGTTATCTTTCCACCAAAAGAAATGTCAATGAATTCCATCCTCTCTTACGGTTATTCAAAGCTAGATTTACAAAAAAAAACCAAAAAAAACCAAACAAAACCCTGACTATATTATATCAAATCCAATATGCTAAGAGTTTATTTTTAATTAACTAGGGATTACCAGGAGGACATGGAATACCTGGAAAACCAGGAGTTAAAGGAGAAAAGGTAAGGTTGGCAATATTGATGAAGTACATTCATGTTTATTCCTCAAAATACTTTGAATATTATATCTTTGGCCACTTCAATGGTTTTAATTTTTTTTAAATTTCTATTGCATCTTGTTTGTTATTACCTGCTTGTTTAGTAGCAAATTACTATATTTAATGGGATATTCCAACCTTTTCTATTAGGTACTAAGTACAAGTTGGGTGTCAGCTGTTACCTCAAATAAGTAGCACTCATTCTGCTTCAAACAAAATGAAAAGAAGAGCTTATAGAGGTGGAAAATATTAGACTTTTTTCTGGACTATATGGGAATTCTTTCCAATCATTCTGTAGAGTCAAACTTTTGATTTTGATCAGACTAAATGACATAGTGAGAAGTAGAAAAGATCCTGTTGGCTCAAGAGGAACATATTGGGGGGGGGGGGGGTAGCATAGTGAATTGGATGAGAAGAGCAAAGTTACGAATGCAAAACTGGGAAGAAATTGGTTGCCTTTGTTTGTTTATGTAATGAGAGTACTGAAGATTGTGAAAGTAAAGATATAACAATTAAAACGGTCAAGATAAAGTATATTAGTTAGCTAACCCACCTTTCTTCTCATAGAAACTCAAGGTGGCTCACAATTAAATGACACAACTCAATAAATTTAAAAACAGCCAATACCTGTACAATTAAAATTGCATTTCAGACTAAATGTCCTCCCCAACTCCCCCCACAGCTTACCCATACTTTTCTTGTTCCATGAAATTAACATTATTTTTCTTTATATCTCTAGGGGGACGCTGGTGGGATCATAGGTCCTCCTGGGCTTCAAGGTTCCAAAGGTGACATAGGACCTCCGGGACCAAGTTTTCCAGGAAGACCAGTAGGTACCATAGGACTGAAATTGCAAATGGCACCATGAGCTCAATGAAACAAACACCTTCCTCAAAGCCATACCACCTAACTATGAACTCTTTCAACAGATGAACTCAGATAATTTAGAGTAATCATGTTAGGAGAACCACGTCATAGAAATAAAAAAAACCAAATTATGTCTCTAGAACAGAAAACTCCAGATAAATCATGATATTTGAGTCATTTCTGCTCTGATTTCCTTATCTGCAGTTCCATCATTCCCTTTTTCCTAGACCAGAAGTGTCAAATTGATTTTCATGGGGGACGCATCAGCCTCATGTTTGCCTTCAAAAGGCCATAGACTCTATGGATAGAGAACCTGTGGATACAGAGGAACAATTTTGCACATGCGCACACACACACACAGTGGTCTGTGTTCTTTAGTTTTTACCCAGTTTGGGTCGCCTGATATTATTGAACAACAACTTCCATCACTTCTGATTATTATCCACCATGCAGACTGGAGATTATTGGGATTGCAGCCCAACAGCACTTGTGGCTCTGAGGTTGAGGAAAGGACATTTTAAAACTAGACATCATATCCACAAACCTTGTATCTAAATTCAGACCCCACTATCCTGACTAAACAGAACAAACTGCAACCTTCCAGATCTTACTGTCTCACAATTCCCATCAGCCTTAGTCATGATATTTGATGCTGAGTACAGGAGTTGTGGTCCAGTATCTGGAGGGCCACATAAAATGACATGGATTTGGCCCTCTCAGTCCTTGAGTTTGATACATCTCTCCTAAACAGATTATAAATGATTTTGTAGATTTTGCTTCTGAAACTTAAGGAAAAGCAAATAAATGACATGGTAAATTGATGTCTTTGTTGATTTCATCTTTACAGTAGTGGGATTTGGGATAGAATTAATTGTGTGGGTTGGTTTGTTATAATTCTCAAAATCTTCATAATGACATCTATAAAAATATTGATAACCCAAACATTAAAACAGTCATCCTTTTTCATTGCCATTTGCTTTTGTTTGGTGTAGGGACCTGCAGGCACGCCTGGGCCAATAGGTCCACGGGGACCCAAGGTAGGGATAAACATATGCAATTCCTGTTTTTGTATTCGATTATGAGTGCTATGAGACATGTTCAAACAAAGACATGTTCCTTCATCAGGGTGAAAGAGGTCTTCCTGGGGTGCAAGGGCCTCCTGGAGAGACAGGGCCAGCAGGAAACGGAACCCAAGGTCCTCCTGTAAGTACAGAATCAACTCATGCTGGTTATTACTATGAACTTTTTAGTCAGTTATAATTACTGAGATTATTGAGTTTTGCTAGACACTCTCCATTTTCTGTGTGGTTGCTTGATTCATCATTCTTTACTACTGGATAGAAATAGTATAATTGTCCCCAAAGTTGACGTGTTTCTATGGCCCTGTTATCTGGAGCAGGAAAAGCACCCCCCCCCCTCCCCACACAGACAGACACTATCTTTCTGTACCTTTGGTCTAAGTTACAAAAAGTGTTAACCATGCAGCATGTAGAAGAGACAATCTTTCTTTTTTTGTTCCTTTGTTAAATATCGCTTTTACTACTCTAATTTGGGCTCACTGTGCAGGCATTTTTTCTTATTAAAGCCCTGAAATTGTACATGCACATATGAATTTTGAGTCTCAAGGTCATGAGTTTAATTGGGACCATGGCACAGTTCATAAATAAAAAGATCTTAAAATCCACACTCAAGCTACAGGTGTAGTTGAAACTTCAAAGACTGGTGTGACCTACATTTTGGTTTTAATTTTAGAGTTGTTGAGGGAAGCTTTTTAAAAAGTGGTCACTATGCCTTGCTACCTGAAAAACGAAATTGAAACAGAAAAACAAAGAGCACAATAATGCTACATTGTTATTTCCAGATGGTAACTGAGATGGGCACAAAAACAAACACTTTATGGTTATCTTCCATGCCAAAGCTGAAGATGACCTCTAGGTCATTTTATTTTCTCAGACATTTAAATGATTTCCTATTTTTAAAATAATGGAAGGTTTAGAAAAGTTAAACTCTCTTTTTTATTGTTTTATGCTTAAGACACTTCTAATTGTTATTGTTGTTTTAGTATTTAAAATTGTATTTTACCATACGGAGGCCTCGGTGGCACAGTGGCTTAAACCGCTGAGCTGCTAAACTTGCTAGCTGAAAAGTTACAGGATCAAATCCGGGGAGCAGTGTGAGCTCCCGCTGTTAGCCTCAGCTTCTGCCAGCCTAGCAGTTCGAAAACATGTCAATGTGAGTAGATCAATAGGTACTGCTCTGTTGGGAAGGGAATGGTGCTCCATGCAGTCATGCTGGCCACGTGACCTTGGAGGTATCTACGGACAACACCAGCTCGTCGGCTTAGAAATGGAGATGAGCACCAACCTCCCAGAGTTGGACACGACTGGACTTAATGTCAGGGGAAAACCTTTACCTATTTTACCATAAATCAGTCATTTGGGGGATTAAATCAATAAAAATCAAACCAGTAAATATTATCTTAAAAATAATATTATGATAAAATTCTAGGAGCTAGGTATTTGCCTTTCTCTCCTGCCCCACCATAATGGGCTAAGGGAAAGCCCTTAAGTCAACTGTGTATTATGGACAACGTACATTGGTTGAACATTTTCTTCTGTTTCGTCCTCCTTTTTCACTGACGAATGTGCTCATGGTGCATTGAATGATTGTTGCAGCACTTTGTTGCATAACAAAGCCTTGCAATTCCACTTTTAAACCAATTACAGCAAAATTGTGGCATTCTGGACCCTTGAAGTCTATCATAAAACAACAAAGTAACAACTAAGGGTAGCCCCATTGGGTCTGGAGAGAGCAGTGTAGCAACTCACTACTACAAATTGATGACTCTACCTCCGTTTACATTTTTTTGTTAATCCATCATCAGCATGAGTCTTGATTTATTTCTTGTAAGTGCCACGCAATTGTATTGTCTGTTTAAATGGCCTGTGTTAATCTACTGTTTGATTGTCCTAAGCTTATCATAGCTTACAATATCTTTATCTTTAAGGTAGTTTTCTTCAGTTTTTAAAAACTTGGTTTAATCCCTTTACTGGTCCTCTAAATTCTCAATGTATAAACCAAAGCAAAATTAAACAAACAGATTTGAGATAATTTTCTTACCACAGCAGCAATGCAGCCATGGCATGTAGAGCCTTGTGATTAACATATGATAGCTGGGAAATATTCTCCTTCCCACACAATTCCCATATGGCAATTTCTCTTGCTGAGTGTCACTAATATTCTGTTTCAGCCCTAACCCCCGCCATTCAACATTTTGTGTCTTTAACTCTACAATAAAAGGAGATGGTCAAACTATTATTTCCAAAGGATCTGATTTTAGAGAAGAGTGATACGTCTTCTCTTATCCAATCTGTATTATGTTTCACATCAGATGTCATGGTAAGTGTCAGGAAAGAAGAATGGTGCCTTTAATAAACACAGTATTCCAGTTACAGTACACTTATTTACTTATGATTTGAAGCCACCTATCTGACTTTCTTCTTTTTGTTCCAACAAAAAACTCTTGGGATAAACTGAAGTGGATGAACAGCTATGAATGAACAATCACATTTTAAAATAAGGCTAGAGGTTTTAATTAATTTATTTAAGACCTTTTTTAAAAGGTTGTTTAGATATGTTCAACATTTGTATCACTGTTCTGATGGATGTTTTCTAAAATGCAATATATTTGTCCTGTAATTCTGAGGTTGGCAGGTGAAAGATTTACTTCTATAGTTTTATAGAAAAGGGAATTGACTTATGGTGACCCCGTGGGTGCCGTAGGGTTTTCTTTATGGTGACTCTGTGGATGTCATATGGTTTTCTTAGGGAAAGGACTATTCAGAAGTGGTTTGCCAGTTCCACCCTTTTAAACACAACCTACTCTAGAGAAAAATCATAATGTTTTCACCTTCTACCAAAATTTAACTTACACTTAAAAATAATGCATCTTTAAACATACCAGTTCACTGTAAGGTTACATTGTCCAAGTACACTTTGCAGAGTTTAACAGCCTGAGATTTGTGATGAAATTGTACGGCATTATCCTGCTGCTGTAACACTGTGATTCAGTATATGTGACTTAAGTTTCAGTGTAATGTATGTTTTAAGCTGTTTTATTTCTGTCTCTTTACACCTCCTCTTTTTCTGTCATAGGGTCTTAGAGGGTCTCCTGGTGCACCAGGGTTCCCGGTAAGATACATATTTGGGAATGTGGGTGAATGTGTTTTCATATAGTTACCAAGCAGTGATTTCATGGTGTCTGATACCTCAACTTGTTTTTAACTCAGGGCCCAAGGGGACCACCTGGATTACCAGGGACTCCAGGAACCCCGGGTCTTGATGTAAGTATGAATTTTGCAGATATTGTGATGGTAGTTCCCACAAAAGCAAGAATTTAAAGTGAAGCATTTTTAATCCATGTCTAGGGCATTCCAGGACATGATGGAAAGCCAGGACTCCCAGGACCTCCAGGTGACCCAGTATGTATATAAAACCTGTTTTTATTGTGTGCTGTGCTTGAGTTGAATGCTGCAAATTTACCAAAAGAACCACAGAGGTGCCGGGGGGGGGGGGGGGCAAATAAAGTAAGTCTTAATAAAAAAAAACTTTACAGGTGGAGTCACAATAAAGTCAGTTACTTGTACTTGAAAATACCTAGGTCACCTTTGTACAACCTCCCTAATGGGCTGTTACAGAGAAAGAATATAAATGCAGTTGCCCTTATAGGTCTCTTGAAAGGAAACAGAAACAGTGAGAGGAGATACAATGCTGAATGTCACATTTCCTCACACAAATCAGTTCTGGCCTAGAGCTGCCCTTTGTAGTGTTTTCTTCTGATACTATATAAAGACATATCTCTCTTTTTTTAAAGTATGAGTGAAATTAAATTTTTTACAGTGGAGCCTATGAATGTTTTTTGCAAGGTGTTTCATCGTTGTTGTGTTCCTTCAAATTGATAACAGGTTTTCTAAGAATAAGAGTGTGCTACGTGCCTAAAATAACGCAGTTGGTTTTCCTGCCTAAGCAGGGATTTGAACTGTAGTCCAATACTCAACTACTATACTGGCTCCCTGGGAGTTCATTGTCTTCTTTTTAATGTTAAATATGGTCAGTATATGTTCACAGAAAATTGTCTAAGATGGAATCAAAGGGTGTTCAGTCTTCTCCCAGACTTTCTTCAAAAGTTGAACAATGATTGTGGAGCTAGAATAAGCCTCAGCAGAAGAGGTTTGCTTGGTGCCCATTCTGCCAGGGGTATTGCATTCTTTATCGCATAAGCGCTCTCGGAGTCATTTCAGAAAATACACAGAGGCAAATCCAAGTATGTGATGAGTTATATATTCTACTGTGCAGGTTTACTGGGTGTCTCTGAAGTCACTGGGGTGATCAATCCCCTCTCGGTTTTTTATTCAGTACTTCCATTGAGCTATCCAACTTGCTTAACCTATTTTGGAGATAGGGTTCAGCACCTTGGGAAACTTTACAGCTTTTTAAAAACGTATATATTCCACAGACATCAGAGCCAGCTGCTACAAGAAAGAGTAGCCAGTCAGAGATCCCTAATAAAAGTAGATTCCTGATATGCCCATATGTTTGCCACAATCACACTCTACTGAACAATATGTTGAGACAGTTTTAACTAGAGGATTTTAACGTCAAGATAAGTGATTTTAATGCTTTTTTATGTGTATGGTCTAGTATGTTTCGGTGTTGAATGTTTGCCGTTTATATGTTGTGCTCTGCACTGAGTCCCCCTCGGGGTGAGAAGGGCGGAATATAAATGCTTAAAATAAATAAAATAAATAAATATGCCTGTATAACTCCTCCACTATTATAGGTAATATGTCTGTACATATCAATGAAATTGTGAAATGGAGGGTACAGTTGTATACATATGCTAGTGGTGGCCTTCATGTTTATGTGAATAATTGGCCACTGTGTGTAGAAAACTTTGGAGAAGATACACTGTTGGTATGTTCCAGTATTCTTAATTTTTATATATATACTAGCCATCCCCTGCCATGCATTGCTGTGACCCAGTCTGTGTATATGTGTTTTGTGTGTATATATACGTGGTTTTGCGCCTGCATTGTAATGTAATTTTTTCTGCTTTTTAAGTCTCTTCTACTGTGTGTTTTCAGTGTTTTTATGAGTGATGGTCACTTGTTGGCCTGATAGATGTATTGTGTCCAAATTTGGTGTCAATTCACCTAGTGGTTTTTGAGTTACGTTAATCCCACAAACAAACGTTACATTTTATTTATATAGATGATTAGAACTTGGAAAGATACAGTTTCAAGCGTTGTGTTCAGTTATTGTCAAAGTAGCATTTTAAAAAAAGTAAGTTGTCACGTTCCCCATATCTAAACTACTTTTCAAGAAATAACCTTTTTTTAACTGGCCTGTGATGTGAAACACATCTTCCTCCTATCTTTTTACCTCCCTAAAACCCACAACAGTACAAGTGACCACTCCCAACTATGTGATACTCCTTTGTTTGATTACAGGTTGCTCTTCCTCTTCTTGGTGACATGGGTGCTTTGTTGAAGGTAATTGCAGTTTCTGCATATATCTGTTGATTCTAATTGTAATGGGTGAGGTTTGCATTTCAGAGTTATTACTCAATGTGAAAAATCAGAAATGTAGTGATGCTCTCACATAGATACACTGTGAGCTCCACTAGAGATACCACAATGCCATGGGTTTGCTTTATCATTCATGCTTGCTTAATTCTGTCAAGGTGGTACTTTGTCATGTGTTCTTTCCTACCAAAGGAGCAAAAAAAAAATCCCATTCTGATAATATAAAAATATAGACATAGGGAAGGGAAATGTGCTGTCCTCATACATTCAGGGATGTCTCAGTCATTACACAGAAAGCAGCCCTCTGAAAATGAGAGATTATTCAGTGTGGAAGCTGTCCAGATGCTTCAAAACATTCCAGAATAATAGAAGTGGCAGCATGCTTTCTCTCCTTCCAATTTTCTGGTCCAATGTTGGTAAGACAACATTTTTTATTCAGAGAGAAACAGCCCAAAACTGACATGACAGTAGGATCTGTCATTAAACCTTGCCTATATCCCAGTCCTCTGGGAAAAGAGCTGGAAATTGGGTCTTCCTGCCACCTTCCCTTCAAAGAGCTTAGTCATTCCCCCTTTCCACTGATTTTAGTGAAAGATAATACCTTGGGGGGAGAAATACTAGGAATTTGTAGAAAAATGGAGGGGTTTGGGCTTCAACAAAATTTTTGGGGGTGAGGGTCTGCTGACATTGGGGCCATGGCGGCTGGATATTGCTCTACCCACTATTACCCTTCTTGTCAGAATTGCTCACCACTGTTAGAAGCAAAGCTTTAAAACTCCTAATTTCCTTCCTATCACCCAACTTGCTGAGGTAGAATTGCAGTAAAAACCTGGACATTTGCTTAGATTAAATGAGTTTGAATATTAATAAACAACATATCTACCTATTTGCTTTCATAGAAGGGTCACACCTAACTGAGATTTTTAAGCTGATGTTACATGACTGCTTTTTCTCAAATAATTGATGATTGTGGTGATGATTTCTTTACATGTTGTTTCAAATTAAATAAGAAATTTCTACTAATTGGAAGAAAAGCTCAGGTGTAATAAACTCAATTGCAAGCTTAGTGCTTTGTTAATGGATTGTCTGAATTCACGTATTCCCACAATAACAGAAAACATTCATGTTCTAATCTTTGACTGTTCAAAGTGGGAGTTTCTTTCATCTAATATTTCTTGGTATTTTAATTACTGTGACTTTCTATATTTGTATAGAATATCTGTGCCAAATATTAGACTAGGGCTCCAGGCATAAGAAGTGTTAGAGAGCAGAAAATAACAGGATAATGATGATGGTGGTGATGATTAGAACTACTGGTTTTTTTCTATCTCTCCCCCAATATTAAGACCAAGGCAGCTTATAAAATATTTCAATCAGAACAGAGTACAAATGTGCAGAAATATAAAATACAAAATTTATTTTAAAAAGAATTGAATAATTTATAAAATCAAAACCATTACAATTTTATTAAAAGACAAAATGCTTTTATATATATAAAAGAACACAACTATTGCCATCAGTTCCTGAAAACTTGCTTGAATAGAAAAATTTCACTAACTATCATATCCCCTTATCTCACTCCCCAGATAGGTTTCTCAAATCTGGAAGATTAGCCACTAAGAAGGCCCTCTCCTATATATCCAGCAAACATGACTGGGAAGATAGTGGAAATTAGAGAATGACCTTTTCTGAGGTCTTGAAGCTTGCTTGGTCAGGCTCACATATATAGAGATACAATCCTTCAGATACCTTGAATCGAAAACAGAAGAACAGGTTTCTCTGGCAGGAATGACTGATGCCTGAAATATATGGGGGTTTGAAGGAATGATTGTGCAGTAATGTATACTTCACTACTACTTTTTTAATTTGAAAAAAAGTTTGTTATTATTAGGGTGATGCTGGTCCAAGAGGTCCTCCAGGAATCCCAGGTAGAGAAGGGCCCAAGGTGAGTTCCTGAAGTGAGAACACAACATAGCTCCTTGATTTGGAAGCATAGTTACTCGTACGTGTTTTCAAATTAAATTGTTATCTGTCGTATACTGCAGTACCACAACTATGATTTGTTAATGCTCTGCTCTTCTGGCAGAATTTGGCATGGATACCGGTAACTAAAGCCCTACAGAAAAAATACACAGGGAATAAGTAAGGTAAAAGGTAAAGGTAGTCCCCTGACATTAAGTCCAGTCATGTCTGACTCTGGGGTGTGGTGCTCATCTCCATTTCTAAGCCGAAGAGCCGGCGTTGTCTGTAGACACCTCCAAGGTCATGTGGCCGGCATGACTGCATGGAGCGCCGTTACCTTCACGCCGGAGCGGTACCTATTGATCTACTCACATTTGCATGTTTTCGAACTGCTAGGTTGGCAGAAGCTAGGGCTGACAGCGGAAGCTCACGCTGCTCCCCGGAATCGAACCTGCGACCTTTCGATCAACAAACTCAGCAGCTCAGTGCTTTAACCCACTGTAACTAGCAAAATGACACTTCAGAAGTAATTAAATATTACTGTGCCATACTGAACAGAAAGTATTCAACAGATCAGAAGCCAAATGAAGAAAGCTTCTAATTAAAATGACAATTGCAGAGAAGAACAGAACTTGTTCTTGTAAACATTATAGGTCATATTTTCCCATGAGTATGAGCTTTGCTAAGGAATGCTGCTCTATATTAAGACACGTCCTTTTAATTTTGTATTCTGTAAAGTACTCTCCAAGTTAGCACTAAAGGACTGCAGTGCTGCAGCTACCACAGTCTCTTGCATTATGTTACTCTTAATTACATTCTCATTGGCATATCCATATTCTACAGTATGATCCTGTTGTCATTTCTGAATTAATATTCCATTCTTCTTCTAATGAAAATGGTAGCTATAGAAATAATAGGAACAATAATGCAGTTATATTTTTCACACATCAAAGAAATTGTCAGCAAAATAGTTTTCTCAAGTTCCTGTATGGGCTTGTTTACAAGTGTATGCAAATATTTTTGTAGTTTCAGATCTTTGACCGCATTCAGTGGGTTGTGCTCCTATATAGATATATATAGAACATTGTCTTCATTGTTCAAAGTGTTGAAATGAAGTGAAGTCAACACTTGACACCATTAGAGCCAAAAACTGTGAAGTGATGACTCTAACGCTGGATCTGCACTGCCATATAATCCAGTTTCAGAATCTAATTTGACAGTGTAGACTCATATAATTTAGTTCATGCATCAAATTGGATTCTGAAACTAGATTATTTGGCAGTGTAGATCCAGCCTAAATACTCCCTGTCTTCTTCCTTTAAAGTGGTGGTTTCCAAACCTGTGTCCTCCAATTTTATTGTACTGCAGTTCCCAAAATTCTTCGCCACCTATTGAAATGGCTGGTACTTCTGAGAACTGAAGTCTAACCACATCTGGGGTTCCAAATTTGGGAACCACTGTTTTAGCCGTATGTGGCTTGCAGATGGTCAATCTCATAAAGTAGTTATTTAATATAGACAGTATAACAACTTCCAGATATTCTTTTTTCCACCAAGGGGAATAAAGGTGAACGTGGATTTCCTGGACTTCCTGGAGAGAAAGGTGATGAGGTAAAAGCTGCTTCTGTTTTATTATGAATTGTTTTCCAGGTATTAAGATATGATTTCCTAAGCAAGTTATGTTCATTTTTTTTTCCAATTTGAGCCTGACTCACTTTTCAAATGTCTCTTGTGGTTTCTTTTGACTTAACAAAAACTGTAGTTGCAATAGCTTTAGTAATTTATTTATTTGGTTTACTTTTACCCCGCCCTTCTCACCCCGAAGGGGACTCAGGGCGGCTTACACATCCAAGGCACAATTCGATGCCCATAGCATACATCAATAATAAACAATAAAGCAAAATAACACAAATTAGCAAACAACAACAATACATTGCATCTAAACCCGTTAAAACCAATAAAAACAATAAAATTTCATACAAACCGATACAAACCGCTTCTTCCTTATTGCCAGTCAATGTTTGCTATGTTTGCTAAAGTGAGGCCTCGGCATGGACGTTGAAATCCCCCAGGACTAAAAGCCGCTGGGAGCCCAACGCCATATCCGAGACCACACCTGCTAACTCAGGTAGAGAAACTGTCGTGCCGCGGGGTGGTCGGTACACTAACAGAATCCCTATCCTGTCCCGGTCACCTAACCTGAAGCCGGCACATTCAAATGATGATGATTGTGGGATGGGGCACCTGATCAGGGGGATAAAGTCCTTATAGACTACTGCAACTCCTCCTCCCCGCCCTCCGGGTCTTGGCTGGTGCTGCACAGAGTAACCTGGTGGGCACAGTTGGGAGAGATTCACCCCTCCCCCTTCGTCCAACCAGGTCTCCGTTATACATGCTAGGTCAGCTTGTTCTTCCTGGATTAGGTCTCGAATGATGGAGGTCTTTCCATTTACCGACCTGGCATTGAACAGCACCACCCTTAACCCAGAGGGGCCACCATCCTGGCATCTCAGCTGTATCTTGTCGGGAGGGTTTTTTGGAGTTCCCAATACATTCTTGTTATTTTCAGGCCGAATTGTTTGTTGAGTTGTGGTATGGATTTTTGGAATTGCCAATGTTCTATTGTAAATTTTGGGCCAGATTTGCTTTTGTCTCGCATTTTTGTCACGTTTTGAGCTTGTCAAATTATTATTATAAATTTTGGGCCGAAAAAAGTAATTTGTTCTCCCTTTCCCGTATCTCCCTCTACCTGTCACCACCTCTATCGCAGCCCCTCCACCCGCGGACCCACCCGCCCCGGAGGAGATCCCTCCATGATCTTCAATTACTATCTCAGTTGTTAATGTATCATAACAAACATTGTTGTGGTTGTAAATATCTGGACCCTGAGGGTCCCCCCCTTCAATCCTTCCTAAACCCTCCAGTGTGCTACGTATCATAAAGTGCGTTTGTGCATTACTGGAGGGGGAGGGAAGCTGATGAAATATCAGTAATAGCAAGAGTAACATAAATGAAAACAACAATAATTCACAGTGTGAGCCTGGGGGTTAGATAAAGTCACAGTGTTTGTCAAAGTGCTGTAGTGCTACCAGCAGCGATAATGGTGGTTTGGGACCAGTCGCTAGTTTCTGACAGAACCAGGCAATCTAAAGTGCAGGGCTAAGGTGCTAGATAGTATCTATGGCTCAAGTGCTGATAGGACCATATGAGTTAAAGTGCTGGACTAAAGTGCTTAACAGTTTCTACAACTCAGAGACAGTCATTCACAATTTCCCAAAGTCACTCAACTAGGACAGTCAATACAGAACGTAGATCCCAGCCGCAAGGGCCCGTGGACAACAAGCCGGCACCCTTGGTCCGGTTCCTGATTCTTCTCGATCGTCCAGGCGAGGAGTTGGTGCAATTTAGTGGGAGATGATCCTTATAAAGTGAGGCAGTGGCTGAGGAAATATAGCACCCGTTTTCAGCAGCAATGTGGGATGATGTTATTTACACCTCCGGCCAGAGAGGGCAGTGTTGGAAAACTCAGGTCTTATATTCCTATGAGTTGGATGACACTAGCAAACGCTGGGCCCTGTAATAATTGGGCCTTCCAGTTGGTGTGGCCGATCAGCCGGGCCCACTGATGGAAAGGAGTCCCGATGATGGAAAAAGAGGCCCGATGGAAGGAAGACCTGCTGAGCGCTTCGTCCCTCCCACACTCGGTGCAAACGGGAGCCAGATCGAACAGCGCCAAGCAGCTGGGCCTACTGGTGGGCCCGATGGTCTCTAGATCGCGGGTCCACTGGGCGCCTCGGCCCCCACAAACTCAAATAGGCCCTCAAATATCCCTTACTACTAAGAAGTAGTAAGGGATACTCTAGAATTATTATTTGTTATTCAATATTTATATCCTCTCTTTATATTGGGATATCGATGTGGCGAGCTACTGTAATTGCTTGAAATATTTTCAAACAATACAGTACAGACATATTTATAGATCTTGTGACTTTCATTTAAAGCTCTCCTTACGTTGGTGGGTTGCTGTGAGTTTTCCAGGCCATTATGGCCATGTTCCAGAAGCATTTTCTCCTTCATAGCTATAGAGCCCGGAAAACTCACAGCAACCCAGTGATTCTGGCCATGAAAGTCTTCAAAAACACATTTCCCTTCCATTTCGCCTCAAACTTTGAGTCCTGAAAATGAAATACAGTATGAATGATTATGGTTCTAGCTGAGTACATGAGAACAAGTTTTAATAATGAGCAGTCAGAAAGCTAGGTGCATATTGGTCTCAAAAATGCAATGGCACCATCAGAACAAGACTTGGAGTCACATTTTAGTGCCTGGATCCAGAGAAAGAGCAGGATAGTAATAAAAGAAAGTAGGGCAGGCATACCTTAGATACAAATAAATGAAGAAGTACACATTATCCTCTAAAAGGTTGTGTTGGAAGGATCACAAAAATATTGTATCCAAACAAAAATGCCTGGACCACTGGAGAGACATATTTTATTGTATGAAGCATATATAAGTAAGATTTTGGTACTATTTTATATTTTGAAGATGAACTAGGCAATGCCATTATATGCTGAGGACAACTGGGTTAAGTAGCCGAAAGGAGTATTGCTTTACCGTGCAAGTTTGTTGAGTCCTTTTTGCACTGCTGCAAATGTAGCAGCAGCAGAAATTCTAAAAAACGGACTTTGAACAACTCTTAACAATACCTTGCTGCTGAGAACCAAGAGGCAACAGAACAAGCTCTAATAAAAATTGCAGTTTGTAATTGGCACTTAGTCTTTTAAGAGACTCTAGAGTAAGTTCATTCTGGGGAAAACTTTTTATTGCTTCAGTAGGGTGCCACATTGACACATTTGTTAGTTACTAAGCAAGAGTCGTACTCTGTTCCTTAGGCAAGCCAGCATTTCCCAGTGGCTTTTACATTTTAGCAGTAGCTCTGGGTTACCCACCATAAGTGGGTAAATTAATGGTACTTCCAGGAGAGTGCACTACAAATAATGGTTTCATTAATGAGTTTGAAAGGAAGCATAAGAGCAACAGAAAAGAAAGGACTGAGCTTCATGCCAGAATCATGATGGCTCTGATTTCATTAGACTTTGGAGAAAACCCATCAGAGGTGCTGTTTTCACAGGGAGAATTATCCCCAAAAGTTGAGTTTTCTATGTATTATTTCATTTCCATTTTATTGTTTTAAAGCTAGCAATTCAATAAGCAAATATGTTCTTTATATTAGAATAAATGTTGTAATTATACCATTAGGCTGAAGCAAAATGGTATCTCCTGTGCCAAAAAAGTGATGTGCTAAGACTTCTCTTTTCTTTCTACAAGTAGGCACCCACAGTGCCTATGAGCATTGTATGCACGAGCTTCAGAGAAACAATACAGACCAAAACAATCGATCCATGAAAACTCACCACATGACACCAGACTGTGTGCGTGTGTGTGGCTTCAAGTTGCCTGTTGACTTACTATGACCCCCATAAAATTCATAGGGATTTCTTGGTCAGTGACTACTCAGGGGTGATTTTGCCATTTCCTTTCTCTGAAATGTAGCCTACAGCAATTGATATTTGTTGTCAATCTTTCATTCAAATACTCATCAAAGCTCTACTTAACTTCTCAGGGCCCATCCAGATAGCCCCTTTAATGTGGGAGTTCCTGCAATTAAAAGGGGACTGTCCAGATGATGTCCTGGGCAAACTCAAATTAATTCACCACAAGTCAGTAAAACCCTGGTTTGTGGCAAATTAATTTGTTAGTGTGTTTATTCCACTCCTTCTTTGAAGGTGTGAGATAAACTCACTCTACTTCCAGTGTCTGGGTTGCTCCCTCAAAAGTTCTGGACTTTTGAGGGGGCAGTCCAGACAGTAGTCCCATGGTTTTCCAGACTAAATTAGCCTGGAAAACCGCGAGGCCACCAGCCCTCTCCCCCAAAGCCCCCAAAAGCCCTTTAAAAAACAAAAGAACTTACCTGGCCTCCAATAGAGTGGTACTGGAGCTCTCCTGGCATGTAGAAATGATGTGCCAGGAGAAAGGGGAGGGAGGAGGAAAATAGCTCCTGCTCCCCCTTTCTCGTCGTTTCTACACGCCGGGAGAGCTCCAGCAGCTCTCTAATGGAGACCAGGTAAGTTCTTTTGTTTTTATAGGGCTTTGGGGGGCTTTGGGGGAGGGGGTTAGAGTGTCCAGATGTTCTCTGGAATGTTCTGGGAGAACATATGGACACCCACCCCAGAAAGCACACACTTTCTGGGGTGTGTGTGGATAGGAGCCCAGGAACATTCACATTTTTTAAACGCGAATGCTCCTGGGATAACAGGTTGTGTGGAAGTGCCCTAGGATTAGATAAAATCTAGTGCAGTGGTTCTCAATCTTCCTAATGCTGCGACCCCTTAATACAGTTCCTCATGTTGTGGTGACCCCCAATCATAAAATTTTCATTGCTGCTTCATAACTAATTTTACTACTGTTAATTATAATGTAAATATCTGATATGCAGGATGTATTTTCATTCACTGGACCAAATTTGGCACAAATATCTGATACGCCCAAATTTGAATACTGGTAGAGTTGGAGGGGATTTATTTTGTCATTTGCTGGGATTTACAGTTCACCTCCAATCAAAGAGCATTCTGAACCCCAACAATGATGGAATTGAATCAAACATGGCACACAGAACTCCCATGACCAACAGAGAATACTGGAAGGGTTTGGTGGGCATTGACCTTGGGTTTAGGAGTTGTAGTTCACTTACATCCAGAGAGCACTGTGGGCTCAAACAATGATGGGTCTGGACCAAACTTGGCTTTAATACTCAATATGCCCAAATGTGAACACAGGTGGAGTTTGGGGAAAATAGACCTTGATACTTGGGAGTTGCAATTGCTAGGATTTATAGTTCACCTACAATCAAAGAGCATTCTGAACCCCACCAACGATGGAATCGAACCAAACTTGGCACACAGAACTCCATGACCAACAGAAAACACTGTGTTTTCCAACGGTCTTTAGTGACCCCTCTGGCACCCCCTTGCGACCCCCCCCCCCCGGGGTCCCGACCCCCAGGTTGAGAAACACTGATCTAGTGCCTTTAAGTCCAGCATACATGCCACAAAACACTACAATCACTGAACACAGTCGGCAAGAATAGAGCATAATAGGATTATGTTTTGGTTTTGTGGCAGCTTGGCAAACATAGTTTATTCCAAAGACTCCTTGTCTGTTGTGGAAGCTTAGTATTCCCAGACCCACCTCATAGTAATAACATTCAAGAGTTTTTTGGGGAAAGGAAAGACTGTTCAACTAGCCTGTTGTGTTATTCTTCTTTGTGTGAGAGAGAAGCAATTAATTATATTCAATGGTTTAGTTATTGATCTTTGTGATGAATCTAGATACACAGCTATTTATATCAATGATAACAAATGTATTCATAAAGAAGAACAGATAGCCAAATGAATCACAGAACAAAAAATAGTTTTCTGTTCACCAAGGGAAGTAGATTCTAGCTCATTAGATCTTGTACCACATACCCATACTTTTTTCTCTCTTTTAAATTCATTTTAAAGAAAGCACCCACAAATTGATTCAAAGTAATGTTCTGGTTAGATGCAAGCAGAGAGAAAAAATTAATGATCCTCCGTTGTTAGAGAAATCTGATGATGAATAGAAAGTGGAAGTCAGCAAAAGTAAATGCAAGTTCGGTTAATTTTATTATTTGAAAGTCCTAAAAGGTCATCAAAAATAACAAAGAAAATGTTAGTTATAATGAAGCACGTTATAGCAAAGCAGTCATAAGCTTTATATTGAGATTAATAATAATTGCCAGATACAATTTTTAAAAGGAAACATACTCTAAGAATTGTTGTTATTAACCCAGTCAAGTAGACTTTGATTTTGAATGGCTCTGTGAATGAGAGGTCTCCAAATCACCTTATCATCATCAGCCCTGTCCTTGTCTTGCAAGCTCTTATTACTGTAGTCTGCCACCTCTATGATCTCTATTTGTGATGAAGACAAATTTAAGGTTGAAGTGCTTCTCTGAACATGTTAACATGGAATATAACAGTGCAAATATAACCAAGGGAGAAATGGAAGAGAGACTGCTGATATAAATACTTGAAGTGATGCTTGTATTCTTTCAGGGTGAGTGCATTATCTAGTGCATCATACTGAATAAATCCAAGAAATCAAAGCATGCATTCAAACGGCAGGAATCAAGAGTAACACCTGTTTTAAAAGGTCTGAATCTAATAGCTACTCTCAACTAAGGTAGACTAAATCGCTGAGCTGTAAACCAGTATTTGTGTTAGGCTGTTATTAACAGGATGTCTTGGAGATCTCTCATTCATAAGGTTGCCATTAACTGGGACATAACAACAAGTTCTTTCCTCTCCACTAATTCAATTGATCTGCTCAAATTGGCACAAGTGACTAGATTATATGTTGTTTCTCTCTCTGTTAGCTGAGCATGTATAATTTTATTCTTATCCATTCTCTATTCCTTTCAGGGTCTTCAAGGTATTCCAGGGCTTCCTGGCATTGTAGGACCTGCAGGACCTTCTGTAAGTATGTGATGATATCCTGATCTCCATTAACTAACACAGGAAGGGCCCTTCCATACAGCCATAGAACCCAGATAGGCCTGGGTAACAACGGAAAAATTTGTTTCTAAAATCGATTCGTTTTTTGGTGTTTTTTGCATTTTGATATTTAAAAGAATTCCGAATTTTTTTTAAAAAAAAAAGTTCGATATTTACGAAATTTCGTAAATGGTAAAAAAATTACAAAACAATAACGAAACAATAACGAAACAATAACGAATCGATTCGTTAATGGCGGACGCGACCGCGCAATATGCTAAAAAACCTCCAAATGGGACAGGGGGAACTTCTGAAGCTTCCCTTTCCCTCTGTTGTTGACTGTTGGTGTGATATTATAATTTTTTTTCACTAATTAAACAAAAAACAACTATAAAACTTGCCCCAGACATGCGGAAATAATAACGAAACAACCTCAAACCAATAACGAAACGAATACATAACGAAATACGAAGCATTTACGAAACGAATTGAAAAATTCGTTTCATTTTTAAGTTGCTCCAGAATGGTTCGTTATCGCTTCGTTAAAAAAAACGAATTTTTAACGAATTACGAATTAACGAAACGAAACCGCCCAGCCCTAAACCCAGAATATCATGGCAGATAATCCACAATATCTGCTTCAAACTGAAACATCTGAATCCACACTGCCATATAATCCAGTTCAATGTAGATTTTATACAGCTGTGTGAAAAGGCCCTAAGTTGCTTATAGTTTTAGATCAGAGATCCCAATGCTGTTGGAATTTTCACTTCCAGCAGCTCTGGCCGCCATAACAAGAATTGAAGAATGGTGAGACTTGCCATTCATGAACATCTCTATGTCTTGCTTTCCATTTATCTTTGTTGAAAATATAGATCACTGAAATAGAAATTCTGGCAAAATAAGTAGCAATTGCTTAGCAGGAGCAAGGACTTGTCAAGCAGGCTTGGTGGCTAAAGATTAAAAAATATGCTAAGATTGTTGAAATTTGAACCAGCAGAGACTGGAGAAGAAGTGATGTTCATGAAGAATCATTTCCAAGACAGCATTCCACATTAGGGACCCCTGGTGGTGCATTGGGTTAAACTGCTGAGCTGCTGAACTTGCTGACCAAAAGATTGGTGGTTTGAATCCAGAGAGCAGGGAGAGCTCCCACTGTTAGGTCCAGCTTCTGCCAGTCTAGCAGTTTGAAAACATGCAAAGTGTGAGTAGATCAATAGTACCATTTCTGCAGGAAGACAACGGTGCTGAAGGCAGCCATGCTGGCCATATGACCTTGGAGGTGTTTATGGACAACTCCGGCTCTTTGGTTTAGAAATTGAGATGAGCACCACAACGCCCCCCCCCCCCTCCAACAGTCGAACACGACAGGAGAAACCTTTACCGTTACTATTCCACATTACAGATTAGCTTTTCTTGCATTAAACAACATAAAGGTATCATATTACTGAGGAAAAGACATTTCTAGCATATGGTTTCATTGACTCTGAACCCCTATATCAGATGCATCTTAGTTTTTCCAAAGGTGTTACAGGATTTTTCAATCAATCAATTTATCTATATTATGGTCTGTGAACGGCATTATAAAGGAGAGCACAGTTAATTAAGATGAGTAGACAAGACAACAAAAAATGGTATGAAATGGTACTGGCTTGTAAACAGGCTTGTCGACTCTGAAAGGATTCATATATTTTCATCTGAGAGAGAGAAGGAAACATAAAAAGAATCTGAATGTCCTTAAAGTTTGATTAAGGCAGATCCATTAAAGGTTTATTAATGTTGTGGTATAAAAGGCAATAGAGAGGAGCCAGAAAGATACAAGTACTCAGAAAAGCAAATTTTCCAAAATCTTCCCTCTAGAACAGCTGAAGGGAGACAATTGAATCATTCTAGGATTTCTTTCCTTCGCATTACAGTATTCCAAGATATTCCCTGTCACAGTTAGTCATGTGAGTGAATGTCCATTAATAATAAAGTATTTTCAAGATCTTCCCCATTAATGAGTTAGTCATGTGAATATCCATTAATGCAGTAAAATGAAAACTCGGTGTAATAAAGTTTAATGCACAACCTTTGGGCACAACCATTGACATTTGAACAACCTTGGTCAGATCAAGAGGTGTTGATTCCAAGCTGGGGTGCAGTGGAGGGCAGAAATGTAAATGTAACTTTCACCCACCATATTTTTAAAATGTTTTGCACATTATAGTCACATGAGTAGAATGTAGCTGTTATCTCAGAAGTATATTAGTAACACATGCTTTAGTTACATCAAGTCTGGATAACTACAAAGCTCTCTGCAGGGAGCAATTTTGGAAGGAAATTTCAGCTGGTCCAGAATGTGGCGGCAAGGATGCTGGTGGGTGTTTGTCCCTGGGATCATATTATACCCACCCTGCAGCACCTGCTCTGCTGGGCAGTTTGCTTGGGCCATAATGTAAAATGTTGGCAATTATCTTGGATGCCCTAAAGTAGTTTCATTTAGGAGGTCAGTTTTTGCAATATCAGCCTACTCATTCATAAGAGGAGAAGTTTCATCGTGTCTGTGTCCCAAGATGATGGAGGCAGTGTTGTTTGGAAGATAAGATCTTCCCTGTGATTTTACAATTACAGTGGAACACTTTACCAACTGGAGAAGATGTTTTCATTTTGGCAGGGATCTGCTTGCCCAGGTTGATATAGTTTCATCTGAGGAGTGTGGGTTTTGTCTGTGTTGTTTACCTCAGATCATGTTTTATTGATACAGTTATTTTTACTTTGTTTTTATGCTTTACATTGTAATCTAATCAGTAATGCAATCTTTTGGCTGTATTCTAATTTGTATGATACCTGATGCATCTTTTCAATTTTAAATCAACCACTTGATAAGTAATAGCCAACCCCCCCAACCCCGAATTTGGTTACAATAATCTTCAAAAGGGACAGTTTTTAAAATCTGAATCACATATTTTGGCTTTCTTTTTAGGGGGCATTAGGGAGACCCGGCCATCCAGGATCACCTGGAACAAAAGGTGAAAAGGTATGTCACTCTCTTGTTTGGAATGATTTTGCACCAAAAAAAATATTCTTTTTACTGGGCTACTTTTATTTCAGTGTGTGGGGAAGAGCAAACCACAGATCACCTATTACAATGCAGTTTGAGCCTGGCCACATGCACAATGTAGGACCTTCTTATAACAGCACCAGAGGCACCCCAAGTGGCCACCTACTGTCAAAGGACATTTAGTATAATGCCAAGTTCTTAAACTTTGTGGGGTTTTTAAAAAATATATTAAAACTGCTTCTGATATGATAAATAAATAAATAAATTTCAGTGATAGTTCAGTAGAATCAGTGAAGGCTTTATTTTTGTGGAGATCAAATTAGAAAGTTTTGGAAATTGGGAAGTTTCAGTTCAAGGGTGTTAACACAAACTGCACACATGAATATGAACCACAGTTTGATATCTTTTGGAAGAAACACAGATACTTTCCCCAGTTACTAACCTGATTGTGAAGGCTGAGAATTTATACTAAGTGATTTCTGTTATATTTTTGGCACGCAGGCCAAGATTGATGCCAATAGATAGTTATGTAGCAGAAAGCCAGTTATGTTTTACCAGACAATTGGTGATGAGAGCTTCAGTCATCTTGTGTAGCTGTCCATATTGTGTCCTTCATTCTTCCTTGGACATCCTTTTGGATGAAATAATAGTGTCACATACATTAAGAACAAGAAGACTTCCAGAAGCTTTGCTGAAAACATGTTGAGTTCATATGAATTTAGTAGTTGGCTGCCCTTCTCAAATCCCATTTGTCTTTATGCTTCCCGTCCTTCTTTTGTGACACATGCTAGGTACACCAGCCTCAATAATCATGGCTTCTATCCTTTGCTTGTTCTGAAGAGAAAGTCTGAGTAACGTTTTCTTGCACACCTATATTATTCAGGAGTCTTGCTTGCTAAAATTGTATAGCTTCAAGCACCATATTTTGTAACACTTCAACATTGGATCAACAAGTTGCAAAAGCTGAAAGTGGGTCCTTGGATAGGTGTCAACAGCACCCCAAAGGCTCCCACAACTGGTCTTATGTTTAGGATTCAGTGTCTAAGGCAAAAGAAATAGCCACCACAAGCTGTTCCATATTACAGATAAATCACCATCAGCACTGCTTTTTTTCTGAAAAGTAATGAACCTTCTGTTTTTGTCTGGTTGCGCTGAAAACACAATTTTGTCAGCATGAATTGATGGTGGCTATTCTTTGAAAAAATTAAAATGTTATCTTCAATAGGGTATTCCTGTCTTTTCCGAGTCTTATTACTCTTTGTAATAACCTGTCAGGCGAATTCTGTGTTCCACTGTGAAGCAGTCACTGATAGTACCTCATAGCATGCGCTGAGCAATGTCATTGTGAACCCTGTCCTTTGAAGCTGATGAAAAACTGAAAGAAAGGGAATGGGAGTAATTTAGAACCCTTAGGTCCATGAGCTTGTCAATTTGCAGGAAGAAATTGTCCTTTAGGCATTGCAATACATTGCAGAAAAATATCACCAGGCACTGTGATTTTTATGAGAACTTGTCTTCTAATTTTTTAAAAAATAAAAACACATCTTTCTACTGTGGTAATTTGACCAAGAAAATCTTTATAGAGCCCATGTCATGCTAGTTTTTCAGCTGCTTTTAAAATGTCCCAGTTTCTTCTTCTTCCTTCCCAGCTTTGTTCCCAGCTTACTTCAAATGCTGCAAACTGAGTTCAAATACAAAAGTTGTTTGTGCTCAAGAAGCTCAGCTACAGAATAGGAGGAGAGGAAAATGCCATTCTCTGTGAAGTCAGGGGAAAGTGTGCTAGCTTTTTTGCTGTCTTGATCGTACTCATCTGTTACTTGGTCATACAGGTCCCAGTTTTAATCTGTGAAATGTTTCTAGGTATGCAGAAGATACTAATAGGTATAAGTCTTACTTGCCCTATTCTGCATTACGTTCAAAAGCACTCACTTTGTGAAACCAGTGTGTATTGGACACATTTCTCATGATACTTGAGGTGTTGCACCACAACTAACATGCCTGAACTGTATATCAGGATGTTCCAGGTTCAAATGTCACTTCTGTTTTGCACTCACTAAGTGTTCCTAAGTAAGCACCACATCCTTTGATCATTCACATCTACAAAATAATGAAAACAGAGCAGGGCTATCTTTCAGTTTGTTACGACAATGGGTTGCCATGGCACAATGCTATAGGATCATTGGAGTTGTTGTTTAACAATGTAACTGAAGCAGCATACAGGAAACATACAACTCCCATGTTACGCCAGCTGCACTGGCTAACAGTTCTCTATAGAGCACAATTCAAAGTGCTGGCTTTGGCCTATAAAGCTCTAAATGGCCCTGGCCCAATTTACTTGTCCAAACACATCACCCTCTATGAACTGTTGCAGAGATAAAGATCTTCCAGGGAGACCCTGCTCTCCCTCCCGCCGCTTTCTCAGGTACAAGTGGGAGGGATGAGAGAGAGGGCCTTCTCAGTGATTCCCCTGAATGAGGCAGCAATAGGAACTCTTAGTATACCAACCAGATTTGATATGGTTGTTTGAAACAGTTTTAAATTGAGGATTTTAACATCAAGATAAGTTATTTTAATGTTTTTGTATGTGTATAGTCTAGTATGTTTCAGCATTGAGTCCCCTTCTGGGTGAGAAGGGTGGAATATAAATTAAATAAATAAATAAATAAATAAATAAATAAATGTCTTTTCTGCCAAAGTGTGCTGGTGCTTCACCAAACTACAAATCCCAAAAACTCACCTCTTCTTCTTACTCTTTTTTATGTGTGGAGAGAGCACTTTAGACTCCTGACAGAATTTATTTTTATTAGATTAGAAGTGTTTGTGCTCTCTCTTTTTTTTTTTTTTGTATGGTATAAACAAGTATGCAGCTTTCTCTTTTCTCTGCTTTCCAATTTGTAGGACAAAGTTGCTGTTAAGACAGAATGGTGTTGTCACATTCAGTTTGCAAGTCCTCTGTGAATCTAGTCAATGTGATCACATAAGCCTGCACACAACCTGTATTGACATTTTATTGTTCTTCATGTGATACAGGGAAACCAGGGTGTTCCTGGGAAGCCTGGACCTCCTGGCCCACCTGTAAGTACAATGTGTGATATGGCAAATCCGAGCAGGAGTGGGGAGGGGAGGCAGGAGGCCCAAGCATGTTTGGAAGGATGTCCCACTGATTTCAATGGAAGGGTTTTTAAACTGAGGAAGTGTGTTTATACTTTTAAAGTGCAATCAATTTAATGAAGCCTGGACTTCTGTATAGAGCAGAATTCAGAAAACGTCAGCATTTCAAATACTTTGGACTACTATCATACAATCACATTCTCATTGATCATGGTGGTTAGAGTTGATGGGACTAGTTGACCAAAACATCTGGAAGGCAGTGGTTACTCACGTAGGAAAGGCTGTGTTTTCATGCTGAGATATTAGATCAGTGGTTCTCAACCTGTGGGTCCCCAGGTGTTTTTGGCCTACAACTCCCAGAAATCACAGCCAGTTTTCCAGCTGTTAGGATTTCTGGGAGTTGAAGGCCAAAACATCTGGGAACACACAGGTTGAGAACCCATTGTTCTAGGTTGACACTGTTCGTTTCTTTGTGTGTGTGTGTGTGTTAAAGTTTGTGAGGCATTAGAGCTAAAGTACCTTATAGAAGGTCAGATTTTTTTTTTGTTTCCTGGCTTTCATTGTTATTTTTTCTTTCTCCGGCTCATTCACATTTTCAGGGAGTGCCATACAATGAAAGAAATGGCATGAGCAGCCTCTATAAACTGCAGGTATTTATTTAATCATCTATTAACCAAAACTCTGTGGTTTATAGTCATTCTGCATGAATTCAAATGCAGTGTTTTCCTCACTACAGGGGGGTACCAATGCTGCAAGTTATGCTGGTCCACCTGGCCCTCCTGTAAGTATTGCACTGTTATACTCTTTTGGTTACACCTAACAGAGTGGCTGAATCCAAAAAGCCATGTCTTTGTCTAAAATCAACAGGCAAGGAGGAAGCGGATGTTAAACAAGAGTCTATTATACTTTTATATGTATTATATAAATAGTAGACTGTGCCCCCTTAAAAGAAATATGTTATGGAACACTAATAGATGGAAAGTATTGCACTGTACACAACAAACATTTACAAATATGTCTATTTGAATAAATAAATAAATAAATAAATAAATAAATTAAAGAAGTAAAATCAACAGGCATTGAAAATATGTCTAACTTGGCCTATAGATTTCAGTGGTACTTAAGCATGGCTAACTTTCATAGAATCCTACCAGCAGTCTATATAAGTTGAGAGCTATTCATTATGTATTTTATAAGGTTAAAGTATTTGATCACTCAGAGCCCTTCCAGACAGGCCCTATATCCCACGATCTGATGCCGGGTTTTCTGTTTATCCCAGATTATTTGGCAGTGCAGACTCATATAATCCAGTTTAAAGCAGAAAACCTGGGATCTGATCCTGGAATATAGGGCCTGTCTGGAAGGACCCTAAGGGATAAAACATGTATTTTCCATGGATAGGTTCACAGTTTCAATTCCTACCATTTTCTAGTTAGAAAAACCGACTCTTGAAAATTGATGGACCTGTTGTCTGTGATGACAGTACTGAGCTAAATTGACTATCTGACTCAGCAAAAGGCAATTTCCCACATATCTAGGCTATAGAGGACTTATTCCCTAACCCAGTGATCCATTGTGGGTCCAGGATATCAGGGTGTGCCAAACAGTCTCTTACCTACATATAATTTACATTCATTCCATTGGACAGGATTATGAAAAACAAAGTTTTCTATATAGAACTCCCATTCATGTACATTAAAACAAGTTAAGTAGACTTAGGAAATATAATCAGTCTATTTGTGAGTCAACTAAAACTTTTGTCATGTGAATCTTTTTTTTTTTACAATAGAGTTTTGGGGTTTTTGTTTTGTTTTGTGTTTTCTTGTTTGTTTGTTTGTTTTGGAGTTTGTTTGGGTTTTTTTGCTATTTTCCCTTATAAGTTCAATTGTGCTTTGAAATAAAAGAATAAGCTGAAATACCATTTCAGGAGCTATGAAACAAAACAGAGCTGTCTTTCATCCAGTTTGGAATAGATTTCATTGTCTTATATTCCTACTGTATATGGGAGGTGAACTACCTAATTTTTTGGTATAATTCAGCTTTTGTTTCATGTGCATATTTGATCCAGCATTTTTCAGACAACTTGCTAATCTTCTAATGAGAACTAGGTCTGAAAAATGGCCAGATGGAAGGGGTAGTCAAGGGGCTCTTCAGAGTTCATCACCTGAAATGTCAGCAGGAAATACAAATAGGATGAAGATGAAACTTGAGTTGTATGCATTCTTATTTTCAACATTCTTTAATGAATTATGGTATTGTCCTCCAAACTGGGGCTGCACAGTCCAGAAATTTGTCTAAAATGCCTCATGATATGTGAGCATGTGTATAAAACATTATATTTATTCTTTTGTTTATATTCATTTATATTTAAATTGATAAAATAACAACATGACTAAATGGATAGATGGGTGGATGAATTTTTGCCCTTTGCCTTTCAGGGCCCAAAGGGTGACACTGGAGCAACGGTAGGTAACTGATTAAAATGTCTCTCAAACATTTGGTAGCATGAGAGGATGGTCCTTCATCAAATATAATTTCAGCTAGCCTTTGTATCAGAATCATTTTCCAAGTCAAAAGAAACAGTAGATAGATAGATAGATAGATAGATAGATAGATAGATAGATAGATAGTAATGAAACTCAAAGTGACAGTGTTTGCTTTTACCTGGTTTAATAAAGACTGCGTTTTTTATGTAACAATATGCAATAATATTCTAACTATGTTTAAATAATGTGCCTCGAAATCCTGATGTATACAAGTCTGAGCAAGGTAGCGGATAAGATACCTGATTACTGGATGTTCCATATCATATAATCATAGAGTTGGAAGAGACCTCATGGGGCATCCAGTCCAACCCCCCTGCCAAGAAGCAGGAAAATCACATTCAAAGCACCCCTGACAGATGGCCATGCAGCCTCTGTTTAAAAGCCTCCAAAGAAAGAGCCTCCACCACACTCCAGGGCAGAGAGTTGAGTTCCACTGCTGAACAGCTCTCACAGTCAGGAAGTTTTTTTCTAATGTTCAGGTGGAATCTCCTTTCCTGTTGTCTGAAGCCATTGTTCCACATCCTAGTTTCCAAGGCAGAAGAAAACAGAAATATAATCCAGATTAAATGGATGCAAAAAGGAACAAATCAAATAAAGCGCTCTGAGGCAAAACCAAAAGGCACAGTACACAGATGGTTAACAAAAGGAAGGGCCGCAGGAAGAGAAGCATCATCAGCCGAAGTCCAGGGTTGAAGCGGGACAAATCCGAAACAGCACTGCTCCAGGGTCCGCAGAAGCAGCGTCTTTAGCCAAACTGGTCCAGGAAGGGAGAAGTCCACATTCATGAGAAGCCAATCCAAGTCAATAACATGCAAACGATCAGGAGATCCAAACTGCAGATCCAACGCTGAACACGAAACAGGCAGCAGCAAGTCTACAAGAATCCTTTTCAATACACAGCACCCAACACATGAATGCTCACCAACACCTTGCCTTCTGCAAGAACCCATCACCCCTAAACCACTTTTATTTACAGAAGATGAACTGACCACTGCCCAATCATTATCCCCCGCAGCTGCTCCCAGCTCTTCACATGAATTCCCTTGTCTTTCCCTCCAAGTCCTCCATCTCCTGTCAAGACTTAGGTCCCCCCCCCCAAGACTTGGTTGGATCCCCTGATTGCCCGTCTTCACCCCCAGAGAACCCCATAAAGGTATCACTAGTTGTTGGCTCCTCACAAATAGCTTGTACTTCTCTTATCTTAGTCCAATCCATGGTGCCTCCTTCTTCTCCTTCACTCATTAACCCATCATCCCCAGATAATCCCTCAAATGACTCCTCATCTGTAGGTGCTGTAAATATGTCCCGGATCCTCTTTCTCTGCTGCTCATCATCAGAATCCTGCTCCCGAGTAACCCTTTTCCCCCTTCTGGCACCCATACTACTGGACCCATCATCCCCATAGAATCCCTCAAATGACTCCTCATCTGTAGGTGCTGTAAATTTGTCCCAGATCCTCCTTCTCTGCTTTTCATCATCAGATTCCTGTTCCTGAGGAACCCTTTTTCCCCCTCTGGCACCCATACTACTGTTTGTAATGTTACTCAACAGTAAATGCACAAGCTTACTTCTATAGATTCCTGTTACTGGGTTGAAATCATGTGAGAACTGACCTTGATAAGATATACTCATCAAATGATTTCTGTATCCCTTACCAGGGATGTAAATCAAAACAGGAATATTTATTCACAAAATAAGCACAATCTGAAGCTTGAATCAGTTACTTAGGTCATTAAACCAATCAATGGCTCAAAAAAAGCCATCTCCAAGTAAACAACATGCTTAACAATGTGTGACGTGTTCTAAAATTGAGTGCTTAACTTTATTGAAAGTACAAAATGCTTCTGCAATCATCTTTTTTTCTTTACAAGGGAGAATCAGGCCCAATGGGGCTTCCAGGACTAGAAGGACTTCAAGGAGAAAAGGTAGGATTCTCATAATAAAACTGGCCTGTCTTCTCTGAACAGATTTGAATACATTACTTACTGGATCTGGACACTTTTTGACAATATACATTATGTGTTATATTGGCAAAATAACGTGCCATACTATTGAAAACAACACTAGTTAGCGTTCCCGCTGTATAACAGAATTTAATTTTACGCAAATTTATACCTGAATACAGAGTATTATTTTGTAGTTGGCATAGTACGCTAGTCGTAGTAGTTGTTTATGCCTGGGGCATTTGGGGAAAGAAGGGAGGGCACATCTCTTCTCCCACACAGCAACTGTGATGTTCTAGAAATGTTGGCTGATATTTCTCTGCAAAAAATTGTGATACAGTAGCTTATGACAGGCATCTCTTTATGCACCAGACTAGGGGTTTACAGCCCAAGATTGTATGACAACTGGCAGATTCCACATCGGTACAATGGTGATTTTTGTTTCAGCTTTTAATTTGAATTTTAAACGAGCTATCAAGATGCCAATCTGTTTTGTAGAATGGAATCAGTCCCTGAGATGGTACTTCTAAAGTTCACACTAAAAGTCAGAGTGGATTTACCACCTTCATGCCATGAAAGTCACCAGCTTCCACTAATAGGGCAAAAATATGAACTCAAATATATTGTTTATTTTTGTTCTTGTTATTATAAGAAGTAAATGGTATATGGATCCTTTTACCCATCTTCCTGATCAAACTTACTCCCCTTGCACACTGCCATTATAATGCAGTTTGAACTGGATAATATAGTCAGTGTAGACTTATATAATGCCGACTGAACTGAATTCAGTTAGATTATATGACTCTGCAGTGCCATATCATCCAGTTCTATATGCATTATTACATCAGTGTGCATAGGGCCTAAAGGTTTTCCAGAATTCTTTCCAAATCTGTAAGATTGTATTCTCTTAGGGAACATCTACAGCTACTGAAAAAGAAAACGGGTGTATAGGGCCCAAGGGTTGGTCCAATGCCATCTGGAAGCATCCATGAAGTCCTTTGGCTCGCTAGTCCACGAGCTCATGGGGTTGCTACCAAGGCCAGCAAACAGTTCTCTCTCAGAGACTTGCTGGTGATGTCACATTTCTGGCCACCTAGCTTACTGTTCAAAATAACATAATAACATTACCGGAAATACTAGGTTCTTCAGTGTTGACCATAGAGTAAAAATGTACTGTATTTAGGGCGGGGGGGGGGGAGGACACACAGAGAAAGCACACAGTGTCTGTAGAATTTATTTGGTAAAATACTCACAAAGCTTTAGCTTCTCAGAGCTTCTCAATTTTTTGTGAAAATTTTGACCTTGACAGATTGTTCATGAAATATTAACAATGCCGTTCCTCTTTCTTAGGGAGACCAAGGCCCAGCAGGTTCTCCAGGGGTCCCAGGAATACCTGTAAGTATACTGTTAAAGATGCAATTTAAATGCAACCTCTTGTGCTGGAAGAAATGACATTCATCATAATACATGGCATATTAGTGGAAAATTGATATCTGCATCTCTCCTGGGGGCTGAAAGAGAATTGCTTTCTACTAAAACCTTTCCTGAGTCGCTCTTATCTTACATTAGCTAAAGTCGGCTAGCACCTGTTGCTAAAACAGGATTTGGGTTTTTTTGGGGGTTTTGTTTTTTTTAGAAAAACTAAATATCATCACAAACCTGCTGGTAAATTCTGCCAGAGATATTTTGTATGCCTAAGAATTTACACTGAGGTTCTTCCAACTTTATCCTCCACCTGAATAAAATATGTATTTAAACAAAAAAAAATCCATCTTTATTTGAATTGGGTGGAATTGTACTCAGTTAACCAAATAGCTTATTCTATGTGGTATTATTATTATATTTGCTTTGGAACAATATATTACATTCTTCACTGTAGCCCCTTTAAGAAAAACATCTCCAGCTCTTTGGATACAACATGTGCCCATTTATTTTTGGAAATTTTATAATTCCCATTCTCCCTGAAGGTTTTGCATCCTTCAATCTGGAGATGCTGAGGACATCTTTTGCTGTTTATTAAACTGCTCGCTGTTTAAGGCAGAAATTTCTGAACTTGCATCCTCTGTTCTTTTTCCAACAGAACCCCCATTGGAAAAAGACACACACACTGCCAGAAAGTAGTGATATTGCCATTACTATGCAGATTGCAAAATTACCCAGGGCTTATAGAAAACTAAGAACCAGGCACCATAGTTTAGCAGACTATATAGAATAATCTCTCATCTTTTAAAACTTTTTGTATCTATTAGGATGGGATGGGGGACTTAATGCAATTTTTATGCTGAAAGAGAATGTTTTATTATGATTTTTTTTCTTTTAGCAAGTTAAATCGTTTAAGGTATGGCTTTTTGTGTGATAAATATAAATGAGACAATAAGATGCCCTTGTATCTCCTACAAATTTAATATATTCTGGTTAAGTTCCGAATATTACATTGCAATGGCCCATGGCTATAAACAATAAAGTTACAGATACAGCTAGAAAATCACTACATTTGGGTGTTTAGAGCAGTTTAGAGCAGATTTTCTCAGGAGCAGACACTCCTGAGAAACAGTGTCTTAAATCAGAGAAGTGCAACAATGCTTAGCACCAAAGAGGAAAGAATGCCGCAGGGAAGGCAGTGGTAATAAAGTTAAATAGTAATAAGGTTAGAGTGGCCCACAATGCTCTCCCTTCTTTTCTGACCCTCTGTGGTGTAAACCATTACTTTTAGAGATGTTATCTTCATTTTCCACCTGTCCACTCTGGGCCCATACATATAATCAAGCTAGATTAGTTTAGCACCCCTGCCCTACTTTAGTTTGCTTCTCCAAACCATTGGTGTCTTTGTTTTTTAATCAGGAAATCTGTTGCAAACATTCTCCATCATTGATCTTCAATTGGATATTCAGCTGGATATTCTGAGTCAAAACATGGTACCTTCTGCTCTGCATCACTCAGTACTTATTCTTCAAAACATCACCCAGGCCTTCCTGCACTGAGCTTTCCCCCTATGCAACCACTTCCTTCTCCTATTCTAGCAGATCAAGTTTTCCTCAGCTATCTTGATTTCCAATCCCCCATTTCTCCAGCCCTCTCCTGTTCATAGAACTTACATAGATGTTTCCGCATAGAAGTGCTAAATCCTTCCCTGACCACTTCCTGCAAAATTATTAACCAGTCTGATCTGAACTTAAGAACGTTTTGAACAGTTTTACTTCTTAGATACCAGATATCTCTCTGTGCCAGCAAAAAAACAGCAGGTAGTCCCAACACTCCATTGCACTTGCATGTTACTGTAAGAAGGAGGAATAGTCACATAGTGTGTGCCTCCAAATAGAGCAGAGGTGTCAAACATGTAGCCCTCCAGATGTTTCAGATTCCCAGAAGCCCTAGCCAGCTTGTCCAATGGCAAGCAATTCTGTGAACCAAAGTCCAAAATACCTGATGGGCCACAAGTTTGACCCCACTGAGCTAGAGCCTGGCTCTTTCCTTCAGTGCTCGTTTGAGGAGAAGGAGTGCCCCTTGGAAACAAAGCACAATGGGAAGAGAAACTTGGAAGTTCATCTGTGTTGGTTGGAAAAACAGCAGAGCAATGCCAGTGGAGTATTCCACACTGGTATACTCTACAAGTATAAAATCTTGATCTGTAACAATTAGTACTTAGGAGCAAACAATATAATACCTACTACTCCTTTTGTGTTCCATCTTTCCCATAAAATTAAACACAACTAGCCTTCTGTTTAACATATTTTCTGAATGTGATCTTTTGTTACACCTCAGCAGGAGTTCACCCTTCTCAAGCACTCACCAGGAAGCCAAATGTAGTAATAAACAGTTTATTGATAGAACACACAGTAAAAGAGTAAAAATCCAAATATGTGAAGAAAGTAGAAGTCCCCCCCCCCCAAAAAAACAAAACAGAGATAAATCTCCAATGCAAAGGTTAAAGAAAGAACATAAATCCAAGATACATGGAACAAAACATGAGCTTGATTAATCCAAGAAACAAGGAACAAAACATGAGCTTGAATCCATGGGTAAAATCCCCAAGACTGGTAGCAAAACTTGACTAGGAAACTTGGCTTGAATCAATAACAGGATGAAAAACAAGGCAAGAGCTTCTCACTCCATTCGTGATGTTGCTTGATCTGAAACCTAAGAGCTTCCTTTCCCTAATTAAGGAGAGCAATGCATGAAGGCATGTTGTTGGCCTTGAGAAGCCTGTCTGTGCCTCTCTTTCCCAGGCCTCTGCTTCCCTTTCCCATGACTTGGTGTGCACCTGTAATTCTTCCTCCGCAGGACCAGCCTTGATTCTCTTTCTAACTCCCCTTCATTGGGTAAACTCAGGTCCTCCTCCCTTCTCTGCCTGTCAGCCTCTGAAACAGTTTCATTTTCACACAGAGAATCAACATCTAATTCCAAATCCCCCTCCGATCTCCCAACCAGGGAATCACCATCCTGTTCCAACATCCTCTCTGTCTGAGCACCTCCAGAAGCATCAGGCCCTGCACCCCCAAACCCCTCATCATCATCATCAGCTGGCTGAACTACAACATCTTTTTAATACAATGAATGAGAAAACATGCAGGCATCTGCTTTTGAAAAGTATTACAATTTGAAACATTCGTAACAGAAATCCATTTAATGACACTGACTAATATATTTTTAGAAGCTAGCTCCAAAATATTAACAGGCGTTTTATGAATCCATTTCTTTTAATTTAAAGTTAAATTTGCTAACTTCACTAAAAGAAATACACACACTGAAAAATGAATCTGATTTTGGTTATCCATGCAACTAGATGGATGGTTTGAAGCAATGTTTATTTATAAGATTAACCTATGATCTCAACCATTGATAATCAATGATAAAGCTGCTACTTAGATGAATCACAATAGCATACATCCAAGTTCTTAAATAATAAGCATTCTTTCTGAACAGCAAATATTTAATGCTTCTCATCTTCTGTGCCAAGGATTTTATGAAAGAAAAATTGGACCTTACACATTTTATAATTTCTCCTTGACAACATTCCTACCTTGTTCCTTGATCATTTGAACACTGATGTAAATAGTCTTACCAACTACCTGCTGCCTTCCTTTCAACTATGTACGTATTTGCTTCCCAGTTCGTTGAGATATAGACTCAGCAGTTTCTACATTCAAGATATCACCATGTTAAACCCACACCTGAATCAAACCATTGTCTATCTAATTCAGTTGTCAACCTCATCTAAAGCACATCGATAAGATTTCAGAAGAAGCCAGAAGCCAGTCATTCCAAACCCTAACTGGAAATGACAGGCATTGAACCTAAGACTTTCTGCATACAAAACATATGCTCCATCATAAAAAATTGGCATTTTTTTCTTGATTTCTACAGGGTAAGCATGGTGCACCGGGGCCGGCAGGAATGCCTGGAGAGCCAGTAAGTGTCACTTCATTTCATACCCTTTCGCAATATTTGCCTTTTGTTTTTTTCTTATCCACTAGAATGACTATTATCACCTTACTTTTAGGGTGAAAGGGGCCCTATTGGAGATATTGGCTTTCCTGGACCAGAAGGACCACCAGGCATACCAGTAAGTTTTTTAACCTGTAATGTCTGATATATCTAATTTTCTCTTTTAATTGATTCTTTTTACTCATGTCAGAAGTGACTTGAGAAACTGCAAGTCGCTTTTGCTGTGAAAGAATTGGCCATCTGGAGAGACATTGCCCAGGGGACACTTAAATGTGTTGCCACTCTCTAGGAGGCTTCTCTCATGTCCCCACATAGGAAGCTGGAGCTGACGACGGGAGGTTACCCGGTCTCACATATTCGAACTGCTGACCTTCAGGTCAGAAGTTCAGTCGGCACAAGGATTTAGCCCATTGTGTCACTGTGGCACCTTCTTTTAATGGATGTGCTATGATCAATGTTTGAATACATACCCTCTTGCAATTTATTTATTTTTTATTATCTCCCTATGTGATTTTTTAGATATCCCATTATATCATGATTTATAATTGCAAAATCATTTTAATGAAACAAAAGATATCTCTTCCTGTAATATCACAGATATTTTTCATAGTAAAAGGATCATTGTTATTTTTCTAGGGCATAAATGGAAAGGATGGATTGCCTGGTCCCCAGGTAGGAAAGTAACAGTTTGTACAATGTGTAAATTATCATTCTATTTGTGAACATAGTGGGAGATTGATAGCTAAAATTAATTTGGGAATATGTTTGTGTGTTTAAGAAAGATTTTTTTTTCCTTTTTTCCCCAAGGGTTTACAGGGAAAATCAGGTGACAGAGGCCCTAAAGGAGAAAGAGTAAGCTATACTTCTATCTAAATCTTTCTTTATTTTGTAAATTATACTTGTAGTTCAACATCTTCCTAAAGGACTTGGAAGAAGGAGCAGGGGAATGGTCATTGAATTTTCAGGTGATCATAATTTGAAAGAAGGAGCAGGGGAATGGTCATTGAATTTTCAGGTGATCATAATTTGAAAGACATATTTGATACCTTCAAAAACAGAACCAGCCTTCAAGGTGACCTTAAAAGATTTGAAAACAGACCAAAACTAATTAATTTCAACAGGGATAAACATGAACATTCTACTTTTAGATAAGAAGCATTAGAAGCAGTACTATCACAGAAGTGACATTTAACTTATCAACAGAATCTGAAAGGATATTGAAGTCTTATTAGACTAGAACAATGATTCTCAACCTGTGGGTCCCCAGATGTTTTTGGCCTACAACTCCCAGCAATCCCAGCCAGTTTACCAGCTGTTAGGATTTCTGGGTGTTGAAGGCCAAAACATCTGAGAACTCACAGGTTGAGAACCACTAGACTAGAAGCAAAACCTAAATTAACAATATAATGGAGTGACAAAGAACTGAGCAATTCTAGAGGATGCAGCCTAGAACTGGATAGGAGTCCTGTTGGGCACTTATGAGAAACTTAAACTTATACACTTGTGATTGTTTCACATTCACGATCCCTACAAAGCCTCGAGTTTAGGAAATACATAGAGGTCATGGAAGCCCCTCAATTTCCATCTACCAAGCAGCAGCCACAGTCTGTTCCACTGGCATCACTAGTGCTGGTGTCACCTAATGCGATTACATATGGTGTCACCTCCATGGACCTCCTCCCGTACCACACCATACTATAATTTTGTAGTTAAAATACGAGAAAATTTGACAAAATCAGGAACTATTTTAAAAAACCAACAATGAAAACAACAGTTTGCACTTTTAGTGTACATTGACAAAACCATGTGATTCGTAGCATTATTGTAATTGAGTAATAATAACAGTTTGAAACACATACACATTATTATAAGGTTCAGAAAGTAAGATAGATTGGAACTTTAGTCTTGTAGCTATATTGATACTTGTATGTAAGCTAGGCTGATGAAAATTACCTTAAAATACAAGTATATTTTTCAAATAAAAAACACTGAATTTATTCTGAAACACTACACATGATTTTTTAATATAGACAAGTCATTTTGAAGTCACCCCTCTGACTGTATCACCTAATGTACCCTGAACCCTCTGGACTCCCCTTGTGGTGCCACAGGTCTGTTCCTCTGTCACTCAAAACTCAGCTTGGGCCTGGCTTCTGCCTGTTGCACTCACAAGAAGGGATAGGACTGTGAGGTAGCTGTTTCCCAATTAATAAGGAACAGACCCCCCCCCCCCCCATCTATTAAAGAAGCTGTTCCCTGGTAAGTGGGCATTGGGGGAATCAGGATGAGAGTTATTGCATAGTGCAGTGACTACGGTATTTAGACATTTGTAACTCCCTAACAAGATTGTGGCCATAATAACCAAACCATAGGAAGCAATAGTATCACTTTGTGCTGCCTTAGTCAGATCTCGCTTGAAGTATTATCTCCAGCAGAAAATGTCACAAACTTGTTTTCTGGTGCTCCAAAGGGTATTACCCAAACAAATTACCAGCAAGCAGACTCCAACTAAACTTTGTTTCATGAAGGAAACTGTGTTCAGTAATGAAACAGACTCCTGTAGAAGTGATCAGATTTTCATTAATTGGCATTTAAAAAAAAAACAAGGGTTGGAGGAGTACCTGCTAAGAATGCTTTCCCTGTGGATTTCCTGCAATGATTTGGATTTGGATGTAAATAATACTTGTCATCCCTTCCAATGCTACAGTATTAAATTATGTGATTTTATTGCTAATGTATCATATCAGCAAGAGTACGTGTCCTGCAGAGTATTTTTAGTATTTGCTATAACATTACTATCTATGTATAAATAATTCCGATGTGTCTCTGCTGAATGTAAATAATTTGTTAGTGATTTGCTGAATATAAATAATTTGTTAATGATTTGGAGAAGTTAATAGAGGAACTTGGAGGGTCATATTACAGGCTTTTCGCTTTGCTCTCTGCCTATTTAATAATGTCTATTTAAACTCTAGTCAGGATTCCATCGTGGATTCAATTAAGTCTAGAGTTTCATCATAACTGAAGTTTTAATTATGGTTCATAGCAAATGTTAAGCCAGTGGAAATCAAAGGGATGTAAAGGTCAAATTCATTGACACGAGGGGCTTCAGTCTTTCCCTGTAATCCCTAGCTTTCTCTCTGCAAACATTTCACTGAATCATTGTGATGCAGTAATTTTAGCAGATTCTCTCTCCTCCCTGCTTTGACTTCAGAGGTTCTTTCAGGCAAGTGTTCAGCGGTTGCACCTTGAAAAAGAATGATAATGAGAGGAACCAGAAAACAAACTGTATTACAGATAACATTTCCATGTTTCCCATCACAGTATAGCACTGAGGCTTTTGGCTGATAGCATAATGAATGATGCAACTGAAAGCAGCCAGCTGTTTAATCCAGTTACTTTTTTAAATATTTCCTTTCACTAAACAATGTAATGCTATGGTGAAGCAAGGCTTTCAGAGGAATCTTACTCATCCATGAAAAGTACAAGTTTGTATTCAAACATTTAGTTCAAACTTAACAGAAAGCCTTGTATGATCAAATGAGTATATAGATACAGCCCTGAAAGCCATTCTTAGTGAAATCTTTGCTATTTGATTTTTCATTTTCTCCAAGAAATGAAATATTTTCAATTTGTTCCATGTAAAAACAAAGCACCCTTTCTATTCATCCCCAAGACTTAATAGGGTTCTGCTCAATATTCTTCTTTCAGAATACTATCCACTAGTTCACAATGCCACATCATCTTACAAGTTCAAGCCATGTGTAACCTTTAAGTATACATATGCTCATGGTCACCTTCATGCCAATCTGAACTATAAAGTGTATGTCTTTCTACTGTGCTATACAAATCATCATGCTTGAACAAAGTTGCCAGAGTTTGTTATTGCTGTACTCCTGGACTGGGAACACCTCTGTGCTAAACATCAGACTCCAGTCCAAGTGAAATTAGAAAGCAGTTTATTGAATAATATAAATAAAAAGCAATTCAGCAAAATAGTGTTAAAAAACCAAAGTCTAAATATAAGAAATAGTCCAAAAAATTCAAGGTACAAGAGTAGTATCAAAAACCAGGAATACAAAAGCAGAATAAATCCAAAACATGAGATTCAGGAACAACCTTTGAAACTTGGAAGCATGGAACATGAGCAACAAAAAACATGGAACTAGAAATCCCTTAGAAGATATGAGATGTACCCTCAAACATCAATGTTGACCAAACTGCTGGGCAAAAGTCCCGGCCTCTTTAATATACCCCCAAAATCATGTCTTTTCACATGAGATTCAGATATGGGCCTCTTTTGTAATAAGCACCATGACCTTCGTATTCTTTGTTGATAGGTCTCCTATCAATAAACTCATTACCATTACCTTGAAGCTCATTATCCTCAGCACATGGAGTTTCAGCCTCTGAACTCCTTTCACTAGAGATCGGCTCTGCTGCATCCTTTAGAATGTGGCCTTGACTAGTTGGAGACACAGGCTGCTCAGTTTCAGGACTTAAAATCTCAGGCCCAGGGTCCCCATTCTCAGGCCCAGAATCTTCATTAACAGTAATATCAGACACCACCATGGACTAAACTACAACAGTTATCTAGTAGACCAAATACAGTTTATAGCATTATTTCAGACCCGATTAGTCAACAGTTTTGTGTCTTTCTATTGCTATGATCATCTTTAGGCACCTCAGATTTCCTGTGTTGATACCTTATATACTTTAGAGTACAACAATGTTTTTATTAGTTTTAATGTTGTGAAAACCCATTGTTCTCCCCACCCTATCTTTAAAAAAATGTACAATTCAGATCTTATAAACCAGCACCTCCCCTAACCATTGACATTCTTATCCTTTCTTCTTCCCCACTTCATCCCTTCCATTCCATTCATTTATAAGTAAAAGTGAAAATACAATGACATTCAGTATTCACAGAAATTTGGTTCCAGGACCCTTGTGGATACCAGAATCCATAGATGCTCAAGTTCTGTTGTATACAATCGCATAGTGAATTGGCATCCCTAATATAACATGGTGTGCAACTAAAATGAGTGTCAGAAAGAGCATGATAATCTGAAATGACAAGAACCTACAATAGGACATTCTTATATATCAGCAAAAATCAAATTTTGATTTTTGATATTTTTTTTCTACAGGTATTTTCAAGCAGTGGCTGATTAAATCTGTGGGTACAAAACCTATGGATATAGGGAATCAGCTGTAGTTGTTTTTGAATTACTTTTCAGATAAGACAGTGGTTCTCAACCTGTGGGCCCCTAGGTATTTTGGCCTACAACTCCCAGAAATCCCAGCAGTTTACCAGCTGTTCGGATTTCTGAGAGTTGAAGGCCAAAACATCTGGAGACCCACATGTTGCGAACCACTGACCTAAGGCATCAGAGTCTGTCATAATAATCTCTGAACCATTTCTTTCTACATTATCCAACAGTTTAATGCTGTTTACTGAGCTTGCAACAGATCTGAGTCAAACAAGTTGTTATTAGAGAATGTTCTCTTTATTTTGAACAGGGAGATCAAGGTATACCAGGAGACAAGGGCCCTCAAGGCGAAAGAGGAAAACCTGGCCAATCAGGAGACAAAGGGGATGTAGGACTGATGGGACCTCAAGGGATCAAAGGCCACGCAGGATCGCCAGGTCACAAGGGCCCTCCAGGTTCACCGGGAGTCCCAGGCTTACCGGTAAGGCTGAAGCATGGTGAAGACTTTCCTCCCGTTAAGTACAAGTAAATTGAGCAGATTTTACTGTCATTTCATTTTTCCCTGTATACTGCATAATATTTATAAATATTTGTGTTGTTACAAAACTCCGTAAAGACACACTGGAAAAATATGCCTGTAACACCTGTGCTTGCCTTTTTATCTTTTTAAAAATACTTTTGTATCTTCAACAGGCAGATTCAGCTTTATTTGAAGAAATGAAAAAATATATCAGACAAGAGGTTCTTCGTGTTTTTGAAGGTGAGGAAAGCAAACAACAGAATCTAACTCTTTCTACTTCCATTGTAAAGAATTGCTTTCATGTTTTATTTTATGTCCTCATAATATGTGTATTGGAGCCGGGGGAGGGGGGGAGATCACTCAAATTACCCATACATTGAAAAACAACCAAAATTGCTGGTTCTCTAACATTTTTCTAATACTGAAACTACTATATTAATAAGTGGTCTAAAGATTACTCAGAAATTATTGTTGTTTGCAAGAACTATTCTCATTTTAAATGACAAAGGACATAAAATACCACTATGAGGCATATGCTCTATACAGAGGAATAACTAGGGGGGCTTTCATACTACACAAATATAGCACTTCTGATTCAGAAGTTATAACATATTTCAACCACCATGGCCTTATTCTAGGGAGTCCTGATTTATATTGTGATGGTGCCCTAGAGCTCTCCGGCTGAAAAATCAAGATGTCCCTCCCTATATGTGTATGGGAGACACTAACAAATACCAGATGCTCTAGGCTATATCTCAAAGGAAGGAATTGGCAAAACCACTTTAAGGATTTGAGGCAAGGCCATTAAATGCTAATCAAGGTGGCCAATTACAACATTCACACTTGCCTTGAGCAGACAAGAGTTCTTTCTCTCACCTTGGACATGCCACAGATATATAAACCTCACTTGCCTAGTTTCCAACAGACCCCTCAACCTTTGAGAATACCTGGCACAAATGCAGGTGAAACATCAGGAGAGAATGCTTCTGGAACATGGCCATACAACCTGGAAAACTCACAGCAACCCAGTGATTCCGGCCATGAAAGCCTTCCACAACACACTTTGAGGATATCTTGCTTAAGAAAACTCTATAAAAATCATAGGATGGCCATAAGTCACGAGAAACCTGAAGGCACATACAAGCATACTGCTAATCTCAAGGTGCTTCATGCACAAAATAATGGTTTGCATCATGGAAAAGAAAGGAAAATGGACTACGTATGTGTCTTTATGCATACGTTGAATAGAGCAGGGAACAGAACTTGATTAATATCAAGGCACAAGTCCTGGTAATATACATGAAGGCTAATTTGAACATGAAGCGGCCAATGCAGTATAAACATCCAGTTTTTGGACCAAGAGCATTACAGTCAACCAATGAAAATTGTTTTTTTCTTCTCTAGTCATTTAATTAGCTGAAATTGTTACCGCAGCTGCTGTATACCCAAGTGTGCCTACATTAATTCAAACACATTTGTGGCCTAAGAGTGTCATTGTTAAAGTTGATAAGATAACTGATAATTTGAAATAATATACCTCAACTAGTTTTAAAATATTTGTAAAAATTGTAATAGCTTTGCTCTAAATATACAAAAGCCTCCAGTACACTCATACTTATCCTTCTTTCTTTCTTTCTTTCTTTCTTTCTTTCTTTCTTTCTTTCTTTCTTTCTTTCTTTCTTTCTTTCTTTCTTTCTTGTAATGTCTATAGAGAGGATGGGTCACTTTATGTCCCAGCTCAAGTTGCCAGCTGCCATGCTAGCTTCCCAAACACATGGAAAACCAGGTCTTCCAGGAAAGGATGGCCTCCCTGGACCACCTGGAGAACCTGGACCTCCAGGTAGGTCTTTCAGACATATACCTTCATATTTATTTTAAAGCTTTCAAATTTCTTCAGAGTTGAATGAAGCTACACTTGTAGCTCTCTAACTTTTAAATCCATACTAGTATTTTCCAGACTAGACCAATATATTAACACTTAGTAGATGTGTGTTTTGTATATTAAAAACTTCTAATCAATGCATAATAATCCTAATAATTGATAACATTAGAACACTGCTACACACATTTCCTGAATCTTTCAACACTACAAATGTAGAGCTTAAATTCAGTGCCATTAAAGCAATGAGGGCATCTGTTAGTGGAAATATGCAAACTATAGTTTAATAAAATTTTATAAAACTTAAATATTGCAGTAGTCACTCTTGCAGTGAATCTAATTATTGCCATACAGTATGTGCTTATAATTAGATTTGTGCTATATCTGGTATACGTTCATTCACAATTTATACATAGCAGTGCATTGATTAATGGAATAAGTGTGATTTTTGCAAAGAAAAATGTTGTTCAGTTCTGTGCCTCATTCAGATGCTAAAAGATCAGAATTTTTCAATATTTTCTTGTATGTTTCTTCAGGAGAGATCAAATTGCCATTAGAGGCAGACTAGTTAGAGCACATGCTATACAAATATTATTGCGGTAGTAATAATGAACCGTATATGAAAATAGGTAGTTCTTAATTATTATCTTTTGTTAGTTTGGTCTGCTCTGGAATCAGAGCAAGTCAGACTGGAATGAAGAACGTGAAAACAAAGCTTGAAGAAGTGCGGAACACAAAGCTGTGAGAAGAATAAAGGCTATAGAGACTGATATGAGCAAATCCTTGACTGAAGGTTGAAAAGTGTGCTGGGCTCAGAGTGAGAAGAAACAGAATAAAAGGATCAAGGAGAGCGTTAAAAGGGGACTAGAATTCTTTTTTTCAATTTTTAATGCAAGTGGCATGCTCATCATCTGAATTATATCACTTTGTTGTAAATGGCCAATTTGAATGTCTCTGCCAGAGTGTTTAATGAGGATGCACACAGTGGTTAATTTTAAAATGTATGTAAGAAGAAGGAAGAAGCCAAGTTATAATGTGAATTCCTTCCCAATGGCATGTTTGCCAAAGGGAAGGCTGGGAATGGTGCTTCTTGGGAAGCCAGGGGTGGGAAATATAATAAAGCTGCTTTTTGTGTTTTATTTGTAAAGATACTTCAGTGTTGCATAGCTGTACATCACATACCACCCCTCCCTGAACCTTCAGAATGATATCAGCTTTACTTTGACAGAAAAATGTGGACTTTAAAATTATACTGTGTAATGTTAAATAGATGTGCCTTTACAATAAGTATTCCAGGTTTAAAACTAAAGCTGCAAGTGAGCTTTTTGTTGAATTCATAAGCACAGGTTTAGGCTGTTAGACCCATTTCCCAGAATAATATGATTATTGTTATTGTTATTATTCACAAGAAAAACAAAAATGGCAAACATCCAATGCCAAAAAAACAAAAACAAATAAAGAGCACTCAAGGCAAATTATATAATAAATAAACTCAATAAACTTATAAACAACCGGCTAACATTCAATGCCCTTAGCTAATATAAAAACCTCGGAATAATACAAGATAATAACCGTAACCTTAAAACAAAAGAGCACTAACATCAGACCTGGCTCCCGATCTCTGAACTGACTTTTCTAACTACAAATGCATAATACCCTCGGACCCCTCCCCCCCCCTCCATCACCAAAAAACAACAACCTTAACAAGCTTCATGAAGCAATTGAATATTTTCATCCGGTAATCAGGGCACCAGGAAGTGAGACTAGAATTGCAATAAGTGTCCTGATTCTGAATGTTGCAACCTCACTCACTGGTAGAAGGCATTTGGGTTGGTTCTACACCGCCCTATATCTCAGGATCTAATCCCAGATTATCTGCTCTGAAGTGGACTGTATGAGTCTCCACCACCATATAGTCTGGGATAAGAAGATAATCTGGGATCAGATTCTGGGATATAGAGCAATATAGAAGGGGCTTTGGAAACATCATTCTTCTGCACGCAGATCACTAGCTGAATGGACCTTCATCACTTGGTGTGGCTATTGGCATTTAAAATAGTTTTGTAGCACATTTATGATAGTAGAAATAGTGTCATGACTACATAATATTCCTAAATATGGAGCAGTTGTGTATCCATCACTGTAGGTTACAGTTCCTTAATTGCAATATGGAGTACAGAAAATAAATAAGAATTATACCTCAAAGATTTGCACATCCATAAAATAATAGTATTTCTTCAACATATGTTTAGGTGGCCTGAACCATGAAAATATTCTGAGCATAGGATTTGTTCATTAGAAAACTTCATTCTACCCACACCTAATTGTCTGAGATGAGTTTACCATCACAGCTAGGAATGTGCCAGTATAGGGTCCTAGACAAGTTGAGCTTCTCTAATTATTAAAAAAGATGCAATATGTTGCCATATTCTAAGGGAAAGGGGGGTAGCATATGATCCTCCAAATGTTTGACTTAAACTCCTAGCATCCCTCAACATTCTGCAGGCTGGCCAGGGCTCATGGAACCTGCAGTACAACAACTAGAGAGCTGTATGATCCCCACTTTTGCTGTAGGGTAATAGAGATAGGGGGAAATGTAATCAATACAGAACATGCTCAGTAAAAAATGAGAATGTACACCAGATTACAGCAAATCTAGGATGGACAATTGGCAGGGGAGAAAGGTCTCTGCGTCTGTGCTTCACATTGATGAGGGGCAGTGGGGGAATTGGCCAGCCTCTGTGGCAAATCAGCAGGACAGCGGGGCAATCACATCACCCCGTGCCCCACCTCACCCGCAGCAACGCTTTTCCATCACATACTCCCCCCCTCCATGCTGTCCCTGTTGCTCCCTAAAAGACATGGAAAGCCTCCCGTGTTCTGGGCGCAGCATCATAGGACACTTGCACCATAGTTCATCTGCAGAGCCCTGCCAGAAGTGAGTGTGCATCCTGTGATATGATGAGCGGCATGGGGCTCCACAGATGAAGTGTGCTGCAAGTGTCCTATAACACTTGCAAACACCTATGTGGTGAAGTGATATGTGTCAGGAGACAGAGGGCACACACACAGAGACATAGAAGACCGCATTAATGATTCTTATTTCAAACATATTTGTTTTATACATAGATTTCTGGAAGAGTCTGACTACTGATGTCATTTCCTTTTTCTCGGAGTCCCGCTTTTAAGCTTTCAAAAACATAACCATGACTGTTGTTATGGGAATTTTCTCCATAGTGTCTCATACCCAAATATGCAGATGTTTGATAATCTGAACACAATTCTAATTCCACCTACATTTCTAAACTGCTTCCAGGGCTAAAATATTTTAAGAAAATTATTTAGATTAGACATTGCTGTAATATTGCAACACTACCTGCACAACACATCCTCTCGTAGCTATTCAATAATGGTGCTAAATGAAAATATCTTTTTTAAATAACAATTTTTAAAAACTGGTTTTATAGGTCGAGAACAGTTTACAGTTGTATAAAACTTTCTATTTACACCATAGTTTTCAGGATGGACTTAAAATCTCATTCAGGTAGACTGTGAAGTTAAACTCCAGAAGTTTAATCATTATTAAAATATACCTCATGTAAAATCTACTGTATTATTGATGGAGATCTGTTTTGGATTTTTCTTATGCCATACTGTTCTTAAGCCATACTTCATTATATTTTTTCTTACTGTATCAATTCTATAAAATAAAGCAGAAGTTTGAGAAAGTGATTGGCGAAATGTTTTATTAAATGTTTGCAGCATTATTGTTATTCTACAGTGCACTCAACATTTGTATGCCTATGACTCTGTTGTACCTGAGCATTGTGTATACCATTTATAACCATAAAATATGAATAGGCAGACCTTTGCATTATTAACTGTCTTTATTGACTTGAATTTCAATAATGTCCACAATTTTTCAGACTGTATTGATCCATTTTAAACTGATTTTTCATTCTGTACACATGGTTCTAAGTCGAAATGCTTAAAGTGATGTAGTATGTGCATTGTGTTTTTTTTTATGGATTACTCATATAGAAATTCAACAGATACATGTCTACTAGGGTTATTCCCTCATTTTCAAGACAAAATGTCTAGTGTAACAGGGCTCATGTTTTGTAAAAACATATTTTGTTGTAAATTAAGGAAACAGAGATGGTTTAACAAATGAGAAATACAACAGTTGCCCTGATGATGGAGTGCAAAAAGTAGCAATTGAAACATGTTGCACTATCTTTCTGGATTACTTCTTTATAAAAGTAATGAACCATAGTCATTGAAGGCCCACAAGAAAATAATTCATATTTCTGCTCAAGAAGACACAGATTTCACAACTAACTTATGAAGATAATGGTTTTTGTTTCCTTTTTTAATTTACAAGTTCAGTTTCAATGCTTGCTTGCCTGTTCATTTATTTGTTAATATCTCTATGTATGTTCTGTTGTGCCATGCATGCTTCCCTCGCATGTTGTGTGTTTTACCTATCTGAGCTTCCTTTTTTCCTCACTCTAAGTCATTTGAGGTAGAAATATTGGGACACAGCAGTAGGTGGAGCAAATATCATGCTTTACTGCTTTAATACTCAAGGTGACTGCAGAAAATTAACACATAATGTGACCAAGTTATTGTTCATTCATGGGTCTGTAGGGACTTTTGCTCCATTTCTGTTATTAGGTGATGAAAATAATAGTCGTAGATCTCATTTCTCCTTTTGTGCTTGCTAAGCAAACACTACAAAGGTCAATTATTTGCACCAGGGAGCTGTTGAACTACATCTCCCATCATCCATTCTCCAGATGCTGTTGAACTACATCTCTTAGTATCCGTTGTCATCAGCTATGGGATGTGCTGTTTAGGTCAGAAAGGCTACACTCTGCCCACCTTGCTCTGTAGTCTTTTTAGTTGAATCATGTTTAATCAAAGTTGGTACTTTTAATTGCTTCTTTCCATCTGTCATTTGGAACTAGCTGCTATACAAATGTCTCTAGTGCCCTCTTTGATCAGGTATAACTCAAATCAGATTACATGTTTGTTGATTTTTAATATCAAGAGCACATAGTTCTTCGTGTTTAATCTGAAGTATGTTATCTGATTTGACCTTCAGTTCCAATTTCAGGATTAGCTTGAGGATAAGCTAAGAGCAATCAACACAGTCTTAACATTTTGGATATATTTTTAAAAGATAGATGATAGATAGATAGATAGATAGATAGATAGATAGATAGATAGATAGATAGACAGATTTTTTGCTGTGATAGCATTGTTGCTGTATGATTCACTTGGTGGACCCTCCAGTTTACCATTGAAGATCAGAGAGTTGACCATTATGCTTAAAGAAGATCCAGCAAAATCATTGTGGCTTACATTTATCATGATTCACTTGGCTTATTGGTTCAGTAGTTTTGGTCTGGATTCCACCTAAGTCATGTAATGCAGGCAGTAGGAAAGGCTCGGTGTGAGGTTCTCTCAACTCTCTGCTGGAACAAGCCTCATCATTTCGCAATAGTATTAAAGAGCTTGTCTTTTTAAAAAGTTTTTCCAAACTGCTTTGAAGCTGCACAGACCTTCAGGATGACATATTCACTCTTTTCCTTGCTGGTGAAAGGCTGATAATTGTAGATCATTTAGATTGATTTAGCTTGTTTTAAAATATTCCACCAACCAGCTTATTAGTAGATCTCTAATGGATTCTGCAAAATAAATAGTGCCTTCTGCAAACATCTTGTTACTACTAAACTTTTCTACTTTATGGGAATACAGAATTGCAGAGCTATTTTGCATAGTATTTCCTTATTTCACTGCAGCTGGATAAAAGAAATGTATTTTGTAGAATATCAAAATCTGTATTATGGTGCTATCTTTATAATGTCAACTAGAAGGCACAGAAAGAATTGCCTGCTTTTCAAATTTCAGTTTCTATTTTCCAAATGTGTGCATCCAACAACTTCCACAGGTGGAACCCATTTCTCTACCAAGTTCCCATAGAACAGTGGTTCTCAACCTGTGGATCCCCACATGTTTTGGCCTTCAATTCCCAGAAATCCTAACAGCTGGTAAACTGTCTGGGATATCTGGGAGTAGTAGGCCAAAATACCTGGGGACCCACAGGTTGAGAACCACTGCCATAGCGGATCCTTAGAGAGAACCAAAAGGGTTTGATCTGTTTGCTTTCTCCAGTATTATGGAACTGAAGTGCTGCCTTTGAGGTCCTTAGAAGCAACCATGTCTATCTTCCTCATATATACATCTGGCATGTAGCAACATCTCCATAGGTACGTCTCTAATGCTACCCACCACCACCTTCTAAGTGACACAGTCAACATGGTAATTTCCATGTCATTGGAGAACAGGAGGAGCAATAGAGATGTTTTCACATAATGAAAGGCATCTGTAGGGACTTCAAGAGGTTGGTAGGAGACCCTTGCAGATGATATCCTACCAGCACATCCAGATACAGGAGCTAATTCTCCTGTCTTCAACAACATAGAAATAGTTATGTTGGGAGGAAGGGGCTATGTTGCTTAAAAGGTGGGTCTTGCATGGATTTTGGTCATTTTATGATCAACAAATCCTCCTCAAAAAGGGGTGGATTATGAAAGCATAAAATGGAATTACACAATCATAACTCTCTAAGAATATGACCTCTTCTATTTGATAAAAACTTTCTGTTTCAATACGAGTGCTGCTTTGATAATTCAAAACAGGAGGGTGTTGTGCTGATTCTAATCCTTTCCCTTATTTGATTGTGAAAAGTCTGAAAAGTTTTAGAAAACGCATGATTCCCATTGGCACCATGGGATTTCATTACATAGTTCCTCTCCATTATATAGAAGCCGTCTTCACTAGTTTCAGGCTTAGCATTCAGTTCACCACTCAGTGAGGAAGCTCTTGCTTGGTAAGTAAGGCTGCATAATGCAGACCCCGTATAGAGAAGCCATGTATTTTCAGCAACCTCCTCCTAATAACTATCATATCTACAGCAGATATTCTATATCTGGTTCTGCATGACCTAGTACTCTGAGTAGAGGGATTTGAACCTGTATCTCATGTTCCATCAAAGCTTGGTTCTGATCCCCATATGATCCTATTAAAACAACTCCTGGATCTCTTTCCTTTTCCATCTCAAATTTCAGCTTGTTGCTACCTATTTCTCAGGTTGCAATGTATTTTATAATATATTAAGCATTCACTGTTTTCTTTTGCAGTACACTTCCCTAAAATGTATGCAATTGCCAATAAATCTTACTTTTAGGCTGAATTAAGAGTGCTAAAAAGTAGGGGGGGGGGTATATCATTTAATGCATGATTTAATCCTTAAATAAGGATTTCTAATCCATTCTAGTGATTTAGAAATACAAAACAAAGGTGGGCAAATCCAATAAACTGGGAGAGTAAAGATTTAACAAAGAGCCCATGGTCACAGGAGGTGTTCACATCTGCTAGGAGTTTTCTGGTTTCTTTTAATCATCCAAAGAAAGTATATAAATTATTCTTTGAGGTTTCTAGGATCTGGATAAAAAGACTTCGATTTTCTCAACTATTATGTTTTGGGAAAGAGATTACACAAAAGCAGTTTCAGGGCACTCTTATTCTTTTTCTTTTTTAACCCTCTCTAGGCTACAGAGGACAGAAAGGTGAAAGAGGTGAGCCTGGAATTGGCCTGCCAGGTGATCCTGGCCCACCTGGTATTTCAGGTAAAACTACCAATTCACACTTCTCCTGATAAATCAACCAATGAGTTATAGCAGGGTTGAGTAGCGGGAAAGGGTTCAGAGCCAATTTTCTACCCCAGGGTATCCTTGGACATCCACATGGATTGCCAAAAATGCCTCTGAAAGATGACTGTAAGTTTCTGGATGTCAACTTTTGAGTTTTAAAAGTAGACATTTCATATTAAATAGTGTGTTTCTGTGGCCTAGTCTCCATTGACTTTTTAATTTGGCTCCAAACTGACAAAATGTGTATCACCAATGCGTTTTGTAGTGTAGATCAAAGTGTCTACAGTGCATCAAATATAACAACAATTTATTTATATTCCAACCTATCTCCCCGGAGGGACCCAGGGTGGATTCCAAACATAATAGGCAAACATTCAATGCCCAAATGCAACAACAATATATTGAAAGTTGCAAGAAAAATCCGAGTAAAGCCTTTAATATGCTGCAGCAGATCCCAATATATCCTGTATCTCAGGGTGAAATTGGTACCGCAGAATGTGGAGCATATTGTAGATCCCTACCCTTGTTTTGTAGGATTTGGAATGAGAGGGCGAGATAGCTGGCAAAAAAGTTGATTACCTCTACTCCTGCCACTTTTCTTTCCTCCCCCCCCCCACCTCCGATGCCTCTGACTTGCTGCTGCTCATCTCTCGGGGGGGGGGGGGGGGATGACACCCATAGAGCTGTTTGATATCAGATCCCATGGTTCCTGTAATAGACTCAAACTGGTTCTAGACCTGTCAATTTAATCACCTGCACAGTGAAATAAGTTCCTTCCAAATTGGTTTGAGTCAGCATTATAGTGTCAGTGGAGACATGCCCTAACTACTTTGAGACCACCAAATTCATTCTGAGCTCAAATGCAGTCAGCACCCCACATTTGCTGGGGTTAGGGACACAGGATCCTGTGAAAGTACAAAAAAGCAAATAATGAAATGTGGGGGGGGGGGTGTTACCTGAGAGAGCACCTCTCTAGGAGTTTCAAGGTTTTCCAGCATGACTGGAAGAAGTTGGCTACATTAGAAGAGCTAGATATTCCTAGAGATAACATTTTAATAAAGTCTGCAAAAGTCAAAACTGCAAATGCAGAGGGATGACTCAGAAGGCAGATTGCCAAGGAGTGGCAGATGCTTTGGGCTATATTCAGTGAAAGGCAATGGCCAATCACTTCTTCAGATTCCCTCCATAAGAACATCCTCTGTCACCATCAACAGAATATTTCAATGCATATATTTTAGTAGCTACATTGGGAGGAAGGGATGTAACATGTAGAAAAACTTAATTACAACTCCTAGGAGCATCTGAAAAAGTCAGTTCATAGAGGTCTGGAGGTGGGAGGGAATCAGCTGTTCTGTACTTCTACTCCCGAGTTACAAACAATTGGGAAGGAAGGAACAATCTCTGAATAAGATTCCAGCCTCAAATGTTCCCATTTAGTACATGAATATAAAAGCCTCTTTTGATTTGGAGTACCAAACTAGAAACCCAGTGTTAAATTGTTGCTGCTAATTATGGGTATATTATTGTTGTTATTGTTATTATTTGCTTAGTCCCTGGTATGCCAGGCCCTCCGGGACAACACGGACCGCCTGGGCCAGCAGGACGGTGCAACCCAGCAGACTGCTCTTCTCCTGTCTCTCAAACACAGCCACGGACAACTGGGAAGTGAACATCTTCTCTGAAGATATTTTGATTGCTGGCTTCCTGGGCCCTTTCTTCACTCCTCCTCCTGCTCTCCCCACCTAATAATGAATTTAAGCTTTAAAATATTTGGTGCATTTTTGTCCATATGCGTTATACTGTGCATAGACATTTTACAGAGAATCTCAGTAGAATAATTCTTTTCTAGGATTAAGCTAATGCTGAGACGTTGTTTTCTTGCGTTCATTCCATGTGTTTATACTTTTAGGCTACTTTTTAAAAAGACTTTGGTGTTGTTGTTTTTCTTGCATCATGATGGCCTATTGATCGACGAATGGTTTTTAATTTATTGCTTAGGAAAAGAAAATTTACTGAATGACAGTTTTCTGTTTGTTTGTTTTTTTACTCCTGCATTTCTACTAAATATCATAGTTGTGTTTGTTTCCTCTTTTTCCCATTCCCTATCCCTTTTCCTGTTTTTTCCCCCTCTGTTGTGAAAATATTTTCTGATCTGTTACTTCCACATATTACCCTAAGAAATGGGCTGGTAAAATTGTATGCTGGGCATTAGTTGATGCTTTTATTTGTGCTTAAGAAAAGTACCTGAGCCACTGAGATTTCCCATGCTCCCTTTGCCCTTGTGCAGTCTTGGCAAGAAAATTGTTAAATAGAGCCACTCTGCTGAAAACATTTTTTCATGGGAAGCTGAAACAAAAAACAAAAAGGACCTTTTGGGCAGATCTCCCATTAAGGAGAGAATACAGAATGTACTGTGCAGTCAACTCTCTTTTCTTCACACAATTTAGATGAGCTAAACTGGATCCATTGAATCAGAGAAACTTGCTTAGTCAATGCTTACATATGCTTTACTAGGCTTGCTATAGTTGAAAATTAAAAGTTACTTAGAGGAGTAATAATTATACATTAATCCAACTCCATCCAATTGGGATTTCCTCCAGATTTATTGGCTGCACAATCAACATCATCCACAGTAGGCATGCCAACAATTGCTGGAGAGGTTGAGTTATCATTTATGACCTCATCAGACAGGCTGCTTTGCCCGTCGTATGCAGCTTCACCTCCCTTTATGGCTCAGAGCCTTTCATACAACTTAACGGGACGTCCCACCAGGCTCTGTGCAGAAAATAGAGGTGAAGCAGTGCTATGCCACTACTATGGCAACACAGGAGTCTTCCCTATAATGGGAAGAAGCTGGGTGGCAATGCTTTGCCCCATGAGATGAGGAGGAAGGTAAGGCAGGTGATGTGGGGTGTGGAGCGGTGGCTTATCATAAGATCCCTAGTACATCTGAAGGACGGCAGATTGAGGAAACCTAAACCAATCCAATAAAAACCTAAGAGTTTATATCTTATTGCAATATGTGAAGGTAAAAGTCTTGTAACGCTATATTGGGTAGCTGTACAGGTCACTTCTGACTGAAGGAAAGTGTCTACCTTGGTGTGCATTTCATCAGAAATATTTGCTTTTGTTCCCTTCCTTGGTTAAAATCAGAAGATGAAGTTCAAACTCTAATAATGGCCAAGCTTGAACATATTGACTAGAGTTAAATTTCAAAACCCAAGAGCATTCACACAATCTGGTTTGGCAGACTGGGCACACAACCTTTCTGTTTGAAAAATTCAGTGACTGGGGCACTTTGACATTTCACTTCCCTTGGGGATAAAATGATCATACGCAATAAAGAGAAAGAGATGTGTTGAGCAGAGATATTGCATTTGTAAAAGGTAAACTGTGCCAGCTAGGGCTAACCGAGAAAAAAAGATTGATTAAAATAGAAATTACTGCAGGAAATCATCTTGCTATCCTCTACTGTCCCTGGGATGAATGTAGCTGCCAAAACTTCTTTGAAATTATATGGATCCTTATGCTTTGGATTAAAAAAAATCTCATCTTTACACTGGCAATTTTGCCTCCTCCTCCTTCTGCCTCCTCTCCCCACCTTCTTCTTCCTTTTTGTTCATATTCTGCCATTTCTTTCCAGGCCAAAACTAAATTCAGTTTACAAAAAAAACAAATATAGATAAAACTAAAAATCACGCAAAAGGATAGCTTTGAAATGTAAACTGCCCAAATATAAAGACAACTTAAAACATACCATTAAAATAACTTTTGAAGTTAGAATTAAAAGCAGTTTTATAATAATAATAATAATAATAATAATAATAATAATAATAATAATAATAATACAACTTTATTCTTATATCCCGTCACCATCTCCCCGAAGGGATTCAGTGTAGCTTACAGATGGCACAAAGTGCCTAAAAACAACATAAGAGTGAGCACAATATAAAATACAATAAAATAAAACACATGCACATATAAAAACATCAACTCAGACTCAGTCAAACTGCGGTCTTCTAACCGTGGTGGTAAATTGCTCTAAACATAGCCAAGCTGTAAACGTCAGGAATAAAATAAGTGGGATAAAATAAGTACTTCACTGCTGATTCCAAATCACTGGAATCAAGTGATTTCAACTTGAATTGAGTATTTTTTCAATATTATTTAATTTAGAAATCAGAATTTGTTGTAGACATTGTTATAAGACAGTGATTTATTTTAGTTATAATCTATATAAATGTTCTAGTTTGGAAAATTATACGTAAAAAAGGATAAGATATCTTTTGGCGCTGTGTGTATATTTTGGGTTGTAGCCAATTGAACTTAAAGCTTTAGTAAGATACCTGACATTATTGTGTACAGGTTATTTTCTTTGAATTATTCAAAAAGTATCTTTTTATATTTTGGGTGAAAATAATTTTTATTAACATCATTTTTTTATTTTTACTTGTGTGTAAGTACACGTTTTATGAGGAAAAATATTTTCAATGGACTGAAAATTTTAACGGATGTAGGGGTTGTTTTGATGTGATCCAATGAAATGATGTGATCCTACGAAATGTTTGCAGAAGACATTGTATGTCCTTGTACAACAGAACAGGCATGAAAATGGCTCTCATCTTGAGATGCTGTGCCACAATTTGCATAAAAATCGTGCCACAGCTCATACTAATGCATATCTTATAACTTTGTGAAAGAGCTTATACAAGAGCAGAGTACAATGTCCTGCTAACATAGAATCACATCCATAGAATCACATCCTTTCTTTTTATTGCTTTTAAAACCATGTATTTTTTTATTTTATTGTTGCTACACAATTCTATTTTCTTATTATATCTAAATACAATAAATCAGGGAAAACTGTATATTCTTTTAACTGAGGCCACATGATGACTTGAAACATGCACTCTCCCCCCCCCCCTTTTATTATTATTATTATTATTATTATTTAATGTGTGCTGAGGAGTACCAGGCTGCAACTTCAGTTTATTTTTAACTCTTTTAGTAAAGAATCAAAAAGTTTGTGTCTTTATTTTCTTCTCGTAATTGCTTTGGTCACCAATTCTATGCACAAAGGCACAGAACGTATTCACTTCCTGTGAATTCTGCACACACAAAAGCCTCTCTTCTGAATCAATTTAACTGGAATGAAAGGTACAATCAGTAACCAAAACAGAATGAAACACAGGCAGACTTATGCCACCTGTGGTATCTGTTGAGGTCATTTTATTCATTTCTATCTACACAATTAGAAGTGAAAACAGTTCTTGCATTAGGGAGATATCTTACATAGGACTCCTGAGTGTGCAAAGATGGTCAAATTGTTGTTCACTGTGAACTTGAGATCTTCCTGTGATGAAAGTCTTTTCTTCTTCCTCTTCAGTCACTGATCATCTTTTTCTAAGAGAGGAGATGCTATTATTTCCTAATAAGATCAGGATTAATTACTGTAGACTTCGAATGTCATATTGAAGGCCTTGCCTTTGTGGTGTAGATTCTCTCCATGCTACCTTGAGCATTAAGGCTGGAATATCAGGAGGAGTCCTGTTGGTGACATAAACTAGTGGTATACCAATGTAGGGAATGTTAGGGGCATTGTGAAAAGAGGTATGAACACCTCTTGTTCAACACAATTTCCTCCAAAAAGAAGCTTCCTGGTACTCCCCTACCATTTAGTGACTAGGGAAGTGTGACCAGACCGCATCTACTAGTAGCAAATTGACAACCATGAGTAGAGAGGAGATACTGAGTGTACATAAAGCCTGATTATCCAGAAACCTCCTGATCTCCTTCATGGAGTTATTCTTTAATAATAGAGAGTTGGGACAGAAGGGAGAGCCCCACAGAATTGTGCAAACAGACCATTTTGTTCTGCCAGTGTGGTGTGGGATTTTGTCCTATTTGTCACGTTATGTGGAGGCCCATTGGCTTGGGAACCATGTTTTATGTTGGTAGCAGCAATCTAATGGTATAATTCTGTCCCTCTGAGAAACCCTACTAGGTAATGAAGGAAAGGGAATAAGGCACCAGATTCAGCCTAGTCCTGATCCCTTGGTTTAGATATATCACTAAAATTCAGAAAGAAATCGGGCTAAAGAGAAATAGATGTTGGTAATGAATTGCATGAAGGACATTGGTTCCTTAAGTCCCACATTTTTTAAAAAAATTGTGCTTCAAATGTATTTGCTCCAAACTTCATACAATTTTCTTCTCTATATGTCTTTATGCTTGCTCATTTTGGCTGTTGGCCGTTACTCAAGTTTGGAAGTTATAGGTTAGTGTAAGGCCATTCATGTTTACACTGTTTTATCTTTTTGTGCTCTTTACGGTAATATTGTTTAGAGAAGCAACTGCCAAGCATTTTGTTCTACCAGAATCATAGTTCATAAAATACAATGTGATATCATCCATATATTCCTTCAAATCATAATCATAGTTAGAGTGGAAGCCTATTGTATGTGACTTGTTAATCACAACCATTGGGCTTTTTAAGGTACAACTGCTGTTAGATTTCACCCAAACTGTTTAAGATTAACTCAGTATTTTCTTTAATGAACACCACATACACAGATTTTATTTTTGGTTTGTCTAAAAAAACCATTTAGCTACTGTAGTTTAGTGAATGTCATAATCTTGCAAAGCTCTCTGAGCTTTGTGCTATACCTTCTTTAGTCCACCTGGTGGCATGAAGCACACTTTTGTTTGTGCGCATGGTTTAATAGTGGTTGAATTCCACAAATGTATATAAGGCAGGAAACAGTGCACTATATAGAAATTAACCTTGTACCAAGTTTCCGGTTTTGTCCTTAGATTTAATATATTTTTCTTTCCTTTTTTTCTTGTCTTAAATTTTACAATATATTTTGTAATAACTTAGGGAACAATTCAGGCAAGGTGTGTTCAATCCCATGGTTTCCAGCTGGAGATGTTTGAGCACATGCTTATGTCTCCTATTGGAATCTATGGGACCTGACAGTGTTGGACTTTGGTTGGATCATTCTCGTTGTGTTGCTTTATCTTCCAGGATAAATGTGACCCAGTCACAAGGTATATAATGTAGCTTGTATATAATGTAGCATATAGGTGAAGTAATGAAGCCATGGGCCTGATCTAACCCTCCCTGTGCACATGACTTTGTGCAAATAGGAGGGAAACTTCATAGGGAATCTACTGAGCCTTTTTCCTTCCAACCCTGTACCCCATTTCTTTACGATTGCAGTATGTCTATTTCATTCTGACATTAATAAAAATGTTTGTAAATGATGTGAAAGTTGTATCCTATTTATCTTTGATATTAACATTTAAATATCAATATTTTTCTATAAAAATTACTTGCTTTTAGGGTTATTATAAGCCTGAGTGTAGCAAGTTTGATTTTTCCCCCTTTGTCTTAAGTCTTTTGTTTCCATTTTATTGTTGTATGTAATTGTTTTTTTAATACAAATCTTTTCTGGGTAGGCAACACTACTTTTTACATCAACTAACTATTATCAGAACTTCTGGTTTTCAAATTAGTTGCAAAACAGTGAAATAAAAGTTGCAAGGAAAGATGCTATATTTAAAAAGACCAAATAAGTGTAGCGAATTTACAAGAAGAATTACTATGAAGCCTATAGTCTAACAGAGTTAAGTGTAGTTCGTTTATCTGAATGGACTTAGCCACACTTTTATCTCTGCGCTGGTTGGTTATTGGGTTCACTTTTGTTTGATCAAAAGTGTTTGCTGGGGTTTTTTTCTTTGTAGATAGTTTGCAAAAGTTGATGACCCCTTATTTTATTGTGAAAATTCATTTCTGAATAACTACTCATCCCAAATCTATCCGTCAGGTTCTGCTTTCTTCTTACCCACAAATGCCAAATTCAGTGGTTTGCACAAACTGAGCGGATTTTTATCTACTTGGTTCCTTTGGTCTTAAATGCATTTTGAATTCAATTGAATTTAGCCTGATAATATTAGGCCTGTTTTCTGTACATTTCTAACTATGCATATTGTTATATTTTACTTTAAAACAATAGATTGGTGGATTTTCCAGGATTTTAACAAATTCTGATGGAATTTAATGAGTTTTGATGGAATTAGCAATTCTTTTGTTAAGATTTGGCAAAGTAATTTTCATTCTTTTGTCAGATTATTTTATTATTTATATGATATTGCTATGGTTACAATAAAAGTAAAGTGATGGAAGCATGATTTTAATGTTGCCTATCTTGACTATTAATATGTCATCCTGTTCATGAATTACAGTGGGTATGTCTGATTCATACCATTGCAATGCACTTTCAGGGTTCTTTTATAGGTTGCCAAGATCCCTCCAAACATGTAATGACCCCAAATTGCCTCCAAAATTACCTCTTAAGTTGTGCAGCTCTTGCTCCCAAGCATCCACCATAGGGTTCCATGGAAAATCTTTAAAACTGAATTTGAAATGGGTTTTAAAATGAAACCATATGAAGTCAACTATTTGATTGCCTCTAATGCAAAGGAAGCGGAAGTGCTGGCTATCTCCAAATATACTCACCAACAGAAGTTGCTTTATCATAGCCCAACATCCCAAACCAATGTGACCTCTCAAATGAAAGTACATGGATATACCAAGAAAGTTCCTCATGTACACATGCTACAGCACTCTTGGTTTTTCTGACAATATCCAGAAAATTCTTTCTCTTATAAATACTAGTGTGCCACTACTCCTTTCATTCATTTCATTTTAGGCAAAATCATGTTTGAGGTTATTAGAGTTGTGTATGGAACCGTTTTCCTTCATTTCATCAGTTTTGTTACTTTTGTTACCTTTGGGAGCATGTAATGGGAAGCACCCTCCCGGTATGAAAATCAGCTCAACACACAAGCAAGCAGGAGCTGATCCCCACTTCCCGCCTGCTTTTTGTAAACATGTGGCACTCCATATAACCAAACCTTGATTTTTCAAAAAGGCTCACGATTTTCCAAGATGGGTTTACTAGGAGAACTGGAAATAGTAGGGAGTGTTATTCCATCACCAGTAGTAATTGCTTTAAAACTGCTCTCCTCAAGTATTCCTCATTTTACTAAAATGCAGAATACTAAGACCCCCATGTGAGCATATTACACTATGTAAACAACTTTGTTCCTGGTTATAAATGTAATTTCCTAATTGGTTCTATCATAAAAACATGGGGAAAGTTTATTAAACTTTGCTTTTGCGGGACATCCTACAGCAAATTTTTCTATTGCTATCTATGAGATATTTATTTTTCAATAAATATCTCATAGAATCCCAACTAATTCAGATTGTGACAGCCACAAAAATGAAGTTTCTGGAGAATAACAACTACTTTCAAAGTAAGTTCACACAATTAAACAGGAAATAACACTTTCAAACCAGGAACAGATTTTTTTTCAATTTTTTTTTTACATAGTGTTATATATTGATCTCAGGCAAATGACCACAGGGCAGAACTTCTGAAGCTAACACATTAAACAGAATTCACTACATGAATCAGAATCCCCCATGTATAAAATTTATTTTACATGTTATACACTAAGTATGCGGCTGTTGCATTCAGCTAACAGCCTTTGTAACTTGGCAGAGAATAAAAAAAATCAGTGGTATAACTCCCATAGATTCAGTTCCAAGATGAAAACTTAGAATTAAAATTTGAAAGCCATCAATAGTTTATTGATTAGATACACCAATCAGTTTGTGAGATTGAAACACCACCAAGGCAATTGACTGCTGGGTCTGAAATAACTTTCTCATTAATTTTTGAGGCTATCACAGCATGAAAAGAGACCCTATGGGGTTGTATAAGCATCAGTATTGGACAATAAACAAGCGGACATTTCTGGAACAGAATTTGCTTGTCAACAGGCTAAAATGACATCAAGACATAAGACATAGTGCAGAATCCATCTTTAGGCTCATATGTCTAGGCCGAATTTCCACCCTCATATGTTACGCGGAGATTCAGGTACACTGGTTCATGGGGCAGGCTAAGGGGCAGGAGAAGGGACATAGTGCCTTCTAAAAGAGTGAACATTGCAAACCATTCATCTTCCAAATTGACTGTAGCTGGCATCAGCCTATTACATCTGCTCTGCTATTATCTGCCATTAGTCATGGAAAGTAATTGGACCAAATGTGAACAGCTGTAAGACTTCTCAACATTTGCATAATGTATAGTAGAATCCCAACCTCTATGATAGTTGCCAACATGACTCTATTATATTCATGGGCTAAAAGTCTTTTGCTTCAATAGAGTTTGTTATTATACATGGTTTTCATGTATCCATGCAAAATCTGGGGTGATATTGTAGGAGTAGTGGTCTGGGTGTTGAACTACAACTCTGGAAACCAGGTTCAATTCTCTGATCACTTATGGAAACCCAGTGAGTGACCCTGGGCACATCACTCTATCAGCCTCAGAGGAAAACAAAGGCAAAACCCTTTTGGAGCAAATCTTACCAAGGAACCCTATAACAAGTTCACCTTAGGGGTGTCATAAATTGGAAGTGATTTGAAGGCACACAACAACAAAATAAAATAGGAGTCATTGTTTTGGTCTTTCCTACACTGCTTTGAATTTAAAAAGAACCTGAGGAAGGATTAAGAGATCTGCTAGAAGGAGTAAAGCCAGTTACTCAAAAAGCTACATTTTCCAGAACTACAGGCCCTAGACTAAGAGCAACATAGAGCAGGGAAAGAGGTAATGTTAAAGATAAGGCCACTTTTATTTTGCCTTGCCAGGATGACAAATCAAAGCATATATATTTATATATGTAAAGTAAATTTACAGACTAATTCATACAATGCACTTTTGTTTCATTAAGAACTGAAACTCTAACCAAAAATGAAATTGGATCTTTCAAGAAAGGAAGTCTAGTATACTCGTTGCTTTGTTTTTATTTACCAACACACCAAAAAAAGCAAAGAGTTAAAAAATGTTATTTATTTCACTTTTTTATACAACCAGAGACATGATGCAAGATCTTTAAAAATAAATAAACTCATCTATAAATCTTAGGTGTTTCCAAAGATTGCAATTCCCTTACCAGTGGCTTTTTGACTTCTTTGTCTGTTTTTAGACAGATGGACACAAGGTAGAGCTGATGAAGCTAAGACATTAAACAGAATTCACTTCATGGTGGAGCAGAAACCCACCCAGGTATAAAGATGATTTTACGTGTTATATGACCAGGTGTTCCAACATTTACTCAGGCTTCTCACCCTGTTTTTATGTAGCAGCTGTTTCACGCTGACAGGAGAGTACAGCTAACTTTTAGCATCTATGTTGAAAAAAGACAAATACAATTTATTTTACAAATGATGTTAACACAACTGAATGATATAATTCTCATGGAGGTTGTGTTGCATTACAATATGAAAAGGGGGAAGTTTAAGGTTAGTATTTTTGGAATAAGTCATTTTTTTTAAAAAAAAATAGACAGCTGCCTTTCACCACAATAAGAAAAAGCCATCTGGTATTATTTTATAAGCACCATTAAAGAAGATAAATCTGATTGTCATATCTTGTTTGTTCAAACTGGAGAAGGTGACAACCAGTGTGTTTTAAGTCTGTCAAGTCTTTGATAGGATTCTCTGTGTTGTTACTGAAGGTGACTCCTCTGCTCATTTTTCTCTGTTGCCAGATGTGTGTGCAGACAATAGGTTGTTTCCAGTAACTCCCTAACCGTTGGCATGTCTCACGGGCCTTTCACGTTTTTGCCCTCTCTCAGTCCGGCTTGCATGGTGCAGGCCGCTGGCTCACAATAACCAGCGGGACCTGGGGGGCCAGGGGGACCTGGAACGCCAGGTAGCCCAGCTGTCCCAGGGGGCCCCCGGTCGCCATCCTGTCCATCTGTGCCATAACTGGCCTTCCCCGGTTCTCCTGCAGAGACAGAGACAGGACACAAAGCTCATAAGAGTTCAGCACAGGCATCTACCATATATACTCATGTTTAAAGTTGACCACATGTATAAGTAAAAGGCAGATTTTGAGACCAAGCTTATGGATTTTAATAAGACCCATGAATAAGTCAAAGGTCATTCCACAGAGAGGGGAAAGCACCAATGCCACTTATGAGGTGACCAGCTGGCTTGGCTGCCACAATATCTCCACCCAGGTATTGAAAGAGATCAGAAGACACAGAGAAGAGACTAGAGCACGCATGGGCAAACTTAGGCCCTCTGGGTGTTTTGGATTTCAACTCCAAGAAATCCCAACCATCTTATAAGGAATTGTGGGAGTTGAAGTCCAAAACACCTGGAGGGCTAAAGTTTGCCCATGTCTGGATTAGAAGAGGTCAGGGCTTCTTTTAGGTTCTCCTGGAACAGACTAAGCTCTTGGCTTTGTCACCAAGAGCATGCTTCTTCTCTTCTTCTTCTTCTTTTTTGATACTCACATTAACTTACGGATAAGTTGACTTAAGGTTTGTGGGTTGACTTTTTAGCTAAAATTTCTAAACTTATGCATTTCTACATCAGGAATATTCGTTACTCTTCAGTGCTACAGTAAGATGAGCCTACACAATAAAAAGCTGATCCTATGAACTCAGTGTGCGGGCCATGTTTTCCCTTCTCTGCTATCAACATAAATGAATGTACAATTCAACAGAAAGGAAGAAACCATGAAAATCAACAAAATCTGGTTATCAGCATTAAAAAAACAATAGAATCAAGACAGTAAATAATGAACACCACTCGGAAACAGAGGAACTCCAGACAGCAAGAAATCAAGGGCCGATTAACACCTCGCAAACAGAGGATGCCCCGAGGCAACAAAGGCCAGACTACCTCTATGCAGATACCCTCACTGACTGACTTTGCAAACTTCAAGGCTACTCAAATGCTAATTCAAGCTTACTAATTGCAACATTCACACTTGCTTTAACAGTGGTTCTCAAGCACCTCTTACTTTAGAGTACGAGGCACTCACCTGCAGGCACTGGCACTAGAGGCGCTCAAAACCTGCACACCATACACACATTCTCTTTCCAAAGAGAGAGTGTGTTTGATGTGTAGAAGCTCTCATGACCACCAGTGCCTGCAGCTGACCATCTCTTCCTCTAGAGTAAGAGGTGCTTAGCTGCAGGTGTGGCCACTTTCTGGGCCTGCACACCACACACGCACTCTCCTTCAAAAGAGAGTGCATGTGTGGCATGCAGGCCCAGAAAGCACCTACGCCTGCCAGTGCCTGCGACCGAGTGCTTCCTCTAGAATAGAAACAGCAGGTAAGAAGAAGCCTCCTTAAAGTGAAGGGGAGCCTGGATGGGAACCTCACCCCCCTTAATGGGCCGATGGAAAACATCTTTTGGCACCGAAGAGCAAAAGATAACTGCCCTCCCAATTTCGGAAGGCTCCCAAAAACCAGACCTGGGCCCCCACCAAAAGCCGGGACACAAAATGGGTCAAGGTTCACCCTAATAGCACAACCCTAATATCTACTATTACAGTTGCTCTTCCACTAGAACAGTGATTCTGTTGGGAACTTTCTGCTCTGATTGAAAACAAATCTTCCTCCAAAGCCTTGAGCAAAATGGTGCCTTAGCTCAGCCAACGCTGCAGATTGAATTAGAAATGGATGCAAGTCATGTACTGTGCTATAAATGTATGAGCCTTTCCTGTATAAAGGTGCCTTTATTAAGGTAGGAAACTGACTCAGTTCAACTGGTTCAGCACTAAAGAAAGGATGACAAGGTGAAAATGAACCCACAATTTTAGACAATAAAGTTAGTATTTAGAACAGATGGATAACAGCCAAGGTTTGGAGAACTGCAATGGTTCCCCAGTGGGGCCTTGTAGGGAAGACAGCAGTCTCCACACTCTTCTCCTGATTTTAATTAATTTATTTGTAAATGCTGTCCAGAATCTCACCTGGCAATTTCATGCATAACCTACTGTTAAGCACTCGTGACTATTACGTGTTCAGGATTCCTATGTACAATCTATTTTAGGGTTATGTAGGTACTATAAAATTCCTCCCGGCTCCTGTTACAGGACAGCAGCCACTCCAAGCAACTCGGATACCTTCTCCTGTTGACTGGGAACCATTCACCTGAAGGACTCACCCATCCCCTTGCACAACTCTTCTCTAGCATGAGGGAAAATTGCAACAGGATCCTTGCTTCTGCCTGTCACAATGGAGATCAATCAAAGCAGATCCTCCCCCAGTAAGTAGGTATTGGGATAGATTTGGTCAAGACTAAACACATAATATCATAACTATTGCACTTGCACACACATAAATCCCATGCAGAATTCCAGCCATCAACTCCCAGCTTACTGTCTGGATCAAAACTTCCACATAATACAGTTTCATAATGCAGAAATTGCATTATATGGCAGTGTAGATGGAATTTTAAATGAATTTTAAAAATTGTGAAATTTCCCACCTTTACACATACATACACTAGGGGTTGGGAGTGCATTTTTGTGAAGAACAGATAAATTAATTTGTGGAAAGGGCACCTAGGATCAGGCATGTAGCCGGGGGGGGGGGGGCTTGAGGGGCTTCCGCCCCCCCCCCCCCCCGAAATTCTCATGGTGGTTCGCGAAAAGGCCTTACTGGTGCATTATTTAAACTGTTATGTTTATTCATATCATGATCTGATCACCATACTCAATATATCCCATATGCATGGGGGTATTGGGGTAACGATACAAAAGGTTTGCTAGGGTAGACCCTCTTTCACTCAGACTCCCCCCCCCGAACCCCCCCCTGAAAAAAACTCAGCCCCCCGAATCGAAATCCTGGCTACAGGCCTGCTTAGGATCTCAAGACCAGCAAGTAACCCATGGGCCAAATTCTATATCACAGCTTTTAATGTTTTAAACCAACTTTAAATTTGGCCAAATATTTGTATTACATACGACCACTAGAGGGCACTCGTGCTGCATTTATTAGACAAGACTGCAGTATCTCATATAGATTTAGCAATATCTATGCTATTATGTTTTGTATTTCCATCTTTGATTGTTGTTGATTGATTTTGTATTGTATTTGATTGTATTTTAACATGTTGGGAGCCACTTTGGATCCCTTTGTGGAAGAAAAGCTGAATATAAATATAGAATTATCATTATTATTATTCTTATGCTACCCAAAAGCTTTAACAAATCGCAAAACGTTTCTCACGTCATGGTTAAGGGGAGGAAACCACGTGATTTTCATAAGTTTAATAATTATATGATTGACTCTAGGGCTTAAAAGGTACCAAATTGGCTCTAATTTTAGAAGCTAAGCAGGGACAGCCCAGGTTAATATTTGGATGGGAGACTCACAACAAATACCAGATGCTGTAGGCTATGCTCCATAAGAAGCCACTGGCAAAACCATCTCTGAGTATGATTTGCCTAAGAAATCCTCATGAAATTCAAGGGGTCACCATAAGTCGCCAGGTCACTTGAAGGCACATACACACAGACACGCATGCTTGACTGTTCCCATTGTATTTCCCATGCCATAGAAATGATGGCAGTGCTGGAACTCCTGAATATAATTCCCAAGGCTGGATTATAAGTGCAGCTGGAAGAAATACTCTGAGGCCCTCAATGATTAGGAGATTCATGTTGCTGCGGCCCTCAGGCATATATGCATGTCCACACAAGCATCTTGTACTTGGATCCTGTCAAAAGATCCTGTATTGCCCAGGGTTGTTAACATTTTACTCTTAGCTCTATTCCTAATATGCAGTGAGTCGGCATTACTATTTCTGAGATTTCTCTATCTTTGCCATGCCAGCTGGAAGACAGATAATGGGGACTCCCAGAGACACATTCTCCTTCCCGCATGGAAGGGATTGGTAATGCCCTGCAGGTTGCTTCTCAGCCTCAATGTGTGCAAAAAAGACCTTGTTTGGGTCTTGAAAATTCTTACACATTTTCTTGTATGGATTCTGACCTCACAAGTTGACTTCTTATTAATAAATAGATCTCCCCTGCCCTTACAGTTTTGAAGATAGAGAGGGAGAGTAAAGAAAAATATGGATAAACTCATGGAGCCTCTAGTCATAGCTTCAAAAGGAGCAAAAAGTCTTAAAATGAAGGCACCGCTTCTATCTACAAGACTGAAGCTTTGCAAAAGAAGGGTGAAAAAAACCAAGGAGCTAGAGGAAATACATGTTCGAACAGTGGTAAAACTGGAAATTTTCTATTTGTGAAACATTCGGTTTCTACTAGCCACCTACATTTCCAGGATGGTTGTTAAATGTAAGTTGTTTCACTTTGTTTTTTCCAGGCACAACTGTACATGACCTTGTTAGAGACTCTTATTATGTCTACAGCCTTTACCTGGGAGTCCTGTTGTTCCAGGCAAGCCTTTGGGTCCTCGACCTGGGAGTCCTCTCTCCCCCTTTTCACCTGTATCACCTAAAACAGATCAAGACAACATTATTTTGTTATTACTTAAAATACACACACATTGCTTTCCATTCAGCCTAGGATTTGGGGGCTGAGTACAACCAACTGCTTCACAGAATAAATACATTAACAGAGCAGCAGGGAAAATCCTTAAAGCAGCTATCTTTACAAGAGGTTAAAATGCCTGTGTAAATAATGGTGTTGGAGTCTTTTCATAGACAGGTAGCAATGCCCTTATTTAACCTCTGTGGGTGCCAGAAGGAGAACAATGTTAGGGATGCCATTTGCTAAGGCAAAAGTAGAGGCATGCTGGAAAATTACTAAAACTCAAACATTTTACATTCTGTATAAGGGTAAAACTTGTAGGGCCAGCTGTAGTTACCCAATGTTGTCCTAGTTAGAGCATCGCTATTGAGAAAGTCCTTTCCTGGGTTATTAAACAGCAGCATGCATTTAACAAGATGAATGGTCTCATCTTAAGGGCTAAAAGCATGAACAAAATGAATAGGAAGAGACAGCATCATCATCACAATCAGCATCACCGCCATCATCATTATCTCAATGCACCACTATACATGGTGCTTTACATCCCAATCCATAGGAGCCCCTGGTTGCACAGCAGGTTAAATCCTTGTGCCAACAGGACTGAAGACCGACAAGTCACAGGATCGAATCTGGGGAGAGTATGGATGAGCTCCCACTGTCAGCTCCAGCTCCCCATACAGGGACATGACATGAGAGAAGCCTCCCACAAGGATGGTAAAACATCAAATCATCCAGGCATCCCCAGGGCAACGTGCTTGCAGATGGCCAATTCTCTCACACCAGAAGCAATTTGCAGTTTCTCAAGTCGCTCATGACACCTTGTGATGTTAAGTTGGTGGGCAAATGTAAGAGGGCTTTCTCTGTAATAGTGCTTCTATGGTGGAACGTCCAACTTAAGAAAGTTGCACTGGCCTTATCTCTTTTTTCAGCAGGCAGTCAAAACAATGCTGCTCCATATGACAATCAACATTTTAAAGTGCTGTTCTAACTCTTTTCAAAACTGGAAGACTGTTTTAGGAGTTTTTAAAGACAATTGTAACGTTTACAAAAAACTGTTTCATAACCCTTTTGGTACTAATGTTGGAGAGTGATCCCTGGTCAAAGTGGTTCCTGGTCTTTGGCTCCTGGTCAAGAAAAGGTTGGGAACCACTGAGATAGACAGACAAGCCAGACAAATAGGTACATATCCAGGTCCCCAGGTCCCAAAACCATCTATCTGCAGTGCTTCCATCTTCCTTATGTTCAGATTTTGCTTACTGGCTCTCATCCAGCCCATTTCCACATTCAGGCACAGTTCAGCAGTATGCATAAAGGAAACATTCTGTACTGAGTAATACGAAATCTCAGTTGGAACAATGAATGATCCATAATTCAGGTAATTCAAATCAGTGTATATCTCCTTTAAGGGCAATTCCGTCAGCTGGTAGTTACATCAATGGTCATATCTGTATACTTTCCTCTATTGACCATAATTATAGACAAATACATTTCCATTTATAAGAACTGCTTCTCTATAGTTGCTTATCCAAACGTGGAGGCATGTGACCATGCAAATTATCCAAAGATGAAAGAAAAATGTCAACTGATGGAGACCTATCTTCCAGGCACAGCCTTTCTATAGCTAGCTTTCAATATATCATTGATCTTTCTGCCTCCATATTTGCTTTCTCCATCACATCACTATACAGAGTAAATCATTTACTTTCTACCATCTTGGTAGAAAGTAAATCTGACTACTGCTCACTGTCTGTTAAGCATGATACATAGGCTTTTGACAGCAACAGAAATAGCTAAGTAGTAATACATGCGTCCTCCAGCAAAGGATCACCGCCTTGTCGGGGCGCTGGAGCTTGAGCACCTCAATGATGTCATGAGCGAAACCGTGAAGGGACACCCAAGACGGGACGGTTGTGGCAGGGAGGTCAGACCAAGCGTGATCCCTGGGGAAGGCAATGGCAAACCACTCCAGTATCCTTGCCAAGAAAACTAAATGGACCAGTACAACCAGAGATATGTTCGGTATGCCATTGGAAGATGGGACTCCCAGGTCGGAAGATGGCAAAAATGCTACTGGGGAGGAGCAGAGGATAAGTTCAACTAGCCCCAGATGTGATGACGCAGCTAGCTCAAAGCCGAAAGGAAGGCTAGCGGCCGACGGTACTGGAGGTGAACGACGAATCCGATGCTCTAAAGATCAACACACCATAGGAACCTGGAATGTAAGATCTATGAGCCAGGGCAATTGGATGTTGTTATTGGCGAGATGTCAAGACTAAAGATAGACATTCTGGGGGTCAGCGAACTGAAGTGGACTGGAATGGGCCACTTCACATCAGATGACCACCAGATCTACTACTGCGGACAAGAGGAACATCGAAGAAATGGAGTAGCCTTCATAATTAATAAGAAATTCGCTAAAGCGGTGCTTGGACACAACCCAAAAAATGACAGAATGATCTCAATTCGAGTGCAAGGAAAGCCTTTCAACATTACAGTGATCCAAATATACGCCCCAACCACAGCTGCTGAAGAAGCAGAAGTAGATCAGTTCTATGAGGATCTGCAGGACCTACTGGATAATACACCAAAAAGAGACATTATTTTCATTACAGGAGACTGGAATGCCAAGGGGGGAAGTCAAATGACAACAGCGATCACAGGCAAGCATGGTCTGGGAGAACAAAATGAAGCGGGACGCAGGCTGATAGAATTTTGCCAGGAAAACTCGCTGTGTATAACGAATACTCTCTTCCAACAACCTAAAAGACGGCTTTACACATGGACCTCACCAGATGGTCAACACCGAAATCAGATTGACTACATCCTTTGCAGCCAAAGGTGGCGGACATCCATCCAGTCGGTGAAAACAAGACCTGGGGCTGACTGTAGCTCAGATCACGAACTTCTTATTGCCCAATTTAGAATAAAACTAAAGAGATCAGGGAAAATACACAGACCAGTTAGATATGATCTCACTAACATTCCTAGAGAATATACAGTGGAAGTGAAGAACAGATTTGAAGGACTAGATTTAGTAAACAGAGTCCCAGAAGAACTATGGACAGAAGTCCGAGACATTGTTCAGGAGGCGGCAACAAAGTACGTCCCAAAGAAAAAGAAAACCAAGAAGGCAAAATGGTTGTCTGCTGAGACACTGGAAGTAGCCCAAGAAAGGAGGAAAGCAAAAGGAAACAGTGAAAGGGGAGATATGCCCAGTTCAATGCGCAATTCCAGAGGTTAGCCAGAAGAGATAAGGAACTATTTTTAAATAAGCAATGCATGGAAGTGGAAGAAGACAACAGAATAGGAAGGACAAGAGACCTCTTCCAGAAAATTAGAAACATTGGAGGTAAATTTCAGGCAAAAATTGGTATGATAAGAAACAAAGATGGCAGGGACCTAACAGAAGCTGAAGAGATCAAGAGAAGGTGGCGACACTATACAGAAGATCTGTATAGGAAGGATAATAATATTGAGGATAGTTTTGACGGTGTGGTGAATGAATTAGAACCAGACATCCTGAGGAGTGAGGTTGAATGGGCCTTAAGAAGCATTGCTAACAACAAGGCAGCAGGAGACGACGGGATCCCAGCTGAACTGTTTAAAATCTTAAAAGATGATGCTGTCAAGGTGATGCATGCCATTTGCCAGCAAATATGGAAAACAAAAGACTGGAAAAAATCAACTTATGTCCCCATACCAAAAAAGGGAAATGCGAAAGACTGCTCAAACTTCCGTACAGTGGCCCTTATTTCTCATGCCAGTAAGGTAATGCTCAAGATCCTGCAAGGAAGACTCTAGCAATACATGGAGCGAGAGTTGCCAGATGTTCAAGCTGGGTTTAGAAAAGGCAGAGGAACGAGAGACCAGATTGCCAATATCCGCTGGATAATGGAGAAAGGCAGGGAGTTTCAGAAAAACATCTACTTCTGCTTCATTGACTATTCTAAAGCCTTTGACTGTGTGGATCATAATAAATTGTGGCAAGTTCTTAGTGGGATGGGCATACCAAGTCCACCTTGTCTCTCTCCTGAGGAATCTGTACAAGGACCAAGTAGCAACAGTCAGAACTGACCACGGAACAACAGACTGGTTCAAGATTGGGAAAGGCGTACGGCAAGGCTGCATACTCTCACCCAACCTTTTTAACTTGTATGCAGAACACATCATGCGATGTGCGGGCTTGATGAATGCAAGGCTGGGGTTAAAATTGCTGGAAGAAACATTAACAACCTTAGATATGCAGATGACACCACTCTGATGGCCAAAAGTAAGGAGGAGCTGAGGAGCCTTCTAATCAAGGTGAAAGAAGAAAGCGCAAAAGCTGGGTTGCAGTTAAACATCAAAAAAACCAAGATTATGGCAACAAGAATGATTGACAACTGGAAAATAGAGGGAGAAAACCGTGGAGGCGTGACAGACTTTGTATTTCTAGGTGCAAAGATTACTGCAGATGCAGACTGTGGCCAGGAAATAAGAAGACGCTTACTTCTTGGGAGGAGAGCAATGTCCAGTCTCGATAAAATAGTAAAGTGTAGAGACATCAGACTGGCAACAAAGATCCGCATAGTCAAAGCAATGGTATTCCCCATATTCACCTACGGATGTGAGAGCTGGACCATAGGGAAGGCTGAGCGAAGGAAGATAGATGCTTTTGAACTGTGATGTTGGAGGAAAGTTCTGAGAGTGCCTTAGGCCGCGAGAAGATCCAACCAGTCCATACTTCAGGAAATAAAGCCCGACTGCTCACTGGAGGGAAAGATACTAGAGACAAAGTTGAAGTACTTTGGCCACATCATGAGGAGACAGGAAAGCCTAGAGAAGACAATTATGCTGGGGAACGTGGAAGGCAAAAGGAAGAGGGGCCGACCAAGGGCAAGATGGATGGATGGCATCCTTGAAGTGACTGGACTGACCTTGAGGGAGCTGGGGGTGGTAACGGCCGACAGGGAGCTCTGGCGTGGGCTGGTCCATGAGGTCACGAAGAGTCGGAGACGACTGAACGAATGAACAACAACAACAATACATGCGTCACACTTGTTCTGAAACAGTGACTTGACAGGCCACCAACATTGCAGTGACCCGATATAAAGAAAGCACGTTCAACTAGCCCAGAGTATTTTCTGTCTAAAATTTGGAAATACTGTCCTAAATTTATAGCTATAGTAAAACATGGGATTTACTTATGTGTTGACTCTCTAGTCAATGATTGATTCAGTGGGTTTCAGGCCACTGTTGTCTTTGTGGGAAATGAAACCGAGGCTTCTATGCTATTCCCGGTGCCTCTTCCCTCCTTAGTTCCTAGTGTGTCATGGAAGATTGTCCTAATTGAATCTGGGTACGTTCCTTGGAGGTAATTTCCTACCTCTGTGAGAATATTTTTCCTGCAGCCTGATTTGGAGACTTGCCCGGAGTGAGACAGAATAGCCATTGGCAGTAATCCTGCTGCTAACAACATCATTTTGTGATACTGCAAAGGCATAACTCTTTGTAGACCAGATCCTGATGTAAGTTAGCTGTTGAGTGAAGTTTTGACTGCTACTGTGTCTGCTTTTTGTAGCTTTGAGTTGCAGATTTGAAACTTCACATTTTTTTCTTTTCTGCAACCTTTCTCATATTGCTCTCTCATCTACTTTTGCCCCATATTTTGCCATACTGCACTTTGAAATGCTGATTGCTATATACCAAAGTAATGTCATAGAGCGTGCTATTTCTGTCTAAGATTCCACGTGCTTCATTCATCATCCTTTATCCACTTTTCTTCTCATTAATACAAGAACCAGCTCACCTAACTACTGTACTCACATTCAAACAGATCTATCCTCATGTGGAGACAGATTCTTCAGTCTGGGTCTAGGTATTATTCTCTGTTGTACCATAGCTCCAGTCACTTTAGAAAAGTTTACAATTGTGTGTTAAATAGCACTCATCGAAGATCTCAATGCAGTTTGCAAAAGCAATGAAACAAGTTACTCAATATAAAACAACAACATAATTAAATAAACTAAAATATATTAAACTTCAGTAACAAGTTAAAACAGATTTGAAAGATTGAAAATGTCATGTTGTGCTCTAAGATCCCATTTGTTAATCAATCTATACATCCAAATGCAAACATACAAATGATTGCAGCCTGGATTTCTTACCTTTGGGGCCTTTCAGTCCAATCTCACCAGGCGGCCCCTTGAGGCCAGGCAGACCTCGAGAGCCCATTTGGCCTGGGAAACCATTTTCTCCAGGTGAACCAGCAGGACCAGGAGGACCAGGACGGCCTGGGAGACCCGGGGCACCAAATTCTGGCCTCCGAAGGCTGGCGGCCAATTGAGCCAGTTGTTCTATGAAACAGAAAATAAAACAAAGAATAGTAAACCAGATGTTTTGTTGTTGTGTGCCTTCAAGTCATTTCTTACATACAGTAACTCTATTGCAATTTTTATTTATAAGACTAGCCGTCCCCTGCCACGCATTGCTGTGGCCCTGTCTGGTGATCTGGAAAATAAAGTACCGTAATGAGAAAGTATTGGTTTCTAATATATGTGATTTCTTGATGTTTGTGGGTAAATTTCTTGCTGTTTCTGTGTCAGTGTTGATGTGGAGATTGTCTGGTTTGCCTACTCTGGAACATGCAACATATAATTGTCCTTCTTTAGGGGTCCCTTTCAAATCTACTATATCTCTCTGTGTGTGAATCATATATATTTATCTATATCTATGGCTGGATGGCTCTTTGTCAGGAGGGCTTTGATTACATTTTCTTGCCCTCGTGAAGGGAGTTGGACTGGATGGCCTTAAGTATTTCTGTTGGTCATGAGGGTTATGTGTGGGAAGTTTGCCCCAATTCTGTTGCTAGTGGAGTTCAGAATGCCCTTTGATTGTAGGTGAACTATAAATCCCAGTAATTACAGCTCCCAAATGTCAAGGTCTATTTTCCCCAAATTCCATCTGTGTTCATATTTAGAAGCATCCTATATTAATGCAAGTACACCCATTACTTTATCTAACTCACTATCATTACACTGACTGGCAATGGCTCTCCAGGCTATCAGACAACAATCGTACCAGGAGATACCTTTTGCATTTAAAACATGTGGCCTACTCACAGCATGCAGTACTTCTTTATGGGAGCATTTTAAAGTGATAAAGGGAGAAGGGAACATTGATTTTGATGGTGAAGGTAAATCTGAAGTCAAAACGATGACGCTGCATCCTGTGGGACAGTTTACAAAACAGCAGTCGCATTGAGAAGACCTCAAATGAAATCAGACAGTGTAATAAAACTACTTAAACTCCTGAAACGCAACAGCATTACATCCCACAGGATTTCAGCAGCAGCCATCAGCAGAATATATATATATTGTCCACAACACATTCCAAGCTGAGAATATAATGAAATATACAACAAGAATAATATCATTGCTACTAAAATGTTAATGGGCAACATTATTCTCACTGGCTGCCCACCAACAATGCTTGGAATATTTTTATCTTAGGCTTGGAACAGTGAGCCTGGGGTCTTCTGGGAGTTATAATCCTAACAAGTCACTTTCTCGAGCACTGGTTTTATCTTATGATTTATTCTGCTGTTGTAGGGCTTTAATCCTGGTCTTTGAATGTTGGCATTTGACAAAACCATAGTTTGACCCTGAGCATTTATAATGGTTAAGCACTAACATTTGTAATCTGCTTCTAAACCCTTACTGTAAGACTGCAGTAGCGCAGCGGTTAAAACTAGCTGCAGGAAAGCTGCTGACCAGAGAGTTAGCAGTTTGAAGCCACAAGTCTGGGTGAGCTCCCAGCTATCAGCTCTAGCTTCTGCCTACCGAGCAGTCCGAAAGCATGTAATCCAAGTGGATCAATAAGTACCGCCTCGGCGGGAAGGTAAAAGGACGCCCCATGCAGACATGCCAGCAATGATTAGAGAAAGTCTATGGACAACAGGCTCTTTGGCATGGAAAAATGAAACAAGAGCACCTTCCCATGGCCAGAGTTGAGCATCACCTCCAGACACTGGAGATGGAAAGGGGAAAGCCTTTGCCTCTGTCTCTGTATTGTATGCCATTGTTCACTGTGTAAAAAGGGATTGAATGTTTACCTTATATATGCAAACTGTAATCTGTTCTGAGTCCCTTCAGGGAGATAAAGCGGAATATAAATAAAGTGTGTTGTTGTTGTTGTTGTTACAAGAGCAGCTTTTCAAAATGCATTCAATATGATCCTAAATGTACTAAAATAATTTATGTGTATTCATCGTATTTCTGTGAATTAAAATAATCTTGAAACCGGGACCTCTCTCGTTCAAGAAAGTGCAACGTTCCCATGTACTGAATGCTACAGATATACCATCTGAGCATCTTTGGGTTTCTTCCTTAGATTATTGAACATGAAAAATCTCTTTGGAAATGCTGATAACTGAACATGGGACCTTTTGCATCCACGCTATGTGTATTATCACTCGGCTATGGATTATCCCTACTGAATCTTCAGATCACAGGCCAAGTCTATATCTGGAAAGCCTTCAAACAATAAAACTTCATCTTTGTGATTTTCAAAGTGAACGTTTACATTTAAACATGAAAATGAGTAGAATTTCCATTTACCTTGCATTACTCTCATGCAAACCTGCTTAATGTGAGCATCGGTTGGCTCTCTGCCCTGAAACAAATAAATTATTAAAACAATTCAATCAAACTTTCATTGCATTATTAATAACATCCTGAATATGACTTTTTTCCCATTCAATGTAGAATCTCCAGTACTGTTACAATAGCTTGAATTCTTTAGCGTACGTATCCGAATTCAAGATATAAATGGCCATTGTTACTCTTTCGGATAAGGCAAACAAAGGAAGATTTGAATAAGACCTACTAAATTTAATAAGTGACGAGTTCCAAGTAAGTTAGTTCTGAATAAACTCACAAGTGTGGAGTCACTGAATCAATTAACATTTTAGTTAATTTCAACGTTTCTATCAAAGGGCAATTTTAGAAGGATTTTTTCCAGATTTTATATATTTGTATTATTAAACCTAAAGTTTAACACAAAGGAACAGAAAATACAAAAAAGCAATTAACAATGCCCTGAATAAGTCATCAAGGCTTTTTTCAGAAAAAATGTTTTCTTTTATGCACTATAATGTGTAATAAAAATGAATTTTAAATAACATTTCAAAGGCTGTGCATCTACACTGTGGGACTAATGCTATTTGACACCACTTTAACTGCCATGGCTCAATCCTACAGAGTGTGGAATTGAAGTTCTGCAAGACTTTAAACCTCCGCCAAATAGTTTAGGTGCCTCATTAAACAACAAGTCTCATGATTCCATAGCATTAAGTTATGTCAGTAAAGTGTTGCCAAACTGTATTCATTCTATAATGTTGGTGCACCCAGGGACACAGGAAATAAAAATTTCCTACCCATATCCTTTTGCAAATTTTACCCGGGCTATGCTATCTAGGGCAAATGTTTTTTCAACAGTACTTTTTCCCTCCCAACACCAATCTCAGGGCCTTTTATGCCACATGAAATATGGTTTTGAATGATTTCTGGGCTTTCCTAGAGCCAATGTTGGGGGTGCTTGAAGGGCGTACATTGCAAAGGGAAGGTCAGCCCTTACCAATTACTTTGGATCCATTATTTCACCACTGGTGGCCCTGTTCAACTATACTGGGTTTTAAAATAATCTTGGGATTAGTCTGTTGCTTATTGGGTATGTTTAGATGGAAAGAGACAGGAGGAACATAACCATTACAGCATCACAGAATTAATGGGTTCGCTCAGCCTTTCACAACCACAGGGACATGAAATTAGTACTGCAGTGACACAGCCCACTGCCTCACTTGCTTTTCTATAAAGGTTTCTATGCTTGGGAAGAAGAAAATGTATCAACAGACACATATATAAGAATCAGAAGGTCCCTGCAGATGGGCCCCATTTATACTATCCTATTCATAGCACTGTTATTCCTCTTTAAATGCCATTATTCTGTCTTATGAAATTCTTGAATTTGGAGTTTATAGAAAGGTATTTTAAAACCTAGTAAAGTGGTATAGAGCACTGCAATTGTGTAGTGTGGATAGACCCAGTCAGAACAATACTGACTGGTCTCCCAGTAGTTTCCCCCTCTTAACTTGATGGCAGCATAAGAAATCTCCACTTTTATTTCCAGTACCTTAATCAACCTTGCCATGCAGAAATACCAGTATTTAGATATAAAGGAACTACTACTTACAGCTGGACCCTGACTCCCAGGCAAACCAGGAGCTCCTTGTGGGCCTTGTAAACCACGAGGACCAGGTGGGCCCCGCAATCCTTCTATACCAGGCAAACCTCGACTTCCTTCAGGCCCACGTGACCCAGGTTCACCAGGATTCCCAACCTTACAATGGGAAAAAGTAAAGCATATTTACTTGGGGTAGGGCAGAACAAGCTACTCTTCCAATATTGCTCCAGGTCTCTCAGCCATAGTAATAGTCTACTGCATAAAAAATGCTCAGGCTTTCTTATTTTCTGTTATGCGGTACAGAACTGGACATAGTTCTCCAAGGGAGGTCTACATGGAATTAATGCAGATCAATACTTCTATCAGTCTGTTCGTACAGTCTTAAATTGCTTCCCCTGCATATTAAATCAGGTTTAGGTGGAGGCCAACCAAGATCCATAGACTTTCTCACATGTACTGCTGCTAAGCCAAATCCCACCCCTTTTATATTTGTGCATGTGATTTTTCCTGCCAAAACATAGAACTTCAGAATTATTCCTGTTGAAATTTATTTTGATTTAGTTTAGTTCTTCAATAATCTTGAATCCTAATTTTGTCTTCTAAGTTATTAAATATTCCTCCTAGTCATTTTCAATTTTGTAGAGCATCCCTTCTATTCCAGAAGCTGTCATTTAAAATGATTTGTGGGGAAAAAAACATCAGATCCAGGAAAGAACTTCACAGCAACTCACTTTCACTTATCAGGTCTCTCTAGTATGGAGAGGGATCATTAGTGAGCAGTTCTGGATTTATTTGTTAAGCACTTACAAATCTTCTTAATGATAGTACTACCTCACATTTCACCAGTTTGTCCAGAGAATAACCACAGGGGAACCTTTATAAGCCTTCTTGAAATTACAACATAATATATCCACAGTGTCCCCTGATCTACCAATGTTGCAGCTATTTCAAAAGAAGAGATTAGTCTGGAATTACTTGTTTTTGAGGAACCCAGAGAGATTCTTAAACATTGCTACATTCTCTTCTATGTTCTCACACATTTAATATCTGAGGATCTGTTCTATAAACTTTCATTACTGATGTCAAATTGACCTAAAATTATCCAGGTCCTCTTTTTCCCTATTTCTGATGGAGACTACGTGTGCTCTCTTCCAGTTAGCAGACCTTCCCTTGTTTTCCAAGAACTTGTCCAATATAATAAAGCAAACATCTCACTTAAATCACATCACTCCAAGTTCCTCAGTACATCCAGATACAGTTCATCTGGACATGAAGATATGGATTCATTTATAGTAGATAGGTGTTCCCACACCACTTCTTTTTTTTAATACTGAAACTCAAACTCCCACCCTACTTGCCAGAGTACATAATATGCCCTACCCTGCATTACTTGTTTCATTTTTGCCAGGCTGAGTACTGTTCAAGAAATAAAAAACAAAGTATATTTTTATCAGTTCTACATTGTCTTTCAACCTTCTCACACAGGGCAATTGAAGCGTCCTAGGACACTTCTGCTCCGGTTCACTTGTGGAGCCCCACACTATCCATCAAACGACATATGGTAACTTCCGGTGAGGCTCTGTGGGTAAACTGGAGTGGCAGCATGGTGGGATGCTGCCCCCCCCCCCCCGCAACACACAAGCCGCCCTGTGTTCCAGAATGAACAAGGCTTTTGGTGGAGTGGCCACACTTCCCCAGGTGGGATGGGGAAGTGTCAGCTTGCGGCTAGAGCACTGGGATTGCCTTGCAACAGCCCCACTACTGTCGTGATTCACCACAAAGACTGGCAAATCATGGCACTGGACGTTATCCATGTGATGAGGTCCTTTGTCACCAACTGACATTTCAGCACTATTTCTAGTTGGTGGACCAACTGCTTCTTTGTTTATTCTTATTTTAAAACATTGCTTGTTCTTCCTTTTGCTCTGTTTACTGTTTTGGCCTCTCTTACAAGCCTGACCCTATAGTGAGCTTTGCCCTCTCAAAAGTATTTTTTTTCCTTGGTGATTTGCCTCTCTTTCCATTTTCTATACATATTACCTTTTGAATCCCAACTCATTCAGAAGCTTCTTATGCAACATGATTGCTGTTAACTTACATTGTGGGGGAAACTATAGAGGTGGTAGATGATAACCTCATACTCAATTAAGCCAGTGGCCCATTTGCTCAGCCAGAGCATTCAATTGCAGGAAAAAGATAAGAGATAGAGATTGGATATTCATTGCCATATATTTCAGTTTCAGAATGCAGATTGATGGCATTAAACTGGATTATATGAGTCTATACTGCCATATAACCCAGTTGAATGCAGTGGACCTGCATTCTGAAGCTGTATTATAAGTCAGGGCAAATCCAGCCAGAGGCAGACCTTCAAACAGTTCAGGAAACGAACCATCTTCAACCCAGAAGCCACACTATCTTTTATCTCTCCTACTAAATGGGCACAAAAAGCCCATTTTTGACTTATTCCTGCCTAGGTTATGTTTCCGAGCTCAGTTCAGAAGTACAGTCAGATTTGACTTTTGCAGATTTGATTATTCACAGATTTCATTAAAATGTTCTCTCTAGAAATCTCGAAGTCCCCCGGTAAGATTCTATAGTCAACCTCTATTGAAAGCTGATCGTACAATGACCTCTCTAGGCCCTCTAGTATGATCCAGTGGAAGTTGACAATAACTTTATGCTTGTGAAGCTAAATATTTCTAGAGAGACCTTCTCTCAGGTGAATTTTTTAAAAATAAAAAACCTTGCCATTATTCATTTGGGGGGAGGGGTCTTATGCCCTTAACCACAGCAAATGTATAGTCACAGCTAGGTGGATGTAATGGCAGCCAAAAGGGGTGATGTGTCTTCCGCTAAAATCACTGCTGCAACACTTCCTGCTTCATGTCCTGATGAGAATTTTTCACAGAGAGAGGAACCCTATGGTCACATCCTCAGTTTTTTGTGCGGGCTTTGCTTTTGCTTAGCTTTGATTGAGGGTGCTACTTTATTTTCTCAGAGGACCATATGTATGCATTTCAGTAAGTAAACAAGTAGGAAAGAGGCTGCTGCATAGCAAGTGGCATTTTGTTTTCCCTCCTCCCCGCAGGCACTTCCATGGTGATCTATAGCTTAAGTAATAAAGTCCCTCAAGCAATGCTATACTTTTTGCCTTTGCACAAATCCGATGAATATATTAAATATTTAAAAACAGCTTAACTACGAAGAAGGCCATAAACTACAAGAGCTTTTAAGCTCCCGTTTCTGTATTCTATAAATATAACAGCAAAGGAAATAAATATTAGATAAGCTAGAAATTGGCAATACAAGAGTTTGCAAACTGCTGCTTTGAAACCACTAGGGAAAAAACTAATCACAACTATTTCTCTTCTCTGTGAAACAGAACACTATGGGGCCCATTGTTTCTAGCCATGGCACTTTTATTGCTCATATATATATATATATATATATATATATATATATATATATATATTCATTTTAAATAGTAAGAAAGCTGAATTTTTAAAATGAAAAATGTAGAAATTGAACATGTTAACAATGGACTTTCATTTGCAAATCTGCCTAGTATCCTGCATCTCTTTCTGGAATGCCATTTCCGACATTATATGAGATTCTGTCAGCATTTAATAGGTTTGCTGACTTCATTTTCATAGAAGTCAGGGCACGGCACATTAATACAATTATTGTGTAATAAAACTGTTCAAACAAGGAGCACTTATGTTCAAAGTCTACATAACTTGCCAGGAAATAAAGTTGTCAATTTCAAACCAATCTACAATTTGAAGTAACCTTTGTTTATCATTGGTTCACTGGGCCAGTCAGCAGTATGTACTACATAGAATAAATAGCCATTATGTACTGTATAACACAAACAATCTTCTTCTTTTCCCACCTCCACAAATACGTATTTCTACCTAAATGATATTTTAATACTTGTTTTTACCTAGGGCATTTTTAGAAAATCAGCATAATACAGTGTTTTGGGTGTCAAAGTAGAACTCCTGGAGATCAGGGTTTCAATTCTCATTCCGCTATGAAAACCTACTAGGTGATGTTGGGCAAGTCATAGGACCTCATCATTAGGAAATATTCTGTTTCTATGCATCCCAAAGTTTTTTTCGGACTGAATTCATGCAGACAGGATCCATCACATCCAAATACTATAATCCTTACCTTCAGAAAATGCTGCACTTTGTCCCATCACTCTGTGACCTTTCTTATATATTTTTTATAAATTTGTGCAGTGACATTGCCTCCAAGTCCCAAATGACCACTCTTGTGAGATTTGAAAACGTACTTGCGTCTGCGCAGTAAATGTTTTCGCCTGATTACTATCTTTTGGTGCGAAATATGTATTTCTAAACAATCTATTATTGATTTATTATATATGGCTGCTTTGCTGCATCTACCAACAATACTGCTGCAGTTAGTACAGTAAATCAGTTCTGTGAGGCTGAACTCGAGGTGATGCAGAGGCAACAGAAGCTTATGACAACGTTGCTTCTCCTTCTAAAGTGGCATAATAGTTAAAAGTAAAATTCTGCCGCTTCAAAACAGGTGCAATAGAGAAAGAAATTGTGCAAATTTTGGTTAGAAAATTAAGAAATATAATGAAGTAAAGTAACAATTTCCCATTTTTCTCCGACTTCCTAACAGAAAGTGTGGCCATTTCTGTCATGAATAGTCCAACGTCATGAGACTCTGCCCCCAGACATGCCCCAGAATTTCAAGTCATATCATTCCCAATCACACACAAAAACACTACTTCAATTACAGAAAACTCTGTACTATTTCAAATACTACGATTATAATAATGTCTGGAAATACTCAATTTCTGCAACATTTTGCAGACAGATTTTGATGGATGATCAACGGGATGGGGCAAATGTGATGTCATGTGATGGGACCCATTGGAAATCATTCTCAGTCTCAAATATGATGAGGTCCATATACTTTCAGCTTCAGAGGCAGGAAAAGGCAAACCCACTCTGAAAAAATCTTGCGAAAAAAGCCCAAACCATAGGATAGGATCACTATAGGTCAGAATAGACCTGAAGGCACACAATAACAAATAGTAATGTTTGATAAGTAACTGTGAAGTTGATAGCAAGACTAAGAAGAATGTAGACTCCTTTGATAAAGCACCTATGATGGTTTTGTGTGTGTGTGTGTGTGTGTGTGTGTGTGTCAGGAGCAACTTGTGGAAGTCACTTCTGGTGTGAGAGGATTGGTTGTCTGCAAAGACATTGCCCAGGGGACGCCTGGATGTTTTGATGTTTTACCATCCATGTGGGAGGCTTCTCTCATGTCCCCACAAGGGGAGCTCGAACTGCCAGAGGGAGCTCATCCGCACTCTCCCCAGATTCAAATCTCCAACCTGTCGGTCTTCAGTAGAAAATTAGTATGGGAAACACTAAGATTTTTTTCTGACTTACAGGAATGCAGCCATGGTAAAATGTGAATGTGCGAGATCAGGAAGAAGGAAGGGGAATGGTACAGTAGATGTGCTTCCCAGACATCTGAAAAATGGCTCTGAATTCAGCACAAATGTATCAAATGTGGTGCTACTTTAGGGCATGTTTGCACCAGACTAAACTACCTACACACGGACAAGCAGAGATGTCCTCATAGACATACATGGCTTGTTCTTTGGAACCTATGAACATTCTCATGGAGGAATGAGGAAGCTAAAATTCCTCTTTAAAATGACTACATTGATCTCCTCCTGATTGAGACTTTAGACCCAACTGGTGTTATACGTCTGTTTCATGTTCCAGGTGTTTGCAAGACACACAGCCCCAAAAATATTTTATTCCCATTTAGACAAATTACTGGATCTCTTTTCTTTTTTTTTAAAAGGAACATTATTTGATACCAAGAACTACTTAGTCATGCGCTGCATGCTACAAAGAACTCTGTATGAAACTGATGATTAGCTGAAAAAATGTGATATGCAGTTAACAAAAGTTTTATCTTTGAAAAGAAGTCAGTGGAATTGTTTTGCAACAACCACTTTTGACAACTGGGGACCATTTTTATGAAGCTTTTGGGTGTGATGCCTTTCAGTTATGCCCTCTTAAGCATTGCATTACTATGGCAACATGATATTAATCATAGGTCACATTCTAGAGTCCCAGTTAAATTTGATTTGTGCATGTAAAGCAGGTGTGAACATATATTCCTAAAGGTAGGATTACATTTCTCAGTAATAAAACATGATTAGAACTCTGAAACAAGTACATAGGACAAAGAGAATAGTCTTAGAAGCTCTTGTACATGTGACTATATCTCAACTTAATAAAATATAGGTACAAACCTTGTTCTTCTACATCAGTGGTTCCCAACCTGTAGTCTGTGGACCACCAGTAGTCCGCAAGAACTAAAACATGGTCCGCAGCCTCACGGTTATTACACAATTGCAATAAGAATGACAGGTCTCGCAAAACCCTCTTATAGAGCTGAGGCTTATTAAATATGATTTTCTGTGGGTGAGCAGATGGCGACTACTGGATGGCATATGTTCTGTATCAGAAACTAGAGCTGATATGGTCTATCCAATGCAATTTTCTGAATTAGCATACCAAATAATCAAACTGAATCTAAAGTTGACCAAAAACTGATTCATAACCCTTTTAGAACTAATGTTGGAGAGTGGTCCCCGATCAAAGTGGTCCCTGGTCAAGTGGTCCCTGGCCAAAAAAATGTTGGGAGCCACTGTTCTACATATAGCTGTTTTGCTATTCCCAACATGCAAGAAAAGAACAAGCCAGAAATCTTCAATCACTACAGTTTCTTGCAGCATCCAAAAGAGCAAACTCTGGTTAATGGTGTCCAAACAAGCCAAGGTATTACCCCAATCTTAACTTATTTGTTCAGAAGCTAGTAACCTTATTTTTCTCTTTCAGACATTATTGACAAATGCCAAATACTACATCTAAAGGCCACTAAACCCAAAGGCATATTTATAGGTTAGAAGATACTTGTCTTAGCAGCAGTACATGTGAAAAGGACTTTGGGGGTTTTTTTTATCATAATTTGAACATGACCCAGCAATGTGATGCTGCAGCAAAGAAGCAAATAATATATTTGCCTACATTCAGAGAATGATAATTTTGCAGTAGTTGGAACACACCTAGAATATTGCATTCAGTTCAGGATATCTCATTTTAAGAAAAATATAGAGAAGTTGCAGTTGGCTCAGTGAAGGGCAACAAGAATGATAAGATGTATGAAGAACAAAAGCATATAAACAATGGAAGGAATTGGTCATGTTTAGCCTGGTGAAGGGAAGACGAAGAGGTGACATTATTGCACTCTTTAAATATCAAAAAGGCTCTCTAAGAGGAAGGTGCAGGCTTGTTCTCTGTTGGCCACAAGGGCAGGAGCAGGTTTTATGGTTTTAAATTAAAGGAGATGAGGTGTTGATTGAAGGTTAAAAGGGATTTCTTGACAATTGGAGCTGTTTCACAATAGAGTAAATTAGGTAGAGAGGTGACAAGGGTCTCTTTCTCTGAACATCTTCAGAAAGAGGCTAGACAGCTACTTCCTTCAAATGCTCTAGCTAGTGTTTCTGTATTGATTAGTTGGTTGGACTCAATGGCTGATAGAAACATGTAATCATCCAAAATGCAACTACTATCAATCCTTGACTTTGTATGTATAAAAGCTATGAAACAACCTCAACTGCAACTTTCAAAAGAAAAAATGAGGTACCAGTGGATTCAAGCAATAGACTAGTTTAAAGCAGACATGCACAACATAAGCCCCACAAGCCACATGTTGCCCCTGCCCCAAAAAAGGATTTCAAATTGCTCACGATGACATGCTTTGGGCAACAATAACACAGACAACACCAGTATCATCTTTGCCATCAAGGTGGAACCAAAAGCAGGAGCCAGACCTTGGTGCCCAGACCTTACCGCCTCCTCTTCCATGCCTCCAGACAGGGTTCCTCTCCAGCCCCTATGACACCATGATGTGTACCCATGCTATGGGTAGATTAGGAAAATGTTCTCTTTGATTTCCATGGCAAACCCAACTGTTTATGCCTGCCATGCCTTCCATTCATGTTACCAAAAAATTGTAACAAATTGATAATTTATTGGCAATACAAACTGGTGGTGCCAAAGTTCTCAATGCGGATTACACCAGTGCAAGGATACCAGTCAGTACCTTACTTTTGAGTAAGGAAGATGAACTACTAGCTGCTTATTTGAAGAATTTTTAAATTTAATCCATAGTAGGCCACATTTTGCATGCAGCTTCATGGAGCAATTTTACACATGTCTACACAGAAATAAGCCAGCAAATACTCCCATAAATGTGTTGATAAAACTAAAGTCTATCCTATGTGAGCTGCATAAAAGATGCTCAGCCCGGTATATGACTCATATAAAAATTCAGTTCACAGAGCCTGCTCTACTAATCTGTTGTGAAGTCTCCATTCCCTTCGTTCACTAACTCATTAATTTACCTCTCTCTTCACCCATACCCGCAAACCTTCCATTCTCCACACACCAGGAGGTCACATTTCTCACTGTGAAAACCCCTCTAGTAATCTGCAGCTCTAAAATAAAAATGCTGAATGATGGATCACGTTTGCTCTAACTTCCTTGCTTGGGGAACTGAATATTTAAACTCCATTTGTGAAGCCAAACATCCCTTCTCCCGCCACCCCCCAGTTTAAAAATTTCTGCTGATTTATTATGCTTTTGATTTTCTGTAACAATGCAGTTCATCATACTTACAGATCCTTTAGGGCCTGGCAAACCCATGTCACCCTACGAAAACAAGATGAATTATGTCAGCATAGTAATGTTGCACGTGCCATTTCAAATATAATGACTTTTTCATTATTCTTTAAATGTTTGTACATTATAGCACTATTAGGGGAAAGAAGATCTCTCGGAGATAAGCTTAAAGAACAAATATGTCAAAGGATGGGAAGTTGCACTCACTAATTCAAAATCAGTTTAGAACCATAAAAAGGCTGAAAGAGTTTTTGTATCTGAAAAAAAATCTCCTGCAAGTGCTGCTCTCCGTAAAATAGGGGTGGAGGAAATACAGACTGTAACCATTTATGTGGTCCTTTCCAAGGCTCTGAAACTCATAGACACAAATACTTTTTTCCAGAGGAAAAGAATGTTGCCTGGAGTGAAATTTTTGCCACGATTCGACAAACTCAACAGCATAAAACTGGCAAAATTACTGTAAATACTCATATATAAGTCGACTGCACGTATAAATTGAAGGTAGGTTGTAGATTTTGGATTTTGAAATGATGCATGCGTAAGTCAAAGGTTGTTTTAAGGAGACGGAAGGTGTGCTTTTTAATATAAGAATTATAGTACAGTAATCACATTGACCTGTGGATAAGCTGACCCAGGTTTTTTGGGTTAATTTTCAGACTAAAAGTTCTAGACCAGTGGTTCTCAACCTGTGGGTCCCCAGATGTTTTGGCCTTCCAGAATTCCTAAGAGCTGGTAAGCTGGCTGGGATTTCTGGGAATTGTAGGCCAAAACACCTGGGGACCCACAGATTGAGAACCATTGATCTAGACCTACACATAAATATATGGAATAATTGAAAAGCCAGAAGTTGAAACTGGAAGCAGACCCCTCATCACTTCTAAGAGCTATTTTCAAAGCCAAAATGTGATTGTGATGCCCACTGTAGGTGCATAAGTGTTAAAATTGCTTCCTGTCACATTTGTCCATCTCTGTTATAGTTAAATATTTATATGCTTTATTCAATTTGCATCTATGCAGCATTTGGTATTTATACTAAGTGCATTCATATGCCATGCCATTGAACAGATTGTGATATGAAAATGTACATAATCACATATACATTTGTTAACACAAATCATACATTGAATCCATGGTTTGCTGCTAACTTACAGACTCTGATTCATATACCATGGCTTGCAACATCTATGTGCAACATCTATGTGCCCTATTTCTCTTGCTGCTCAGCCTGAAATGGAAGCACCCTCTTGACAAAAAGGTATTGACAAAAGGAGCAGGAAAGAAACAAACTACAGTTGTCAGCTGCACGATTTGTGGCTTAAACAAGAAACCAGCTAGTGCAAGCCATGTTGGGTGAATAGTTTTTGTGCTCTTATTCAACAACTTGCAGAATAAATAACATCATAAAAAGCTAATTTAAACATTTCACATTAAAATAGCTCATATAGACTGTCAGTTACAATGTTTTGGGTGAAATTTTCAAGTGAGAAAGGCTTGTGATTACAAATATGCGACTCAAACTTGACAAATACCATGGCATTCCCATCACCCTGTCAACACAAAACCTAATGAACAACTGTTGGCATAGGAACGGTTTCATGTGTTTTTTGATAACAGATCCTGTAAGCCAACACACTGCGCAAAAAACCCACAAAGTTAGCAGGAGTCTGCCCTTAGGCTTTTACTCTGTGAAACTGGTCAGTGCATTGCTTCACTAGTGAACAGGAACACTTTCCTCTGAGGACTCACTTTTATGCCGTGACAGAAACAGCATTTTCAAACCAGCCAACAAATCAAGGAGGCAAGTGAGGTGCTGACTTAAAATTATGCAGCATTTGAAACCATTTCTCCCTAATTAGCAATCTGCTCCTGCATATAAATAGCTACAGCGGTAATGATTATTGTCAGCCTCTGATATGGTACAGCCGCATCATATTGCTAGCAGCAGAAAGAGTTGAGGACAGAAATGTGTACGTTTTATCAGAATTCACAAGCCTTACAAATTCTAAAAGAATCAGAAAAATTCTGTGAAGACAAGTTCAAATCAGTTTGAAATGAGAACATCTGTTTTCTACGTATTCAGTTCTTACAAATCAGTAAACGACATGAACCACATTTTAGGATCTTATCTGACATTTAGTAAAATTACCCAAACATCTCCTTTTCAGTCATGCTAAATGCAAACCATTTATACCCAAATCTTCCGAAAACTATTTACATGTTAAATGGAAAAAAATAGTTTGTTGATATTAAATTTGATTGTAATCTTACAAGTTCGCCTTTTCGTCCAGGTTCTCCTTCTCCACCAGCAGCACCCTATTTAGTGAGAAGACACATATTACATAGAGGCATCAAACATTTCACTGAATTTTGACAATGGTGGTGTAACGTCTTAGGAGAGAGGAGGGACGATTTATTATTTATTACTCTTAATGGTGCCACCAATGTGTGATGTGAGGTATTATTGGGAGATATGGCACACTGGACGCAGAATTAATGGAGATGAGGCAGTCTTCAAACAAAAGAGAACAAGTTTATTTTGAACAAAGCGTATGGTTGCAGGCTGTTGATAAACTTGGAAATACTTTGAGAACTTTACATGTAACTTGGTTGCAATACAGTTCACACTTCTGGATGTTACAACTTGTAATTGACTTTTACTGTGGTGAAGCACTTTCTTAAACAATGTTTCCTGAGGTGAATAGCCTTCCTGTTTGATCCTTCCGTGATCAAACCCCAGATCTCTAGTTCATTTCTAACTAGTGATCTAAACAAGCTTCTCTTAGTCCTCTCTAACTAATGAAACTAATTAGGTTTCCCCTTCAGCCTTCCTAAACTGAAGAAACCTCCGACTATTCACAAACACTGCTTCTCTACTTCCCACTTTCTCTCTCTCAACTGCTAACTCCGACTCCAAAACCCTAACTCCTCACTCCTCGGAACCTAAAACCTAACTGAACATAAACTGTCGTTTTTCAAACTCTCCCCTCTAAGCTCCTCCCACTTCTCTACAGCATCGTCTCCATGGTAACGCACTCCTCTCAGCTAGGCCGCTCCAGCATTAGTGCAACCAATCCAAACACAAATACAGTTAAAATCATACAATTTATAATCAACTTCTGTACACCTTCCCCCCCAGAAAAAATTATTTTTGGACCATTCTCAGTCCCGGAATGGGCAAAAATAATTCCACAAATTATCCAACAATATCTAAATACACAATATTTCTGAAATGCAAACATATTATGGTTAAATATATTATAATGCATACATACAAACCTTTAACCTTACGAAATTTTAGTATCATCTATGGATGTGGTATCAAAGTCTCACATTTCTAACATTTTTTCATATAAACAATCTATCTAAACATTTCTATATTTATACATATATTCATAAATATTCATTGCCTATTGTAAAACGTATATACCTACCACACTTTAATATAATGGGTTTATATCTTATACCTATGGTATGAAATATATACAGTTCACCACTGTAATAACATCATACATTTTATAAATCTATAATAAAACAGGATACCAATTTTTTTAAAAAATATTACACTATACTATATTATACTATATTATATATACATTACCTTTATATAATTTAGATCTATCTGTGATCATCTTCTATCTATTCAATTCTCCATATCAACATCAAATATCCTTGTCCAAATGTGTTTCTATCCCATTAACATATATAATTGACCTTCTACCTAGTTTGGTCAATTTATAAGACATTTATCTATATATCATACCACAACTTTTCTCCATACATATGGTTCCAATTTGTTAATAGCCCACACAATAGTTAAATTTCCACATTTGATCATTGACATAGATGTCTTAGTGTCCAATGTCCTATGGCTCAAACACAACCTCGGTTGTACTGGACCAACTGTCCACAGCAATGTCTCTTTATGATGATCTTTCAGCTTCTTTCTTCCACTTCTTCGTTTCTTCTTTTTAGGTTTCTTCTTTTGTCTTCTTTGGATGTCTTTTCGATGACCTGGAGATACGGTTTTCTTTCTCACATGACGTCTGCAAGTCTTTTCTGCTCTCTTTTTTGCTGCTGGGGTTTCTTCTTTTAATCTGACCTTCCAATTATCAGGAACAGTTCTGTTTCCATCGAGTTTCAGGGCTTGAACAACAGCTTGCTTTAATGTAGCATCAGATTTTAGTGAAGTATCTGGAATCCCTCGAACATCTTTTCTTGGCACTGAAGAGAATTCACTGTCCTTGGAAGAATGAACACGAATATTGTCCTTCTTCATGGCAAGCTCATCACTGCTATCTGGACAAACTTTTAAATCTAGAAATTGCAGCTTTTTCTTTTTATCACCACCAATATAGTCTGTGTATATTAGTTTTCTTGTCAGTCTATCAGCCCGGCCTCCACTTTCTCCTTCCTCTCCGTTCAAGGATAAAGGAGATCTCTCTTCCGACACATGGCCAAATCTTCTTTTTCTGCTCACCCTCTCCTCAGATGTAGGCATATCGACATGTTCAGAGTTAGTAAGGAAGAGTTGATCTAATGTTTTACTCTCAGCAAAATGTCTCTCTTTTTCACCATCATCTGTCATAGGGTATAATCTTGTATTTATCATTTTGTTGATGCCAGCTCTTTGATAAGTTTTACTTAGACTCTTATCTTCAGCTATAGTTCCAATCTTTAGAACTTCTTTTGTATGATCATCTGGAACTTTTATAGTGGATGAATCATGTCTAGAAGTCATCTTAACTTCAATTAGCCCTTCAGGTGTATGGATCTTTGTTTCACATAAGGTCCTTGGATATTTTGAACTCTCATCAGTTTCTACTGTCAAATCAAGAGTCTGTTTTTCTTCAGCTTTCTCTTTTAATTTTATTTTATTGTCTTTGTCAAAAAGTTCGGCTGAGGTAATTTCTTTACGTGGAGCTGAAGGAAATACATCTTTTAAGGTCAAGGATTCCTCTTTCTCCTCAGAGTTTATCACTTGTCTTTCCAGACCTATTGTTTCTATACTCTCTTCACTGGCTCTCAAATAATCAGCCACTGGAATCGGCTCTGCTGCAGGGCTTGTTCCTCGTTTGCATGGTCTCTTCTGGCTGTACACTTCTGACTTTATATTTGGAACACCATCTTCAGCAATAAATCTATAGGGTTGTTCTTCTGCTCTTTGTTCCTGTTGAATTTCTCTGACTCCTCCTGTCTTCTTAATAAGCTCAGCAACCGTAGTGCTAGATTCTGGATTCTCATCCCCATCCTGTTGTATGGCGAAACACATGGCTTTTTGATCAGGGCTTTTGCTGTTATATTCTTCCTCCTCACACATCATTCTCCACTTTCCAATCTTTTTAGCCAGATCATTTCCAATTAAACACCTGTATGGTATGTCTGGACTGACTGCAAAATCCCACATACCCTTCCAACCTCCATATTCTATTGGCAAAGACACTACTGCTGTTGGTATTGCAGGTCCCAAGCCTTTTAATCTTATTTCAGAGATAGGGCGCTGAAATTTCTGAGGTATTATATCTGTATGTACAATACACACTTCGGACCCTGTGTCCCGCAGTCCTCTCATGTCTTTGTTGTCAATGGAAATGGATTCTAAGTAATCCTCCGATGGGGTGTTTGACAAAATGAACAAACACTGTTTCTCTTGAGGCTCTGTTTCTGAACTCTCCTTTGACACATTATTTGGTTCTGTCTTCTTTGTTTCTTTTACTTTATTAACAAAGAGGGTTGTTTTCTCTTTTCTTAAAAGGGGACATTGATACCTTATATGGTCCCACTTTCCACACTGAAAACACCTCATTTTTCCCTCAGGAGCAGTTTGACTTGTTACACTCTGCCTCCTCCAGGAGGGGTTTTCTATTGCAGAACCTTTTTCTTGCTGTGGGCGCGTTTGATGTTGGTAAAATGGCTGCCTGTTTGTTCTTTTATCACTTGGCAGATCTTCCCTTTTGAATCCTTCTTTTAGGGTAATTATTTGATCTACCATAACCGCTGCCTCTACTATAGTGGATGGTTTTCGATCCTGTATCAGCCAGCGAAAATCGGAAGGCACCAATTGGAAAAATTGTTCCAATTTTAAAAGTTCTCTCAGCTGTTGGTAATTTTCCACCTCAGACGTCCTTAGCCAACTATCGAACAGTTGAGACAATCTAGAGGCCACTTGAGCGAAACTTTGGCTCTTATCTCTTTTTAGGGTCCTGAACTTGAATCTGTAAAATTCAGGAGTTAATTGAAATTCTTGTTGAACCTGTTTCTTACATAAATCATAATCCCCATAGGACTCCTCAGGCATTTCTCCATAAATTTGTAAGAGCTTTCCACTTATCTGAGGCCTTAGGTATGTCATCCATTTTTCCTTAGCAACCCCAAAATCCCTACAACATCTTTCGAATGAGATTAAAAATTTCTCTACATCATCATCCTTAGTAAATTTAGGAAATCTCTTTATCATATCTGGGGTATCCACTCCAGAGCTCCCTTCTTGGATGTTACCGGATGTTTGAGACAAAGCTAATTTTTGCTTTTGCAGTTCAAATTCCATTCTCCTCAATTCTATCTCCTGTTCTCTCTCTTTTTGTCTTTCTTCAAACTCTCTTTCCCTTTGTTTTGCCTCTATCTCCAGTTCTCTCTCTCTTTGTCTTTCTTTTGCCTCTATTTCCAATCGTTTCATCTCTAGTTTGTACTTAAAAGCCATTTCTGACACAGGCACTGCCTCTGTTTCTGCTTCAGAGCCCGAACTTCCTTCTTGGTCTCCCTCTGTTTCCTCAACAAGCTTTTTTTTTCGTCTGGTAGCCATATTTCAATGACTTTTACCTCACAATTTATTCTCAAAGTAGTCTTAAGGCACTTGATCAGTTGTTAAACGGATCCCGTCGTCTGCCACCAATTTGTAACGTCTTAGGAGAGAGGAGGGACGATTTATTATTTATTACTCTTAATGGTGCCACCAATGTGTGATGTGAGGTATTATTGGGAGATATGGCACACTGGACGCAGAATTAATGGAGATGAGGCAGTCTTCAAACAAAAGAGAACAAGTTTATTTTGAACAAAGCGTATGGTTGCAGGCTGTTGATAAACTTGGAAATACTTTGAGAACTTTACATGTAACTTGGTTGCAATACAGTTCACACTTCTGGATGTTACAACTTGTAATTGACTTTTACTGTGGTGAAGCACTTTCTTAAACAATGTTTCCTGAGGTGAATAGCCTTCCTGTTTGATCCTTCCGTGATCAAACCCCAGATCTCTAGTTCATTTCTAACTAGTGATGTAAACAAGCTTCTCTTAGTCCTCTCTAACTAATGAAACTAATTAGGTTTCCCCTTCAGCCTTCCTAAACTGAAGAAACCTCCGACTATTCACAAACACTGCTTCTCTACTTCCCACTTTCTCTCTCTCAACTGCTAACTCCGACTCCAAAACCCTAACTCCTCACTCCTCGGAACCTAAAACCTAACTGAACATAAACTGTCGTTTTTCAAACTCTCCCCTCTAAGCTCCTCCCACTTCTCTACAGCATCGTCTCCATGGTAACGCACTCCTCTCAGCTAGGCCGCTCCAGCATTAGTGCAACCAATCCAAACACAAATACAGTTAAAATCATACAATTTATAATCAACTTCTGTACAGGTGGACAACAAAAAAAGTATATGAGACACTCACCTGATCTCCTTTAGGCCCTGGTTCACCAACTGAACCCTGTGTGCAAATTTAAAATATTGTATATATAAAAACAAAACATCAAGGAACTGTAAAACTGCCCAAATAACTGAACAGCAAGTGACAAGTTACATTCAGAAAAGAAGCAACACATGGGCTGAAAAGAAACAATGCTTGTCCTTCCGTATCCTAAAGTACTGGTTAAATTTCAGTCTATTTGAAACGTATTCAGTACTCTAAGATCTGAGAGAGCATCTTTTAATTTTAGCCTGTGTATTACTTGCTTTCTAAACTAATTAATCAATTTCTTTGAAATGTTCAATGGAAACACATGTAGAATTTCTTCTCCTAGAATCATGTCCCTACTAGTATATCTTCTAATGCAGCATAATCTCCATTCAATTCAAGGGAATAGGCAGTTTCAACTGTGGGTCCCTTTGTGAATTTGGGGCTGTTTTCTCTGTATTGCAATGACACAAGAAGGCTCTTATAGGGTGAGTGGAAGATTGGTACAGTTAGGCATCCCTGCAGAGACTGGCTGGTTTGAAATGTGCCTAAACATCCTAAAGACACTAAATCCTGAACAATCCCAGAAGTCAAACAGGATCAAACTTGGTTAGTATTTGGATGTGAGACCACCCATGAATGCCAGGTGCTGTAGGAGATATTTTAGAGTAGTGTGCTTTGGACTTCAGGTCCCACATTTCCTAACAGCTGGTAAGCTGGCTGGGGTTTCTGGGAGTTGATGTCCAAAACATTTGGAGGACCAACGTTTGGGAAACACTGCTTTAGAGGAAGCAAATGGGAAATCAGCTTCAAAATCCTCCTTGCCTAAGAAAATCTACAAAATTCATGGGGTCTCTACAAGTCAGCAGACAACTTGAAGGCACAGACACGCAATGATGTCAACAGCATAACATAGAAGTGATTGATTTTCTAGCTAGCTGTAAAATGGCTTCACTGTGATGGGTTTTGAGTATTTCTTTAGAAAATATTGAAAATACAATTTTAGCCAAAAGTAAGTATAGAAATACAAAGCAATAAAACTTAAGAGAGATTGAAATATGTCTTGATACCCAAGGAGATCCATATTCAGTTCAGAGAAATTTATGGCAGTTAGTAAACCTAGCATCTGCTATTGATTCTGCTATCCTCGGTTTAGATTGAATAGGTAACCAGACTATTTCAATTTGCATCGCTGCCATGATGAATTACAAACTTCAACTTAAATTTAAAAGGTAGTGCAGACAAAGGTAGTGTTATTCAAGAAATAAAACTGGAGATCAATGCAATCCGAAAATGACAAGAATGGTTTCCTGCAGTCTAGCTGCGATTCCACATTCCCTTTTCAAACTTCAACCTACTGCATGGAAGGAAAATCATGAAATCTTTAACTACAAACCATTTAGAGATCTTCCACAAAAGACTCTACACACAGAATCAATAATTCAGTCTGAGGTCTTTTGATACTGCTAACACCATAATCTATAGCAGCAAAGGTGAGAGTAACAGCAGAGGTGGGGAAAGGACAAAAAAGGCTTCAATGATAGTAGTGCAAAGAGAAGGTTACAGGCTTGGGGCCACCTCTTTCCCAAATTCCTGGCAGTCCAAAGAAATAAGACAGTACAGAGGACTGGCTCAGACGATCATATTTGCCACAGGATAGGCAATTGCCCAGGCCAGTCCCCCCATACTGTTGTGGCACCATTGAAACCAGCATCTTGGGAAGGAAGTAAAACCTAGGTCACAACATTTTTTTCTGTCCCTGCCACCTTCCTTTCTCTATGTGTGAAGCAAAGAAAGTGACACACCACCACTTATTAAACAAGTGTAATGTCACATCAGGATCCTAGAAAGATTAAAGGTATTTGGTCTCATATACAAATAAAGTGTTCCTTGCCTTTTTGATGCACTTTGTAATTTGCAGTTGTCATTTAACCTCCTACTTTTTTCTTTTTTATTTCAAAGCTTATCCCTCATTCCAAGGGTAGGCATTTCTGTCCTATAGAGCTGCACCATTGGTTACATTTTCATAGGACATATCTACATGACCATTTATCCCAGGACCAATCCTGCATGGCAAATACTGGATTAACCCCAGAATTGTTTAGGTAGACCCTCCCCCCACTCATTCCATTGCAGAGGTGGTAGCAATGTGCATAAACATTAATGAAGAGAAAGGAACAAGATCTAAAAGATTCACATGAGACTATCATTTGTTCAAATATGATGGACAGAGAGAAAATGAAAGCATACCCTTTTAAGACCAGAGAGTTAAAGCAGACATCTACCTATTTTTATTAGACACGGAGAAATGAAAAAGGCAGCGGGGTTATTGTGTGCAATTTTCTTTTGCAGGATCCCTGAATGCTATATAGCCAATAAGAAGTTATCTCACTGTCAATATATATTAATATCCCCTAAACATTTCTGTCAGCCATCTTTACTGAAAAGCTCATAACATGCATGTAATTTGCAGTATAAGTGTTATAAGCTTTTGCAGTAAAAGAAAGATGGCTGGCAGAAAGATATTTTAAGGGAAACATATTTTTTTAAACATGTGAAAAAACCTTATAAGTTACATATCTTTTAGAGACCCTACATTGGAAAAATATACACAATACACATTTTTGTTTAATTTTAATTTTCCTCCTAGAATCATAGAGTTGGAAGAGACCTCATGGGCCATCCAGTCTAACCTTCTGCCAAGAAGCAGGAAAACTGCATTCAAAGTACCCCCGACAGATGGCCATCCAGCCTCTGTTTAAAAGCTTCCAAAGAAGGAACCTCCACCACACTCCGGGGCAGAGAGTTCCACTGCTGAACGGCTCTCACGGTCAGGAAGTTCTTCCTAATGTTCAGGTGGAATCTCCTTTCTTGTAGTTTGAAGCCATTGTTCCGTATCCTAGTCTCCAGGGCAGCAGAAAACGAGCTTGCTCCCCCCTCCCTATGATTTCCTCTCACATATGTATACATGGCTATCATGTCTCATTTAGGTATATTCAACAGTGTGGTGTGGAGGAAACCCTTTCCTTCATGAAAAAAAATCAGAGTAATTCCTCTTGAAAAACGGCACACTTACCCTGTCACCACTTGGGCCAGGCAATCCCGGAGGCCCGGGCAAACCGGGCAGGCCAATGTCACCATCAGCACCCTAGAAGAAAACATCAAACATGGCATGATATTAGGATTATTTTTTATTTTAAAAAGCAATCGTCGATGAAGACAACCAGCTGCTAAGATACAAGTTACACCTTACACATGAAGAATAACCGGGAGACAGTGTGGTGCAATGGTTTGAATGTTGGACAAGGATTCAGGGAAATAGATTATACCTTCACTTGGCTATGGAAACCAAGTTAATAAAATATTATATACCTAAGGCTGAAAGAGTATGACAATCATGCTCATTCAGCCTTAGTGATGTAATATTTGATTAATTTCATCCTCAAATAAAGCAATAAGCAATGTTTCTCCCGTGTGAAATTTTTCATATTTCAGGACTTACTCAGCATAAAATTTGCACATAGTATTTTTGTGTAGAAAACAACATTTTCTGTAAAGGAAACAACTTTTTATATGCAAAAAATAACACTTTGTATAAAAATATTATGCAAAAAATACTGTTTGTCACAAAACAGCATTTTTCTAGCCGTTTGATCCATCTTCTAAAACGTGTGGGTCTTTACAGAGGGAAGGTGAGGGAAGAGCAGTGAGCATTCCTCATTCCTTTCTAACAGAGAGCTCTTTCAGACTCCAAATATTACGACTTCCTTTCTAACAGAGATCATGCAAATGATGTAGAATTCATTTCAAAGAAGGTATTTGTTTTCATTAGTTATTAATATTAAGTCACTGCTAGTAAAAACAAAAACAAAAAGATCTGGATTTTAAGCATTCCTTCTCTTATTTTTGTAAATTAACAACACAGTTGACAACTAACATCATTCTCTTAGGGCAATACACAGAGATGCGTCCCCTCTCTTAATATTAATGCCTAAAAATGACATGCTCCCAATGGAGTTCTATGGAATTCAAATAGCAAAATGTGATTTTAGTAGAGGGACAGAATGAAATGAGGGAAGCCAACAATGACCCTATTCATGCTTCCATCTTTAGCTTCCTGCATAAATGAATACACTGCTATGCTTCAGGAGAGAAGCCACTAGCTCTTGGAAAAACAAACATATAAGCTGAGTGGAAACCGAGATTAGCTACTTACCATTTTACCTGGAGGACCTGAAGGACCAGCCAGACCTACTTCACCTCTACCACCCTTTTAAGGAAGCAAAAAGACATGGTTAAAGCACAGGGATATTTTTTCCCTGAAAACAGTGTTAGCTAATTTTATTTACTTTTTAAAGTTGATTTCAACATTGTTCTAATAGGAAAACAAAAGCAAAAGGCCAAATAATAATCCCAATCTCCAAATCCCAAATTCGGATTGGAATCATACAATTTTAAAGGCCATTTAACAATGAAGTTCTATGTGTGTTTGCTCAGGGATAGGTTGTATTGTGGGTTTCTTTGGGGGGTGGGGACCCCAACTCTTGTTCTAGTCTTTTTCTGATTTTTTTTTACTGCAGTATCCATTCTGATAAATGACTGAGCAATGGTATGAAGAATATTGAACTATTTAAATATCTTCACCATTTAAATTAAAGTTATGTAATGATTAGCTGTACATTTGTCATAGGACTTTGACTTTCTTCAGTAATCATTCCAAGTCTTTGCTATTTTCCGCTAGTAACATGATGTCATCTGCATATTCTAAAGCACTGATATTGCTTCATCTGATTTTCATACTCCCTTCTTTGAGTCTAATCAGACTTTATATGTGGTATTTTCACTGTACAAGTTAAACAGACAGGCGTGATGAAGCCTTGCCTGACCCCCACATGTCAATTGGAAACCATTCAATTTCTGTTTATTGTGTCCTGATCGTAGCCTTATATCTGAAGTACAGTAGGAAAAAAGGAAGACTGCATTCCAAATGGATACAATCAATCAAGAAAGCCTAACTCTGAGTCTGAAGGACAGAGCAGAGCTGTTGAGGATAGGTGACTACGAGGTCTCTCGTTCATGCCAGAGATCACTGATTTGAAAGAGGTTAACAATAAAAATATCATAAATGCTTTTGTTGTAGAATTTTGAGCATCACTGTGCTTGTATGGGAGATTAATGCAATAGTCCTAAAATTACTGCAATCCCTGCTGTCCCCATTCTTGGGGATTGGAAGGTATATAGAGCATTTTCAATCTCTGGGCCATTGTTTTATTTTCCATATTCATTGACAAATTCTAGTTAGAACTACTGTAAATTCTGTTTGGCATTTAAAGCAGCTTTTCACATATGAGTGTGCAATTGCATTATTGTGCTCATGGGAACTTAACTGAACTGCACGATTTTAAAATTTTATATGCTATTGAATATTGTTATTGAAATAAGAAGACCTTTACTTCTTGGGAGGAGAGCAATGACCAGTCTCAATAAAATAGTGAAGAGTAGAGACATCACACTGGTAACAAAGATCCACATAGTTAAAACAATGGTATCCCCCATAGTAACCTACAGATGTGACAGTTGGACCATAAGGAAGCCTGAGCGAAGGAAGATAAACGCTTTTGAATTGTAGTGTTGGAGGAAAATTCTGAGAGTGCCTTGGACCGTGAGAAGATCAAACCAGTCCATACTCCAGGAAATGATCCCCGACTGCTCACTGGAGTGAAGGATATTAGAGGCAAAGATGAAGTACTTTGGCCACATAATTGAAAGCTTGGAGAAGACAATGATGCTGGGGAAAATGGAAGGAAAAGGGAAGAGGGGCCGATCAAGGGCAAGATGGATCAATGGTATCCTTGAAGTGAGCAGCTTGAACTTGAAGGAGCTGGAAGTGGCCATGGCCAACAGGGAGCTCTAATGTGGTCTGGTCCATGAGATCATGAAGAGTCGGAAGTGATTGAATGAATAAACAACAGAATTCAATATTGTGCATGACCAATTGCACGATACTGAATCGATCCTGGGACAGCTTATGCACCAAAACATAAAATAAGGTTCAAATCACACATTTGTTCTTGAAAGGTAAATTTACAAACCAGTACACAGGTGTTGCCCAGGTGTTACTGGGACTGCTACCTAACTACTTTTACCCTTTTACAGTTCTGAGAAGGTCTACCTAACAATGTCTCCATGGCAACACTCTGCAACAGTGGGCAGGCAATCTGTGCCTCTTTCTTTCCTTCTATTTTCCTCATACACCTTCTCCCTCACTCCTTTCTTTCTTTTATTGATTTCTCTTCTTTTTCTCTCTTCCCTTCCTTCATCTTTTCTTCTTTCATTCCCCAAACTTTTCCTTGTTTCTTTCTCTTCCTTTTTCCTTTCCCTTCCCTTCCTTTCCTTCCTGTGCCCTATCTGAATTCTCCGGCTTTGAGAGGACTTATCTCACAAGGTTTTCATGGCAATATGTCTCTCTTTGTGGCACTTTCCTTCTCCCCCCCCCTCTTTCCCCCTCATATGCATTGCACCTTTCTTTCCTGGTGACATCCACTTAACCTAGCAATCCAGTGACATCATAGAGGGACATGTCACCTAACAACAACAGTAATGGTACAAATGGACAGACTTTAACATTGAGAGAGAAAGAGAGAGAGATGAATTTTGCATCTTATCCGCAATGTGAAGACAACTGGTATGAAATACTACTTTTGAAAAATTCATTGTAACCTAACCATATATGTAAATCCTGATGTCTTGTCATTCTATTTGATCTCTACTACATCAAAACTGAATCAGATTTTATGAATGTTGGCAGGTTTTGAAATGCCTCAGGATGTGTGTTCACCATACCATCTCGGCAGGAGGGTTTTCCTCTTGTTCATTATGGGAAGAAAAAGAACCCCAAATATACAATTAAGCTGATTGAAATATAAAGATAACGGCCAAATCCAACACTGTACTTTCGTATCTAACAACATTAAGGGGAATAGCACTTTGCCTCCCCTTCCTTGAGGGTTTCTCAGACTCATAGAGCATGGTTTTAAGACTGCGAGGCAGGAGAGAGACTAGGGACTTCATCATATAGGGAAAATTCCCCATTGTAGAACATTTCACCAATGCACCCAGCACGGAGCCCACTGGATCTCATGACATGATGCACAGCTATTTCTGGCGGGGCTCCATGCTGGCTGTGTCAGCAAAGTTCTACAACAGGGAATTTTGAAACCTCTCCATTTTGGAAGGGTAAGTAAGGGCACATCTAGATTGACTAAAATGTCTAATATTTTGCTTCTGTTCATTCTGATTTTATACAAGATTAAAATAAAATGACCTAGAGAGCTGGGATAAAAATCATCTAACCATATCAGGAGCTGACAAAAATATTGTGGATCTTCAAAATAAAATCAGAAAGAACAGGAACAAAATCGGGGCTTTATAGCTTTATTTACCCTGGATGCATCCTCAGTTGCTCCTTTAAGAAGGAACTTCACATATGTTGAGGAAACACTTGTTCACTGTATCACAGTACAATGTTCAGTTATTTGCATCCACAGTTTAAAAAGAAACGTATGAACGTCTTTAAGTAGCAGCAGGGATGGGAAATTGCTCTCCTTTAAACCTGTTGCAAATCATGATTATAGACCATTGTTTCCAATTCAGCACACAACATCTGCTTTAGATCACTGTGTGCCTTAACAAACTATATTATCCTGATCATGTATGACACTTTGCAATTTATAAATTGATTCTTCAGAACAATTTAGCACAAAGGAACGTTTTTTAAAACCAATAGTTTAAACCACAAATGAAGTGTGATAGTAGTGTAAAGCAATTTTCAAAAGGTGTTTGAAGCAAAGCTTGCCCTCAACCAGCAAAAGAATTTTTAAAAACAAATGAAGACATGTTTTTAATTATAGCATTATGACATGAAAAACCTACTGTACTGTTTTACAAAGAAAATAAGCCTTAAAAACAGAAATAGAAATGTTTTCCTATTAAAAGAGAAGGGCATCCCATTCCCCACGAAATCTTAGTGTCTGCCGGGTAGGCCCATGCCTTAGTGTGCTTTTTTACTCATTAACATGATTCTTAAATAGCTATTCCATTCAGGTGTGTTTTGGGGATACTTTCTAGCCTCCAACTTTGCCTCCAACATCTGTGACCATTTCCAGCCTTCACTGTACCATATCCTGTAGAAATCTCAAATATCCCTCCCATATCATTGAGCAGATATGCAGAAGTTGTAGAGGAAAATCGGGATCACCCATCTCATAATGACCTTGATTTAATTAGCAAAAGGAAGTCCCAGTACTATATTTTATCTGTCTTCTACTTTCTGTGGTCCATAGACATGAAGATGAAATAGATGACTTTATCATACCAGCTGCCAGAATCACCACGAATTGTGGCAAATCCAGCAGAATCCATTGGGAAATGTGGGGAATCCCTCACTCCATACCCCGCATTGCCCAACTCACCAGTAACCCCATCCCATGGGGGGGGGGGCAGGAGCTGGCTGGCTTACCCCCATTGTGGCTGGTGCAACCCGGGAAGTCTCCTGTGTTGCTGTCACTGCTGCATACATCAGTTCTGCAATAGTTTAGCCATGGAGCCCCACCAGAAGTAATATTATATCATGGCATGGGAGCCAGTGGGCTCCATGGCTAGACTATCACTAAACCAGTGCATGCCACTGAAACAAGCCCCGTCTGATGAGTTCACAAGAAGTAACAAAGATGTGTGCTGTCTTATTGCTGATAGGACACAATTATTCTCAGGTGCTCATGTTTTCTGAACAAAAACTCCAAATTTGCAATTGGAAGATGATACCAGTAGGAATGAGGGTGTCTCAGTAGGATGGAATTCAGTGTTGCTGCTCCAGCATTTTGCTGGTACTACACTGCCCCTTTTCAAAGTTTATATTTGACTGGTGTAGAACCAAGGGCAAGATGGGTGGATGGCATCCTTGAAGTGACTGGACTGACCTTGAAGGAGCTGGGGGTGGTGACGGCTGACAGGGAGCTCTGGCGTGGGCTGGTCCATGAGGTCACAAAGGGTCGGAGATGACTGAATGAATGAACAACAAAGAACTGTGTTGGGTCTATGCCACAGTTTGGTGCCAGACAAGTGCAACTACAGTGTTTAGTTTTCAATTATAGCACACTGTCTTGTGATGTTGCACTGTTCAAGAGTCAGTCTTATGTATGTTCTTTTTCCCTTCCCTTCCTTGAATGGCACATCATATGATTAGCCTGACAAAACTATTGCAACGAGGCTACATCAAATTAATTTGCCATTTCTGTAAAAGAAACACATCCAGATTAACTCTCCAGCCCTTTGAACTTGTTCTTGCAGTAAAGAAAAGGCCCTTTACATACACCATTGTCTATTTTTTATCAAAAGTAGGACTGGCCTTCGACCTTATGTCAGCTTACTTACAAGGAAAAAGATCCCATTTAAGTAATATTTTATCTCTAAGTCAATATAGTTGAGACTAATCCAGGAGCTGAAATGTTTCTCTAGAAACAGACATAGTGTCCTCGTTCTTCATGGAAAGTATGATTAAATAGAAGTGAAAAAAGGATTTCAAGTTCCATCAAGTTATGCAAAGCATGAAAAATATTTATTAGAGTTTAAAATATATAGTTTTTTCCCCGGTATGGCACTTAGCTAGGAGGAGGAGGAAGCTGCAGTCTAGAAAAGGAAAATTTCCAGCTTCAAATGAGATGCCCAGCTGGATCAACTGGCAACATTGGAAGAGGGAATCGGAGTTTAATCTAATCAACCTGTTTCCAGCATTTGCAGACAGGGTCTCTAAAAAATGTAAATAGTTTGGCAACCTGTTTTCTATGGGCTGCTGATTTTATAACTCTCTCCTTGCCTTCATAGGATTAAAAGCATAGTTTAGAAGATTATCTTGCATTTTCCAGTTAGGAAATTACTCTGTTCTTTAATTAATCACCAGAATGTCTCAAAAGATAAATGCTGAGTTAATAAAGAAAGGGAAGGGGTGGAAGAGCAATTATGTCAAAATAAGTCCTGTACATACAAAGCCTCCAAGAATAGCTGCAAATAAATTAGAACATACCTGAAGAAATAATGAACTAGAGTATATACCTGTAGCACTGCCTGGGCGTCGGGGGGTGGGGGTAGGGGACTGCCCACCTGCTTTCTCCCTTTTCCAGCTCTGAGAAGGCCTGCCTCACAATGTCTCTATGGCAACACTCTGGCAGTGGTGGACAGGCTCTCTTTGTGGCTCTTTCTTTTCTTCCTCCATTTCCCTCATTAACTTTCTCACTTTCTCTTCTCCTTCTTTCTTCCCTTGCTTTCTATCATACACCTCCCTCCCCTTCTTTCTCTTTTTTTCCTCCCCTATCTTTATCTCCTCCAAGTAACACTCTCCGGGTTAAGACTGCTCCCTCAATTCTGTGAATTCTCCAGAAGGTAACAGGAATGTCAAGAGAGAAACTAGGAGATCATGAGCTCACGAGAATCACATTACCCTCTGTCAGGCTGTAGTTCAAGCATGGGCTACACATAATCCCTTTTCTTCTCCTTCTAGATTATGAAGAACTATGTTTGTGTGATTTTTGAATCCATGGTGCTGAAATGGATCTCAACCCATGTGTCTTTGTAACATGGTTCTGTACTGTTGTATTAGTATTTAGTGAATCTTTCCTCGGCTGATTCGACAAAGGAAAAGGCAAAGTTGTAGAAAATTAAAGCCATTGTGTCTTCTATTTCATCCTTTAGAGACTGCCTAAAAACTGAGTTGTGACAGTGACATCACAGTGGACTCATGCTGTATGATATGCTGATGTCACAATTCCAGAGCTGACACAAGCTGACAACTGGGAATCTCATTTTTTGTCCTCAGTAATAGCAAGATGGTATAATTGCTGTGGTGCTGGAGGAAAGTGCTGAGAGTGCCTTGGACTGCGAGAAGATCCAACCAGTCCATCCTCCAGGAAATAAAGCCCGACTGCTCATTGGAGGGAAGGATACTAGAGACAAAGTTGAAGTACTTTGGCCACATCATGAGGAGACAGAAAAGCCTAGAGAAGACAATTATGCTGGGGAAAGTGGAAGGCAAAAGGAAGAGGGGCCGACCAAGGACAAGATGGATAGATGGCATCCTTGAAGTGACTGGACTGACCTTGAAGGAGCTGGGGGTGGTGACGGCCGACAGGGAGCTCTGGTGTGGGCTGGTCCATGAGGTCACGAAGAGTCGGAGGCGACTGAACGAATGAACAACAAAATAATTGCTATATACAATACAGCTTTCCTCAGATTCCTGAACTGAAAAAGACGTTGTTGTTTGGGCGAAGAAAATAAGTAGTATATTATTTTATTTTCCTTCACTTGACTAAGATTTAAAATAGTCCCCAAATAGCTCAGTATATTTTGCCATATTGAGGGGAGAACATATTATTTACTGAAAAGAAAACCTTAGTCAACATTGTTGTTATCCCTTCTTTTTCTTGTATCCAAGATTTTATTTATGAAAACCTTTGAGTTAAGAGTGCTTGTGAAGAATGTATTTGAAATTTCTACAGCCAGGTAAGATAAGGAAAAAAAAACTAGATAGTTTCAGAAAGCAACCAGTTCTCTCTTATTAGATCTTGGTTTATCCTGTCCTCTAATTATTGCTCCCTTTTATTCTGTTTCTTTATTTTATATTATTGGAGTTAACAAGGAATCTTGCTACTTTCAGATTACAAATATACAAATATACTATAAAAATATTTATAGTGAGGTGTACAATTATCTAGATGTTTGAGGACCCACACATTTATGTATTTTTATTTATGTAGATATGTATTTATCTTTGGCTACATTATTAAGCTCAGAATTAATCCCTACATCCTCTAGGTACAAGAAGTACCTAGGAAGTAAACCAGGAAGTAAAGTGGAAGTCTTCCTGTTCTGAGAGAAGTATGTCTCCACCTGCACAACATCTCAGGAACAGACAAAAGTATGATACAGTCACATACCCAATCCAGCTTAAAAACCAGAGGGTCATTTTTGTAGATAAAAAAGTAAGAACGTCTTTTTAAAAACTGAAGGAATCTTGAGTTCTTAAAAACAATTTTGGAGGAGGGTGTACTTCTCCTCCCCCAATTTACAGAGATGTGAATGTGCAAACAGACACATCAACTGGCTCATCTCATAGCAGCACAGAAGCAATTCAGCCCTAGCTCATCAATAAAACAAAGCAAAATATGACACTGTGTGAAAAAGTGATTAGATTTCCTAGTCTAATTCTTATGGGTCTCGGGAATTGTGTTCAATTTATCATACAATTTGAGTCTCCCTTATCAAAATGTTTGGAACCAAAAGGTATTTGGGGGAAGGATATTTTGATTTTTTTTTTTAAAAAAAATGAAATACATATGTTTGCATATACATAGTGAATGAAGGATGGGATGAAAGGGGGCTAGTCACACATCTACCACCATTGAATTTTTTTCCTAAAGAGTAAGGCTTTCCCTTGGCTGTCAGGAAATATTCTCTTCATTTAGAAAAGTAGCCAGGAATAGAGGGGAAAATCCTTCCCCAGCCAGTCTCAAGTGTTTTGCATTTTCTCTAAGCTGCAACCAATGGGATTATGGAGCACCCGCCCTTGTGGTTCATTAATTAAGGAAACGAAGCTGGAGTACAAAGGAACACCATAATGTTTATGGACTGAAACAAAGTGCAATATAATCTGACATGGTGCCACGAAAATGTGGAAGTATATTATTGTTGTTTTCAACTGTTTGTTTTATGATGTTTTATACTTATCATCAATGTATTTGGATTGTCGTTTACATGATTTTAATATGTTGTAAGCCATTTTGGGTCCCATGAGGGAGAAAAGCAAGATATAAATATAGATGTATTATTATTATTATCACTTTTATTATTTACAAGACAAGCACAGAATTGTCTGGGATGTCTGCTTTTTATAGCATTCATTCATAAATGAGGTTTTTCTGCCTTCTCCTTCTTCTCTTTCCCCTTTTAGGACTCTGTGGAAAAGTGGGTGCTGGATGTGTAACTGACCCCCTTTCCCCAAAGGCAGAAGTGGGCATACACTACAAAAAGTTTGAAGGTTGGGAGTATTTCAGATTTCCAGATAAAACAGACTTAATATGTATGAAGTTCTATCAGGTTTTGAGATCTAATAAATATTATTTGTGTTACAATAAGCTTGCCCTTCAAACATGCATAATAATTTACATAAGACTGAAAGAAACTGCAACAGAAGTTTACCTAACAAACAAGCAACACAAATACTTCTTGCTGAGACATAGTTTTCTCCAACCATGGTTCATATCTGAAAATATCTAGGTGAACAATTGAGCAAATCACTTACAGGGGGACCTCTGGGTCCAATTGGTCCTTGTTCTCCTTGAGGCCCTCGTTCTCCCTAGAGGTAGGATTACAAGAACACATCATGCTCAAAAACTTGTTTCTGCACAAAAATATAAATATCTTAACTTTTCTAAAAGGCAAATTCAGATAGAAATTATCTTACAGGTTTTCCCGAATTCCCCATCAAGCCAGGTATCCCAGAAGGACCTGCATTGCCCTGTTGGAGAGAAAGGAGTTCATCAAAATAAAACAAGTATTAATAATACAGCATTCCAACAAGAATAGTCCCAAACCAACTCCCGGAATTCCTTAGGTTGCCCATAAATAACAAAAAAAATGTCCTAGCTCTGAAGAGCTGCTTTTTCTCTCTGTTTATAACATACATTGAGAAAGTGCAATGTGTCTATAGGAAGGTAATGAAGATTCTAGAAACCAAGCCCGATGAAGAAGGGTTGAAGAAGGTGGCCATGTTTAGCCTGAGAGATGCCGTGGGAGTGGAATGAGGCGACAAGAAAATAACTTGACAAATGCTCTACTCATCTCTTTAGAAGTGGAATGCAGAATTGAAAATTGTCTGGAAAATTTTTACCTTTTCGCCAGTAACACCTTTTACTCCAGGAGTACCAGGTAATCCCTAAATAGATAAATAACCATAATTTGTAGATACTTGAAATTTGATAGTGTTTTATATTGTAAATACTAAAGCCATTTTACATTTGATAGAAGGTTTTTAAGTCTACCATTTAAAAATATATTACCAAAGCCGAAGAATCTCAAATTATATTATGAGCACAATTAAGCATTACCTTCAAACAAATATGGAGAAATTGTGTATCATCATGTTAGAATTGAATCATGCTGTTAATGCCCTCATCTTAAAGATCCAAGTCCTCAAGGATTTCTCTGGTCTTGCGCTCTTATGTACAATCTCATATTTCCTGCCATTACAGAAAATGTAGGCTCACTCAATGACCATACACCTTCAGCTTAACGGGGAAATTTAGTTACATTTTAAATGCAATAAATACTTACTGGCTGCCCCTGAAGTCCTACATCACCTGGAGGGCCTGGTTTTCCTGGTTCGCCCTGAAAGAAAATGTTTGCATCAATCAAATAAAAATCATTATTATACAAACTCTTTATTAGGAAAAAAAAAGTACAGGCATAGTTAATATAAAAAGGGGAGAGAGGTAAACAAAATTTGAACGTATATGGTTTGCTTGATCAAGGGTGGGGATCATGTGTGTCTCCAGATGTCACTAATTTATAGACCATCACCCAGAGGACATTTTCATCAGCTGCCCCAAGATTGTGGAATGACTTGCCGGAAGAGCTTCAACAGCAAAATCAAAACTCAACTAAAGACCTATCTATTCTGGCAGGCCTATCCGGTTAATTTTAACTTGTGAATTTTAATCTGCATTTTATCGGTGAATTTTAACCTGGATTTTAATTGTGTGCGTCTTGTTATATGTTGACTAATCTGGATTGACCAATCCATGAGTTAATGTAGGTACTATATCTTCACCCTTATCAAAAAAGGAACCATATCCTTTTCTGAGTAGATGACAAAATAGAAGACTGCATCCCTGGAGAATCTACAAGAAGCACCACCCCCTCGACTTTCTCTACCATGACACCACTTCTACCATTTCTGAGTGCCTGGCCAGAAATGGTGGCAGTGGCCAAAGGCAGATGCCCAAGGCAGATGACCCAGGCAGATGACCCTGGCTTATACATGAAGGTGACTTATACATGAGTATATAAGGAAATCTGAATGAATACGCTGTACACCTGCTTAGATCTCAAGATGATCATGATATGTTCTCCACTACTGCCCCTATGATGTGAAGCAACAGTCTGTCAAGCAGAGGATCTTTTCAGCTCCTAGAACTCTTAGTATTATCATACCAACATGGATGTTATGTCTGGGAGATTCTGGAAGTTATGGTCAAAATGTAACATTTCCCAAGCTCTCCCCCTGTTTAAAGAGCTGTTTGTAGTGTTAATTTATTATAGATATAACAGGAGGTGAGTCCACTGGCAGAGCTAGCATGCAGAAGAAAGAAGAAGATTTGGATGGGAAGGAGCCACGGGTGGATAATTTGGGTGAGGTTAGGGACAAATAGTGCCATTTTCACTTTTAGGTGGCTCAGGAATTGTTGCTGCCTTTGAATATGGAGGTTTGAATATGAAGGTGATAAATGAAAAACCATGCACCTCTAATATGTATATGTTCTTTGTGTTATTTCTCTAAGACACAGAGCATGTTAATTTAGAAAAACATAAATTAAACTTTTACGTACCTTCGATCCTGGCATGGCAGGGATCCCATCACGACCATCAACACCAGATAAACCCTTGAATAAGACATAACACATTGGTATTGTGTAAATCATATTTATTTTGGAACCACTCTTTTCTAATCTTGCAAGGCAACTAAACATGACAGCAATATAAACTACAATGATTATTAATGATAATAACAATCATCTTGCTATACATACATGTTCTCCTTTAGGTCCAGGAAGCCCAGTAACTCCTCTTACACCTTGTGGACCCTAAAAAAGAAAGAGGAAAGAAGCACACTGAATTGTGGATGAACATTAGAGATGAAGCAAGGCACATGTGCTTTCCCAAACAACATGAGTCAGCTCCATTATATTGGGGCTGTTGGTTAGTCACATCTAAAGTCTCCATTATTGAATGATAAATCAGCACATCATTGTTGTTGTATATCTCCAAGTCATTTCTGAGTTATGGTAACCCTAAGGTGAACCTATCACTTGCTCAAGACTACCCACTAGGCTTTTATGGTTGAGTCCAGATTCCAAGCCTATTTCCAGAGTTATAGTCCAACACTCAAACCACTACACCACACTGGAACCATATGTCAACACAGACTGAATGAGTGAACACATAGCCAAATCCAATTCATTCAATGTATCTACTCTAGTTTGGGCCATGACAAAATGTATGCTATAATCCTTAATATAATTATTTAGGCGTGATCCCCGCAAAATACAGTTGTGCTTGATTCCTTGTAAATATGTACAGGCTTGGGGAAGTAATTTCATAATGCTGATGATACATAATTGCTTGTTTAATTATTAGAAAGTAACTCACTCTCTCTCCTTTCGGACCCATTTCTCCCAGGGCACCTCTTTGTCCTTGATCACCCTGCAGAAAAAAAGAAACATTAATCAGCAAATCTCAAATATGATTCTTTGTAACTATCAAAGTTATGTGGGTGATTACTAAAGTTAAAGTAACATCTCAGATTACACATCATGAAATCAACTTCAAATTACAAGCCAAGATGACTACTGTATAGATAAAGGGCCCATCTACATGGGCCACTTATGTTGGTTCTAATTCAAAGTACCATCAGCTTTACTTTCCCCTTCTCATCTTCGGCTTTATGGTGACTGCTGAGTATGAAACTGCCAGTGGTCATTGCTCATCACATCTACTGACACTGACTGGAGCACAAAGCAATGTGGGAGAGGGGAGAAGAGATGAATCACTTTCTCCATTCTGCCCTCCCTTCCCCAATCTCTCCAGCCAGCATCAGTGGTCTTGATGAGCAATGACCACCAGCAATTTTGCACCTGGTGGTCACTGCTAAGCCAAGGTCGAGAGGATGGAGGTAAGTCCCATTTCCTATCCCTTGGTCATCCAAGCCCAGGGAAAGTGAGATGGTTATGTGAAGAGCCAAGGCTATTCCAAAAAGAAGTGGCCAAATTGTTCATACCACCACAAAGTGGAACTTTTTTAAAATACAGAAAAAGGCTGCATTAAGTGACTTCGGCAGTGTTAGAGCAAGTGGGGTCTAAACATCATATGGATGCCCATTTGGCCCATTTAGATGGGCCCAAGATGGAATTAACTGGAGAGAGAGCGTGTATAACGATCCTTGGTATTCGTTGGTGTTTGGTTCCAAGACGTTCCATGAATACCAAAAGTCTCACTACATACAATGCCATAGTAAAATTGTGTCTGTTGCATAAAATGGCAAAACAAAGGTTTGCTTTTTGGAATTTCGGAGACTATTTTCAAACCATAGATGGTTTAATTATTTCATGCAGGATCCATGGATACAGAAGTCAGACTGTGCAAGCTTTTTTCAGGAAGGGCTATAAAATGTATGCATAGAATTACTAAGTTTCCAAACCACCACAAGCAATGATCACAAAACACACATTAAAAACAAAAACACAATTAAAGACATTAAATACAAAAATACATATCTAATAAGGTAACTTTTTTTTAAATGTGAGATGTTTTGATGTGTACCTGAGCTTTAGTCAACAAAAGTGGAAGAGATTACTAAATTTATAACAAAAAGGAACATCCTGGTGACTCATCCCACGTTTGTTGGAAATCAAAATAGCACCTGGGCCAAAGCAATTGGCCTTATGTGGTTAGTAGTGAGTCCTACACTAAAGTTAATAGCAGACTAAGCCATTTTTGTTGAAAAAGATAAACTTACAGGAGCTCCAGGAAGACCTTGTGGACCAGGATCTCCATCCAAACCCCGAGCACCCTGCAATGAAAGGAACGGGTCAAAGGACATACGATTAAGAATCATACTACAATACGCCAATTGTATTTTATGTTTTCATTTTATGTTTGTATTTTTGCATTATACTGTTTTTTAAAAGATCTAAAAGTACATCTATTAACTCTCACTGAAGGCAAATAAATAAGACAGCAGCTGCATAGCTTAGTTCCTCTACATTTGATGAAAATTGCCTGACAGTTGCTCAGGATTATTTGTGATACATTTTCATCTCCCAAACTTGGCTTTTCAGATTCTCCATAATTATGCGATATAATTACATAGAGATTTACTGCAATGGCAATCTTTCTTTACTGGTAGTGCCATATGCCAGATTTCAAAATTTACCAATGCAATCTAGGAACCCATTAGAGAAAAGTGATAATAATCACACTGTGAAAGTAAAGTTTGACAAAAGTCTCACTATTAAACGTACTAATATCTTTGCCTTGTTTCGGAATTGGAAGGATGAAGAAGAGTTGCAAATTCATATATTATGCAAAACAGTGTCCCTATAGAAAACTGTCATTCAACATTTAAACCTTCATTACTGGGCAGCAACACATCAATTTCTCTAAATACAGTTAATTGCTAAGCACCGCTATCTTTAACAAATTCCCTATGGCCTGATCATAACACTTGTGTGTTTGTCACCACAATCTCAGTGAACTGAACCAAAACATATTGTATTTTGTAGAATTTATGTGAACATTTTCCATAGGTGAGCACATTACGAGAAAAAGAAAAAAGAAGCAGTACTGCTGTGAAGAGAAAATGAGAGACTATCAAGAAGTTGTACTTCAGAGAAAGCCTATACACTTTTAATCTGACGGAGCTGCATTAATAAATGGTAAAGATAACAGCAAATAGCGTTTTCTATGAGCTTAAAAATAAGCATGCTGGTTACAATAATAGAGTTTCATTCTGGATCAATAAAAATTCAGAGTTAAGATGAACCCAATAAAGGACCATACTGAAGCAGAAAACAAGGGTTATAAAATTTTATCTTCTAACATTAAAAGATAACTTACTCATTACAGTATATCTCTTTAGTATTTTGCTATCTAGGCAACAAAAGGTAGAATAGGAGATTCTTTATGTTTTGGGTAATTTGTGAAACAGCAATATTCCATGCTGTAGAAATTTATCAAGAATACAGACACACATTATTTCTGTATTTGCCCACTATACAGAAGAGATTTTAAAAGGGATATTACATCCTAAACTGTAACAGTCATGGAGATTTTATTCTATTTTTGACTGATTAGCAGTTTCTGCATCTGCCTACTAGTGTGTGTATGAAGATGTACAGAAATACATTTCTATTCTGAATTAACCTTGGAATTTGATAGAATTCACTTATTCGAGAACAGCATTTCTCAACCTGGGGGTTGGGATCCCTGGGGGGCGGGGTCATGAGGGGGTGTCAAAGGGGTCGTCAAAGACTAGCAGAAAACACAGCATGAGGGTTCTGTGTGGGAAGTTTGGCCAATTCTATTATTGGTGGGGCTCAGAATGCTCTCTGATTGTGGGTGAACTATTAATCCCAGCAACTACAACTCCCAAATGTCAAGTCTATTTTCCCCAAAGTCCACCAGTGTTCACACTGGGGCATTTTGAGTATTCGTGCCTAGTTTGGTCCAGATCCATCATTGTTTGAGTCCACAGTGCTCTCTGGATGTAAGTGAACTACAACTCCAAAACTCAAGGTCAATGCCCACCAAACCTTTCCAAGTATTTTCTGTTGGTCATGGGAGTCCTGTGTGCCAAGTTTAGTTCAATTCCATCATTGGTGGAATTCAGAATGCTCTTAAATTGTAGGTTAACTATAAATCCCAGCAACTACAACTCCCTAATGACAAAATTAATCCCAACCCCAACAGTATTCAAATTTGGGCTTATTGGGTATTTGTGCCAAATTTTGTCCAGTGAATGAAAATACATCCTACATATCAGATATTTACATTACAATTCATAACAGTAGCAAAAGTACAGTTGTGAAGTAGCAATGAAACTAATTTTATGGTTGGGGGTCATCACAACATGAGGAACTGTATGAAGGAGTTGCGGCTTTAGGAAGGTTGAGAACCAGTGTTCTAGACACTCATTTGTTAATTTGTTCAGTGGGCAAGTAGAGGTTGAAATAGATTTCATCTTTGAATAATTCATGGTGGTTATGATTAGGCTAAGATAGAACATAGAAACATATACTTGACTCCTGACCTTAGAAAAATTATATTTTTGCATCCCAAATCATGGAGTTGGGCTTGTGTTCTCTATAGCTTCTCACATCTAAACAGCTGACTGGTGAGATTCATTTGGGTAGCCTTTTGCTTTCATTTGTATATCTCTATTTTGCACTAATTCCACTGATGCTGTCTCCTTATTCTTCATTTATTCCTATCTTGCATTACTTCTGAACATCCTAAACTGTGTTTAATGTATGAGATGGTGAGATAAAAAATCCTCAAACCAGTTAAATAAATTTTGGATGTTATCTTCATAGGGCTATGCTCCACAGCTGTGTAGTCACCCATGAAACAAATCTCTTTCAAAACAAACAACACAAAATATTTAAAGTGTGAAAAGTGTCATTTCTCTTACTTACTTTATCACCTTTGGATCCCATTATGCCGGTTATACCTCTTAACCCATGAGAGCCCTGAAATGCAAAATTGTAAGCATGTAATTTTCAGCTCTTGCTTTATAAGGTATAACAAGTTTCTTGTTCCCAGATAAATATATTCTAATAATAGTTAGAATTATTAAAATCCAAAGTCCATAAGTAGTGAATTTTATTGGGTTACAAACAAAATTATGTAAGCAGACATCTGCTTATACAAGAGGATCCTCTCTTGCTTGCCCCCTGCAGCCTTCCCTTCCCACACAATATCCCCTAAAGATTTCCTTAGATCTCTGGAACAGATGAGGGAAAGGGAAATCCATACTCCTAAGTATGTCATTCCATGGATAGATTGACGGATAGTTATTTGTATCCTGCTTTATTTCTTTCAAGGAAATAATAATAATAATAATAATAATAATAATAATAATAATAATAACTTGATTCTTATATCCACCATCTCCCCGAAGGGACTCGGGGCGTCTTACAGACAACACAAAGTGACTAAAAACAAACATTAAAAAGAAGCACAATTTAAAATAGAATAAAATAAAACACATACACATATAAAAGCATGAACTCAGACTCAATAAAGCTAAGGTCATCAACCAGTGGTGGTAAGCTTCTGTAAACATGCCCAAGCTGTAAACAATAGGAATGGAATAAGTACAAACAGCAACAATGGAGGAAAAGGCATAGGAGAAAGAGCAAGGATGTGTGACTAATGCACAGAACAACTAGGGACTAAGCATTCTCAAAAACGTGTTTGAAAAGAAACTCAAGAAGAAGGAATGGAGGGAGGGAGGCAGGGAGGAAGGCAGGGAGGGAGGTATGAGGGAAGGAAAAAAGAAGAGATGAAAGCTGGGGCGTAGCGGCCCCTCCAACACCAAGGCAAGACTGGATATATATATATGCCGGTATCTATATTAAAGTATATTAAAGTATGTATATTTGTTTGTTTGCTTGTACCCAAAGCCTGTTGCTAGGAAAGTGGCCCTCTGTGATGTCACTGGATTGACTGCTGCTAGGTGAAGGGTTGGCTGTTGCTAAGTGAGATTTATTTATTTATTATTTATTTACTCCATTTGTATACCGCATTTATCAGCCTGCGACGGCGACTCAATGCGGTTTACAGTAAAAAAGGGGAACACTGACAATATATAAGACGCACATACACAAACAACATACAAAGTCATCAACGCCTCAATTAGAATCAGATCCCGTTCTCATAGTCCTTTTTCGTTCCTTGTTCAATGCCGTCTTACTTAGTTGTCATTGCATAGTTGTCCAAACGCCTGCTCATAGAGCCACGTCTTAACCCTCCTCCGAAACACCAGCAACGAAGGGGCCTGCCTGATGTCCCCTGGAGGGTGTTCCATAGCCAAGGGGCCACCACTGAGAAGGCCCTGTCTCTTGTCCCTGCCAAACGTGCTTGTGACGAAGGCGGGACCGAGAGCAGGGCCTCCCCACATGATCTTAAAGTCCTCAGTCGTTCGTAAGGGGAGATACGTTCGGACAGGTAAGTTGGGGCCAGAACCGTGTAGGGCTTTATATGAACTGACATGTGTATGAGGGAAAAGGGAAGGGGAAGAAGGGATGAGGGGAGGGAAAGAGAAAGAAGAGATGAAAGCAGTGAGGCAATGTCCCTTCAACACCCAGGCAACACTGTGTGTGTGTAAAGTTGCCCTCTGAAAAAAGAGGAAAAAGGAAAGGAAAAGGGAAGAAGGAAGAGAGAGAAAGGAATGAAAAAGAGATAGGAAAATGAAAAGTTATGAGGAGAGGGAAGGAAAGAAAAAGTAAAACAGAATGAAAGCAAAGAGGCGGTGGCCTCTCCGACACCCAGCCAATGGCGGGTATATACACTAATAATGAACAAGAAGCAAAAAAAAATTAAAAATACTTTACTGGAGTGCCTTGAGTGCCAATTTCACCCATTCCTCCTTGGTCACCTTCTTCTCCCTAAAAAAGGGGGAAAAACAATTCATAAAAATCTGCAAGAGTTAACATCATGTGTTTACTTAAAACATCCTGTCATTTCATATGTATTTGACACAGAAAACCATATAAATGCTTCATACATTAATGTATTTGCACAGAAGGGATACCCATGTAATTAATTATCTTGTTTGACATTATTTTCAAACTAAGCTGTTATGAACTAAAGAAGAAAACTAGGATTCAGATAGATGTTAGAAGATGGTTTAAATAACTTGTAATAGCAGAAGTTATTATTTATTATTTCTTCTTTTAAAAAAAATGACCACATTGAGAATTACTCCTCTATTAACCGCTTCCTTCCAGAATAATTATAACTTATCACATGTCTATTTCTTCTTACCCTATGGCCTTGTTTTCCTGGTTCACCTGGTTCTCCTTGTGTTCCCTTGTGACCCTAAAACATAAAACCAAATCCCAGAGCATAATTATTTGAAAATGAAGTATTCAGCCAAGACTGCCTGCTGATTAATTCTGTGTAAAGACGTCTGGTTGGCTAACTTGGCTACTATCCAATTAGAAAAGTCCAACAACCTTAATTACTTCACATTTTGTTATGTATCATGCAAAGAAAAAGTGCTGTGAAAACATACACACTTGTACCTTGAAAAAATACAGTTTACAACTCTTGAATTATAATCTATTTCCATATCTCTTCCCCCTACTTCTTAAGAGACAAGCAAGAAATATTTTAGGCTAAATAAGAAATATTAATGCAGCGTTAAGAGTAAAATAGGGAAGATGGCTTCACCAAGGAACTTATCATGTAAAAATCAGCACAAGAGGGGAAAAAACAAGGAAAATGAGGGAAGTGCCAGCAGGGGTCTACAAGCAAGCAATATAATGTCTTCCAGTTGTGTGTACCTAGTGTTTGTTACAGGATTACAAGGAAATACTGATACCGCTGTACTGTAGAAGTAGACAAAAGACAGCATGTGGGCCATGTATATCACCCAAGCTGTTGTGCTTCCTTTGTCACTGCTCAAGAAGTTACTTCTGGTGATTTCCTTTTTAGTCATCAAAGTAGAGGCTGCTAGGAGCTATGGTTTTGTGATAAGCCGGGCATAGTGTCCCCAAACATTTTTTAAAAAAAATCCAGAAGTGGAGCTCTCAACACTTCCAAAGAAGCCCTTCTTTCAGTCCCACCACCATCTCAAACATGGTTGGTAGGCACGAGAGAGAGGGCCTCCTCGGTGGTGGCTCCCTGGCTCTAATATACCCTCCCTAAAGAAATTAGATTAGCCCCTCTCTTCAGGCCTTCCAGGTGAGTCTAAAAACATGGCTCTTTAGACAGGCCTTTGATCCTGAGTAATCCATGGCCAATGTGATGAATCACTGACAGTACTGGTTAACACTTTGATTGATTATTATGACAGGTTCCACTGCATTTTGGGAATTTCAAAATTTTTATAATTTTCATATTTTTATAATTTTATCAATGAGATTTTATGCGCTGTTAATCATACTTATGTCATTGTATTTATACTTATGCATTGTTGTCTTCATGTGACAACTTCTGTGAGCTGCCCTGAGTCCCTTTAGGGAGATAGTGGTGAGGTACAAATAAAGATTATGATGATTACTATTATCATAGTTTTTGTGCATTTCTGGGACTGCTGCAGCTCACAATGATGCAAAGGGGGTGACATGTCTCACATCTTCCAAAGCTGCCCTCCCTGGACTTTTCCAAATACCATAAGATTTTGTAAAGACTTAGCAGCCACTGAGCAGTATCTGTACTGCTTTTCTCAGGGTCAACAGTAATTTAACCCGAATAAATGCTTGTGTTTCTTAAACACCTACATTGCAGACACGGGGCACATCTACACCAATCACTTAGATCAGTTTGAAACCAATATTGAAGAATATATTTTCACTGTGCAGATGGTTAGATTGTAAATCACCAGATGGTGATTACATATATGCAGAGGCTGGCCCTAAGCTAATTCCTAGGTCTACAATATCCATTTCTTGACAGGCACAGAGACATCCAACTCCTCCCTCCGGCATCTGCATACGCACACCAGTGGAGTGCTTTGGGTGTCCAAACAGCAATTTGCATTCTTTGATGTCATCTTATGATATAGTTATACTACAGCATGTTGATGCACATTAAGAGCTTTATTTTGGGTTTCCCCGATTTTGCTTCTGTAGGATTACAAGACGTAAAGTATGCTGCAGTGCACTTTCACAGGGTGGACTGTCTAGTCGCCATGTTTTGGAGGTAGCCTGAAGCTACATTAAATGGTACAAATTCTTAATAGTGGTATCATGAAAGGAAGGAGAAACACTACACGGAGACATTGACAATCCCTTCAGCTTTGAAAAATATAGGTTCACAAAGATATACCAGCTATGAAGCAAATATGGAAACTTCAGAGAGTTCTGCTATCCAGTCACACATACAATATATTTAAGCAGACCTGCTCTCTCCTACCTTCATGCCCATTAGCCCAGCATATCCTGGTCGGCCTGGTAGACAAGCATTGGGACACTAAAAAAGAAGCCACGGAATTAATAAAAAAGAGAATATTGGATGTACTTGCTATGTTGATAAAAATGAGAATATTCTAAAACAAAATATTTTTCTCAAATGAATAAATGAATAAATAAATATCTTACCAGTGGATCTCCATCGTGAAGCCCAACTGTTCCCTGAAGTCAGTTAACAGGGGAGGAAAAGATAAAGCAACATGAACACACTGTTTTCCTTGCCCCAGGAAAATATTTCTATTTTGTTCTGAAGAAGGGGGAAAGAGTCCGCTGGGTTCATTGCATGTCACTATCTCAGTGGTTCAGTTATCTCTGACTTGACCATTATTTTTTCTCCTATGCAAAGACACATCAGCACACACAATTATTATTTTCTCATATGCAATAATTTCATAAGCACCGTAATCATTTTTTTCATGTCAGGAGTGACTTGAGAAACTGCAAGTCATTTCTGGTGTGAGAGAATTGGCTGTCTGCTAGGACATTGCCCAGAGGACGCCCTTATGGTTTTAATGTTTTACCATCCTTGTGAGAGGCTTCTCTCATGTCCCCGCATGGGAAGCTGGAGCTGACAGAAGGAGCTCATCCATGCTCTCCCATAATCAAATGAAGTCAATATATTTTCCAATATATTTTCCAAGATGGTTGGATAACAAGATAAAAGTCAAGATCATGCATGAAGAGACATAGATCCAGATATATAGCTATGTTTCCTGATGCTATTCCCCTTAAAAACTAACAAGGCATGTAGCCCACAATATGGTCATTTATAAGTTGCAAAAGAAAAGTGGGGTGAGTAATGATACTTTCAGTTTTCCTCCTGCAGCTGGAAGCACTATGATAGGCAACTCCAAGGACTCCATGTGAGAAGCTACAGGAAGATGGCAGGATCACCACCCACCCCCCACCCACACACACACAAACTTCCACCACACAAACATTCTTCATAAACATAGAAATGACTGTGGAGGTCTGTATGACTTGAAAGGTACACTTGGAAGGTGCAAATGTATCCACTAGAGTTTAGCTTTGGAACTTCTGTAGACATTAAGATCCATAAATGCTCAAGCACCACTATACTCCCTCCCTAATGAGGTCAGATCAGCTCCCTCCCTCCTGACCTTCAGAAAAAGGCTAAAGACGTGGATGTGGGATCAAGCATTCAGTCAATAACCCACTAGAGAATAATGGAATAGTGCAATGACAATTTGGAAAGGCCATGGATTACAATTTTGGTTAATGTGATTTTAATAAGTGTTTTTAAGCTCTTGATATGTTTTTAAAGTTTATTTTAAGATATTTGTGCATTTGTTTTTATGAATGTATGTTAACACGGCATTGAATCGTTGCCATATATGTAAGTTGTCTTGATTCCCTGCAGAGTTGAGAAAGGTGAGGTATAAATAGGGTAAATAAATAAATAATATACAATGGCATATTTGAGGTGGACAGAGGGAAAGGGTGTTGGAGTAGTTGGGAATTCTCCCTCTGTGAAATCATAATATTATTTGAGAAGCCATGGAAATGGCTAGTGGAAATTCTGGAGTATATTTTCCCCTGCTAATCTTTTACCTAAACATCTACTGTGACACTTCAGACTTTGGTACTAGCTCCAGAAGAAACGGCATCATTTTTGTCTTGAATTGGTATCCATGTATTAAAGGCTTAATAATTTAGCTGTGCACCAAGCTAGCTGGTTCGGACTAGAATACACTTTGAAATAGCTGGAAGAAGAGAAATCTTTTTTTCAAGCATCAATTATTTTAATAAATCTGGGCTAAACCTTTTAAACTTACCCTAGGGCCTGGAGGTCCTGGTACTCCTGGAGGGCCTCTTCTTCCAGGATCACCCTAAATAGTTTAAAGGCATCATTAATGTATATGATGGACCAAGGATATAAAAATCTTCCATCATGTTTTGTCCTCATCAAGTAGACGCTCAAAACAATCCATCACAAAATTGCTATATTTATTTATTGCATTTGGAGATCTCTTTGCAAAAAATGTTGGCAAAGGAGTTATACACACTTTTTCTTTGCACAAAAAAAGCTTTACAAATCATTTGCAAAAACAAGCCATTGAGTATGAAAAATCATTGATCAATATGAGCAAATATCTTGGCATCAGGATTTTTTTTTTACATTTGGTGTCTTTGCACAAACAAAGGCTAATATTCTTACACTGAACAATGAAACTGTTCTAGCCTATTATAGGCAAGGATAAGGAAATAATAAAGAAGAATCTAAGGTAAGTGATAGGAAAATGATTATAGTAATCAACATTACTTATCTACTTTGTTTCTTTCATCAAAGATAAACCATCCCAAAATAAGGATTTTTTGTGCTTCAGTCCTCATTCCTACAAAAACATCCTTAAGTTCAATGTGTCAGCCACAGCTGAATACAGACTTCCCAAACATTTATAAAACAGTGTACATGCAAATATAGCTCAGTAGTTTGTGGAAATAAGCAAAAAGGTACTTACAGATGGCCCAACTCTACCCACTTCTCCAGGAAGTCCTGCTATACCAGGAGGCCCCTGCATTGAAAAAAATCTCATGTTATTTGGAGAAATACTGTGATGCAAGGGATCGAAACTTTGCTAAACAGAGGAGTTGGCCCAGGAAGCGACTTGATCTAGTGATACTTTCTTTCAAGATGCAAATAAATAGGCCCACAATGATAAGATAAAACCCATCATGTCGCTTCACTGGAACACTTAGATAATTTGTGAAATTAACTATTGGTATGTGATTTAATTCTACTTACTGAAGATCCAGGTATTCCTTTTCCCTGAAAAAAGAAAGGCATAATGATGATCATGATGATGATGATGATTACTACATTTTCAGGTTTTACAGCCAATCTTTCACCTAGCAACACCCAGTTCAGTGACACCACAAAAAGCTAATCCAGTGACATCACAAAGTGCAATGAATGGATTGAATGAATTTGAGGTCTGGCTGAGGCATATTAAGGTCTGGAAAGGTTGAAGACACCATCCTAAAACAACATGGAAAACTGCATTATGGAGAACAAAGGAGGTGAAGAATGTGATGAGCTTTGGCAAGAAAGGTGCTGATAAGAACTACTAACCTGAGAACTTTGGTTGTGAACAACACATGTTTACATAGTCAAATTAAGCAACCTATTTTTTCTGGAATTGATGAGGCTCCAGAAGTTCTGAGCTGAATGGCAGAGGCTATCTAAGCTATCAAATAATAGATACCCAAAAGCTCTATATAAGAGACCCTTTTCCTTTTCAACCGTGTGTCAAATCTTCAGGAATGTACTTCTATCCACCCACCTTTCTTCTCCAACAGCAGGCCGGAATGGAGAGGACAGCGAGGATGAATGATGAATGTATGTGAGTGCATGTTGGAGTATATGTGATGCTTCCCCTTTGTCTATGTAACCAATATAGCTATTATAAAACCAGTACTGCTTTTATGTCTACTTCTTTCTCTGAAAGTGCTTGATGTACTCTCTCACTGAAAATGGTTTAAAGAACATTTTTAAGGTTCAAAAAGTATACGTGACAAAAAGGGCCAATTATTCACCTAGCAACAGCCTTTATGGTGCAGACAGACAAACATACTTGTGGAGATAGATAGATAGGCTCTGTGCATAATGAGTACCTTAAAAACAAAAGAACCAATGAACGAAATCACACCAAATTTGGCAACAAAATGTCTCACAACACAAGGAGTGACCATCACTCAAAAAATTATGATTTTGCCATTTGGGAGTTGTTGTTGCTGGGATTTATAGTTCACCTACAATCAAAGAGCATTCTGAACTCCATCAACAATGGAATTGAACCAAACTTGGCACACAGAACTCCCATGACCAACAGAAAATGCTGGAAGGGTTTGGTGGGCACTGACCTGAGTTTGGGAGTTGTAGTTCACCTACATCCAGAGAGCACTGTGGGCTCAAACTATGATGGATCTGAACCAAACTTGGCACAAGCACTCAATAAGCCCAAATATGAACACAAATGGAGTTTGGGGAAAATAGACCTTGACATTTGGGAGTTGCAGTCACTGGGATTCACAGTTCACCTACAATCAAAGAGCATTCTGAACCCCATGAACGACATAATTGGGGTAAACTTCCCACACAGAACCCCCATGACCAACAGAAAATACTTAAGTCCATCCAATCCAACTCCCTTCACTGGGGCAAGAAAACGTAATCAAAGTCCTCCTGACAAAGAGCCATCCAGCCATAAATATAGATAGATAGATATGATTCACACACAGAGAGAGATGGTATCATAGATTTGAAAGGGACCCTTAAAGAAGGACTATGATATGTTGCATGTTCTAGGGTGGGCAAACCAGACACTCTCCACATCAACACTGACAGAGAAACAGCAAGAAATACTCTTTACCCACAAGCATAAAGAAATTACATATATTAGAAACCAACACTTTTTCATTACTTTCTTTTCCAGATCAACAGACTGGGCCACAGCAACACGTGGCAGGTGACAGCTAGTGTGTGTGTGTGTGTATAACTAAGATCTTGCATTGGAGTTGTGCACCATAAATCTCCACATGTTGAGTTACATGCTAATAGTGCTATGCATCCTTTTGTTGAATGGTAAATATGCAACCCAGCACACACTCCAGTGTTCCTGCACCAGATGTGCATTGTGTGCACGGCACTAATAGGATACTAACCCATGAAACTTCATGCCTTAAAGATTCATTTTTAAATACAACTTTACAGAAAACACAGCTGCCCTGATTCCCTACTAAAATGCCATATTTGCATGCCTATGCCAGCTGAAACTGCATTGATGATGCTCTTATGCCCACAGACATGCTGCTCCACAGTTGGATCCCCTCACCACTACCAATCTGGCAGCATTCCAACATATTCTAAGCCATCTCCAACAATTGGCAAGGATTAAAATTGAACTTAGTTTAATTTTTTGCTGCATTAACAGCTCCTTTTCCACCAGAGTTTGGCTAATTTTACTGTTCCCCACAGATTATATCCATTATTTCTCTCCTAGTCTTAATAGTAAATAAAACATTTTCCCAAGTTTCAGTTCCACTACCAGAAGCAATTAACAGATGATTTGCACCACACCACAGTGGTATAGCATATATCTAGATCAATCTTCCAGGACTGAGCCATCATTGCATAGCTAGCAAGCCATTTCCACAGTTCCATCTTAGGCAAATAAAGAGGAGCCAATTTGCTGTGCTTTGCTACATACCAGTTCTGTACACATCCCTCTAACACAGGCATGAACAAACTTTTTAACTTGGGGGCCACATGATGGCCCAGAGTGGGGTGGGAGGGAGGGGGAGGCCAGAGGGGTTGGTGCAAGGTGAGGGTTTCACACATAGCAGCTTGCCTGGTCCATAGCCACACCCAGGAAGTTGTGCTCATCATCACTGGTCTCAGGCAGAGTCTCTTCCTGGCTTGCAGCTTGGCCTCCACTGCCATGGGACTCAGCTGCTCCTTGCCAGCACACTCCCCTTCTCCTGAGCCTCCACCCCTGGTGGCAAGAAGGGAAGCTCTTCCTCCTCCTCCACCACCACCACCCCCTGGGCATGCATCTGCCTARGGATCTCCTTCCCTTCCATGCTTCYCTTGTTGTTCTTCTTTCTGAGGGGGGACTTGCCCTTGAGKAAGGTGGAGGCGGCAGAGGAGGAAGAGGAGATGGAAGAGGAGCCTCCATTCTCATTGCCAGSKGTGGAGRCCTAGAAGTAGCATGCACCACTGAGGAGCACCTAAGTCCCATGGAGGTGGAGGCCAAGGTGCAGGCCAGGAAGAGGCTCTTCCTGGAGCTGGTGCTGCAGCTGTGTGTGACTTCCCTGGTCTTCTGTCAACAAGACAATGTGGGTGGGCTGCCATGTCCTCATGCTTATAGGAAGGTGAAAGAGGGAAGGGCCTGAGAAAAGAGCCCAAAGGGCCACATCCGGCCCCTAGGCCTGCGTTTACCCATACTTGCTTGTTGTATATCAAGCATCTAGATTTGTGTCGACATACATGTCTGTATGATTGCCAAGTTAACTTCATTATCATAGTTAGTAGAGTAAGCCCTACTTGTATCACACTATGGGTTTTCTCTCCCCCAGCAACACCATGCTGTGCCTTGTAACACACAATGTCACTATGCCACCATTGTTGCTCTTTGAAAATATCCATTGTTCTTGTCATGCTGTCTTTCCATGACCAGGATGCATTGAGCTACCTACCAGCACCATAACTGAGGGTGGTGTGCTGTACTTTGAGAGGGGCTATCTTTCTCTATTCTAAAATATTGCTGGTGTGATGGTTCACAGACTCAATAGATCTCTTTTAAAGGAGTTATACTGCACCCTTTCCCTTTGTATGTTCAACATTGTTAGGGGAGAAAAGAAAGCATCAAGGTGACTTTTCTCTGTTCAGTTGGCTGAAATTGCCAGCTATTGCAAGTTATTCTGAGCAATCATTCACCACATGCTTGGGTAAATAACTCCACTGGGAAACCAGAATCTCGAAGAAACTTATCATCAGCCATCTTTGCTTTACCTCTTCTTAAGACTACAGCAATTTGCTTTTATTATGGGTAAGGAAAACTGTGTGTAGGAATTACAGTTAACTGCTGTCTTTGGCATTTGTCTCACAATAATCACATGCTTTCCTATTTAGGTTTAGCTTCACATAGCCCCTAATTTTTGAGGACAAACTGTGGTCCAGAAATAATGTTGGTGTGATACGTGGAAAAGTTTTAAACAAGTAAGCTAGGGTTTGCCAGCAGTTATCTAAACTTCATTACACTAGTGCAGTGGTACTCAACCTGTGGGTCCCCAGGTGTTTTGGCCTACAACTCCCAGAAATCCCAGCCGGTTTACCAGCTGTTAGGTTTTCTGGGAGTTGAAGGCCAAAACATCTGGGGACCCACAGGTTGAGAATCGCTGCACTAGAGAAAAAAATCCACTTAAATTCCGGTTTCTGCCTCCTGCAGAATTCTGGGGTTTGTAGTTTACGGAAGAGCCTTTAACAGCTAAACTACACTAAACTACAAACGCCAGAATTCTGCAGGAGGCAGAAACCGGATTCTTATTGTATTTTTTATCTAGTGTGATGAAGGGGTAGAATGTTTGCCTCCTTATATTTAATACACACACATATATTTGCTCCGTCCCTTCTTATATTTATGGTATGAATATTTCTTGCAAGCCAGCTTGAAAGTATTATTTTGTTAAAAGCATTGCATAAATGTTGTAAAGCAGTGCTTTTGGGATGGGAAGATTAGCCGTTTACAAGAAACGTTGCCCAGGGGATCCCCGACTGTATTTAGTTAGTCTTCGAGGAGGTAATTGTGATGGTGGCGGCTGCAGTAGTTGTGATGATGACAGCTTTATCTTTATCAGGTTGAGAGTTCATGGTAGGGATTTGAACCTTAGTTTCCCAACTTACATTAACATATTTAACCTAGTACTCTTGTCCAAAATGCTTAGGACCAGCCATGTTTGGGGGGGGGGGAAGAGGATTTTGGAATACAGTGTGCCCTCACTTATTGCGGCGGTTCCATTGCAGGATCACCCACAATAAGTTCAATTCCGCAAAGTAGGGATGCCATATTAATTTTAATATTTATACATTATTTTATATATTGTTTTCTTACCCGCGCTTCCTTACCTGCCTCCCAGCCCATCCCAAGGGCATCTGCCTGCCTCGCTGGCCTCTGCAGATCCTCCAGAGCCACACAGGAAGCAGCAGGCCAAGGAGGCAGGCCTTCTCCACCCTAGCTCAGGCCACCACACTTCTGGGGTCCCTAGCTTCCACTGGATGTAAATATTTTATATTTTATATTAATATTTTCAAAAACCCACGAAACAGCAAGTCCGCTAAAAGTGAACCACAAAGTAGTGAGGGAACACATATCATGGAGATGAGACTGAAGTCTAAACATGAAACTGATTTTTTTTTCATGCATTGCCTTGAAGTGATTTTTTTACATACAGTATTTTTAATAATTTTGTGCATGAAACAAAATTTGTGTACACTGCACCATAAATGGAAAGCAAAGGTTTCACTATCTTGGTCACCCATGTCGACAGTTTTGAATTTCAGAATATTTCTAATTTAGTCATTCTGGATAATGTCCATTTGATCTCTCTCTCTCTCTCTCTCTCTCTCTCTCATTCTCTCTCTCCCTCTCCCTCTCTCTCTCTCCTGCCTTTCCCCAGTGAACTCAGGAAAAGTAAACAGCTGCAGCTTCCATTTGATAGATTACCCTTTCTCATTATTCACTTTTTCTATTTTGGCCACAGTATGATGTTCCCTGGCCACATGTGTCCTAGTCTGTATCTATGATATGTTGGATAGTATGGTACAGGCTTCTGTGTAGAGCTGAATGCCCATTTGGAAGAAATTCCCAACCAGTGGTAACAACTTTGTGTGTGTGTGCATGAGATGCTGTGGCAAGAAAAGGAAGTGAAGTGAAGCAAAATGATCTATTGCAAGTGTGAAACTCCATCCATGGAATTTGGATATTTACCTTCTGTTAGGTCAGTCTAAGTAATATTTTTAACCATCAAAGAGACTTGCTTTCAAAGGCTATCTCTTAATATTGAGTTACAAAGTCTAAGAAAAAAAATTAACCTTCTGTCTGATGAAAATGGGACTAAAATGTTTTTTTCTATTTTAGACAGATTGTAACTCCTCTCATTGATTATAAAAAAAACCTCCATTTTTTTTTACAGTTGTAGCAAACAGCAATCCATAGTATTGATTTCTAAGCAGATACCATGTAAAAATCTGTCACTTACAGGAAGTCCACGGCCTCCAGGCAACCCGGGTTCACCCTGCAAGATATACATTTATATTATTTTACAGATTCTAAATATAATGATATGTGAACAAAATAAATGCCTTTTGGGGGAGATGAGGATTTTGAGTAGATTTACATTGATGTTAGAATCCTGAATCAAAGGCTATCATTTTATTTCAGTAGCATAAAAGACTCCTGGACATAAGAAACTAGGGGTGGAGGGAATCCAGTAATGGGTTTTACTCTTTACCTTTTGTCCTTTTGGGCCAGCTGGGCCTGATGATCCATCAGGGCCTGTCAATCCCTAGAGAAATATGATAAAACATTTTAGTGCCATAAAAATGTCATTTTGTTTATTGTAAATATCTGTTTATAAAATGTCAAAACTAGATTAACCAAATGATACAGCAATACTAAAGGAAAACTGCCTATAATCTGAATAGGCAGTCTCCAATTAATGAACAAGAAAGGTTCTGTAGGCTTGTTCTTAAGTTGAATTTGCATGTAAGTCAGAACATGTACATTTTTTAAGTGTAGCTTCAGCCATACACACAAGCGCGTATATGACATACGCACACGCATGTATACGACATACACACACTTTGGATAGCATAGGAAAGGGGTAACACTGAGGTGGAATTTGTTTTGCTCTCTGTGCTCCTGTTCAGAAGATTTCATCTCACTTTCTGTCCCTGTGATGATTGAATTTTGGAAAATTTGGGCTTTCCTGGAAACAAGGATTGGATACAAAGCTTCAGTGGAGACCCCCTTTTCCTCATGACAATTCTTCCAGGCATGAATTGTCCTTCCTAGAGATAAATTGCTCTCACTTCCTGTTGCCTCACTCCCATTCTTAACTGTGAGTCAATTGTAAGTCGGATGTTTGTAACTTGGAGACTGCATGTATTCCTAGGCCTGCATCTAAAAGTTTCTGTAATCTAATACAATTACATCTTCAGTCATTCACTTAGATTTAATACTCTGGATCTAATCCTAAGAAAGTGGCATTAACAATATTGCAAATACATTTGTAATATACTTTCTAGAATCAAACCTCTGAAATGAATACTTGCCCAATATCTAGATTTTATGCTGTGATTCTACACTCCCATATAAAATCCAGATTATCTGGTTTAACTGGATTATGTGGCAGTGTAGACTCATAATATCCAGTTCAAAACAGATAATGTGGATTATCTACTTTGTTCATTTGGATTATATAGCAGTGTAGAAGGGGGTTAAATCAGAGGCCCGGCCACAAATGGTCAATAAAGAGACAGGTTAGGAGAGAAGAAATTAGAACTTATTATTTGCATAAAGGTTAGTAATGTGATGTTAGGCACAAAGCTAGTGAAATCTTACTGATTATTTTTGTAGGATTTGTTATACTTTCATTCAGTACTTGCATGTTGTTTTTTAGTTGGTTAATGTTCTATTTCCTGCATGCTTCCAATTGATCATTGTCCTATATCTTATATGCATATGTGTGGTTTCTATATGCATGATAAGCACTAGGCTTGTGCATTCTGGCTAAACTGTGATCTGTTTCAATTTCCTGGATTTTGCTGGTGGTCCCAATCCAGTTTTTGGGAGACTTCCGAATTCAGGAAGACAGAAATCCATTTTCGATCCAGGAAGCCGGAAGATTTGTTTTCTATCTGGCCATTGGTGGCAATGGCTAAGGTTCCCTTTCCCATTGTTTTAGGCATTGTTTGTCCTTATATCCTCGCTTCCTGGGATCCTTTCCCTTCTCTTTTTTAGTGGAAATCTGGGTTTAAAGAAAGGGGCAGAAGAAACCTCACTTTTAGTGATCCTTTTCCTTCTAGCGGCTGACTCCCTCCCAGCACTCAACATGTAACCGAAAGAAACCAAAAGCAGCCAGTTTTCGACAGCTACTATTCTGTTGCATGCCGTTACGGGCTTCTGAACAAGTCCAACAAATCAAAGGCAAATGCCCATAATAAATCTGCACATGTTTCCTACCAGGTGTTTGTCTGCATATTCTTGGTTTTTGTAACATTTATTTCTTTAGGACTTGTGTTTGGTCAGAGAAAAGGAGCCAGGCTTGGCAAAGACTAGAAGCTTTGGTTTTTTTTATATGGTCACAATCCATTCCTCCCTTGATGAGCGCTACAAGTTGTCGAAAATATTTGCTCATCTTTTGTGTCTAACTTATTACTCTCATGTTTATATTTAGAAATATTAATGCCCTGTCCTGTGCCAAAATATGTCTTGATGTCCAGCCTATCAATGCAGCAGCACTACCTTTACTCCCTGAGAAACCTATCCTAAGATCATCAGAACTCTCAATGGGTAGATTGAGAAGCAGGAGGAAATGGTGCAATGTGCTCCAAAGATTTCTGGACAGAATTCAGGAACCATCAAAAAGCAAGGAGGAACCAGTCAAAGTACCTGGTTGTCTGCTCCCTCTCCAGAAATAAGTCTCGGGTGGCCTATAGTTCCCCTATCCCACTGAAATTATCATTCAATTCAATCTTTTAGCATTGCAAATATGAAGCATTGAAAACTGACCATAACTAGAACTGCTGCATTTTATGTTTGCATTTCCTTGGTAACTTGCCTGCCCTCTCCCCTTTGGATGTCTAGGCACTATTTCTAATATGTTCAACTGAAATTTGGAGACTCAAGAAAAATGTCACACAAAAAATCCTATTCAGATAGGGCAATACAATAATCGTGATCCACCCGCCCCCAAAAGCTATGTCCCTGTTCTTTCAACTCAAAATAAACCAGATTGGAAGGAGGATTCAGTCATCCTACAAGCTGCCACTAATTTTATGCAGTCTTTTGGAGCAAGAGTTCCTCTGAATTAAACTGATTCTGATTGCTTGTCAAAGGGCTTGAGCAGCATGGAACAGCATGCATTCCAATATGCTTGCTTGGTTCTCACTGAGTAACCCTGACAGTCAGCAAAGGTCTGTTATGTAAGTATAGTACAAACCTTTTCTTAAGGTAGTGATTGGGATTATCTCCTGATTAATAAAATGTTATTTCCAGATGATTGGGGCAGCTGGAGAGTATGAAAACTCCACTCAGCTGGAGAACAAACAATTGAGTTTTCTATAGAGAATGAATTTTTTTTCATAGTGCTGGTTTCCATCTGCTATGAACCTCAATATCATCCCTCTCAAGGAACGTTTGCTCAAGCCCCAAGAGTGAAATTCTAACCTGTCTGGAATCCATAGAATGGCTATACTATCTCACTTCTCCAAGGTATATCTCACCATGCTCTCAGTTTAGCCCCTTGAAGATGAGTTGACTCATCCAATGAACAAAGAGATAAAGCTCCTTGGACTTTTCTTGTTTCAGATGGAGAAACGGGAGGCACATGAGCAGATCTCCACTTGCCCTCCATCACCTCCTCTCAACACCGCCCATGTGCTCCCCAAGTCCTCTCTGGAGAGTCTCTGATCTCACCAGAAAAGATTTGGAAAGGGGTCAAGACCTACAAGGGGAGAGAGATTTTGATCCAACATAGGTGAATAATTATTTTTTAAAAATATATCCCAGCTCATAGAAAAGCAAGATGCCAAGGAGAAAGTTTAATGTACCCCTCTCCCATACATGAAGTGCTGAATATTGCTGTTGTCCTCCCTCCTCCCCTGCCCCCTGGCCAAAGGAAAATTCAAATATACAGTTCGATAGTTGAGTGCCTGATCACACTTGACAAGCAGGTCTCTACTCATCCTTCCTGTACAGTAATATGAAAACTACAGTGGTGGCTTCTGTTAGCTGGTTTGGAATAATGTTCATGAAACATAGGCAAACATGCTTCCAAACATGTGTATGTAGAGGGATTGGTTTGACATAAACTAGGCCATTGTAAGAATATTAAGTGTCGGTGTTTAAAATTACTTAGCAGGGCCATAAAAAATAGATCAGGATGATGTCCCCCTCCCTCAAGATGGGCAAAGGGGCTGTGCCCCCTGAAACTGATTGGGCAAAACTGGACTACCAAGTTTCCAATATATTCAAATCTCCTCAGGAATTATCAACCAGAATTGTATCGAATGATCAAGCAGAAATACTTGTATTAAGACTGCGATTGCATTGAGCTTTCCGGGAATAACAAAAGATGCCTCATGCACATGTACTTGTTAGTAAGCTGCATGGAACACATGGAAGGCGCCTCTATCCACATATTATGCTTGTTTGTTGTTGTTGCTGTGTGACTTGGAGTCACTTCCGACCTATGGAGATCCTGAACAGAAAAGAATTGCTTTCTCTGAGGCTGAGAGTGTGTGGTGTGCCTAAGGTCACCCAGTAGGTTTTATAGCTGAGAAGAGATATGAACTCTGGTCCCCAGAGTTGTAGTCCAACAGTGACACCACCACACCATGCTGGCTCCTTCATTGTGCTTGCTTTCATAATTAAAGATGTTTCAATAATAATGGATGGAAAAAGCAATTTGCCCTCACCCCTCCCCCTCCCGCATATAGCTGGAGGGAAAAAAAACAAACAAAATTAATAGCAATTCACCTATGGACATCGCCTTACTTCCACCTTACAAATAGTTCTAAGGTCCATCGTAGATAAAGTAAGGTGCCAGATGCTGAATCATCCCAAAGCAATGTTCAGACATTGCCCTCCAGCCTGGCATGGACCAGTCTAATTAACCTTCCTCTGATAGATGTTTCTTTTCTACCTTGGCATTTCTTTTCCTCTTCTTATGGCCTTCTCCAAGCAAGCAAGAAAGCTTCAGCATGCCGCAAACTACATCTCTGCCTTATGCCAGTGATGTAGTGATAATAGCTTTGGGAGAAATGAGGCTGCTCCTATGAGCCTTTTTGCTCTTTGGAAGCATCCCTGTGGGATGATGTTATGATGATTAATGCCCACCTCATGGACAGAGATTCTGTTTAATCAATAAGTAAAATTCTACTCACATCAGCTCCTGGTACTCCTGGCGATCCAGGGACACCCGGCTTCCCTGGCTCACCATCTGGACCCTGGAGGAATGAATTGGACATATACAAATGAAGACAGTAGATGTATGGAGATATATGTAATCATAGCTTTGCATTTGTTGACATTTTAAAAGAAAAGCATGCCAAACATGATCAACTACTTACCGAAGGGCCTAGTGGACCATTAGGTCCTCTGTCTCCCTAATAAATAAAAGAGGGAAACAGTTAAAATGGGATAGTTTTTAAGTCTTGAGACAGCATTCACAATTTCACATGCAAAGGATTAACACATATATTAACAGAAGAAGCCTTAATTGCTAGGATTGCTAGTAGACAGGATTATTACTAAATTACTTTAATTTAATTTGCAGATTACAAGTGATAATTGCATCTAAAACCTTATTGCAAATTAGAAGGATCTCATTACGTGTCTAATGCAATTTATGCAAAAAATAAAGTTTAGTTCATGCCCCTAGTAGGCCCTGCAGGACGTGACTTGGAATGCTCATTGAGGATTCTTGGCACAGAAGGGCAGTAAATAATTTTTACCGCCGGTTAACGGCATCATAGAGAGCTGCCAAACACAAGTGTCCCATGTTAAATATACTCAAAAAGGACAGCATCACCATTGTATAACCATGGGGAAGAATTCCTCCTTGGTTGGCTATACAGTCTAGGGTCATGCACAAAATATACTTACGTCTATGCCATCAATGCCAGGAACTCCAGGAGGGCCCGGGGGGCCAGGGGGGCCTTGTGCTCCTGGGGGGCCTCTCTGGCAGGGAAATGAAAAGATCACTTTAAAGAGTGGAAGAGGAGAAATCATGCCGGAGGAAAGGAGTAAAAATTGAAAGCCTAGTAAATTGTTTTTGGCATTACAACCCCCAGAATCCCCGAGACAGACAGCATGCAAATGTAGTTCACAAAAGTAACTTTTTCCAGCTGTGGTTAGAAGCCACAAGTCAAGGTAAACCATGGATCCCACTGAATGACACCATCTTTGGCCAAATTTCATCTTTTTTCATCCATATTCTAAATAACGGTATCTCTTCTGCTAAAACGTGGTGCTTCCTAGATCTGACATCCTTTACTATATCCTTTGATACACCAAGGCATACATAATTCTCCAGCAGCATACTTATAGCTGTGCTGAGTGAAGAAGAACTGAATTTTTCTTCTCATTTAGTCTTTGTTGGTAAGAACAGCCAAGAGCTCATGTGGTTTAGTGGTTTGAGTGCTAGACTAGAACTCTGAAAGACCAAGAGTAGAATCTCTGCTCAGCCATGAAACCCAGTGAAAGGGTTGAGAAAAATCATACTAGCTCAGGACCATAGATGAAGCCAATGGCACAATTTCTCTGACTGAATCTTGCCAAGAAAGCACTGGATAGAGTCACCATAGGTTAGAATTGACTTGAAGGCACATCATAACACCAACAGCAACAATACCCATGGTTGAGTGGCAATTCCAACTCCAGTCTCTTAGAGTCATAGACCAGACACACAAAGTACTGCACCACAATGCCTCTGAACTTAAATTCCATATGATTCAGTGCATCAGCTCTAATTGAAACTAGTAATTGGATCCAGGTCCCAGTCTTGGTGTCTGCTAATGTTCTCTCTCTCTCTCTCTCTCTCTCTCTCTCTCTCTCTCTCTCTCATAATGCTACTGACTTCATCTGCCATGGTAGGTGTTGTGGTTCAACCAGATGAAGAGGAGGGGTTTTGGGGTTCAGGGTTGATGGTTCTGTAGGTGAGCAAACAGAGGAGTTTTTAGAGCAAGATGTTTCTGTAGCTGAAGGAGGGGGCTTGGAGTAAGATGCTGTTGCTGAGACAAAATGTGAAAGTGGGACTGTTTTGGAATCCAACAGGCAGGGAGGGGAGGATAACATTAGCTCATCCGAAGAAGCTTAGACAGAGATACCAGGCTGCTTCTGAAGAGGCAGAGATTCAGATGCAGAAAAATCCATGAGAAAGAGAGGCAGAAGCAGGCCTCTCAAGGTCAAAGGAATGGGTTCATGTTTTGCAGTCCTTAAATTACTGAGAGAACTGTTAGAATTTTAGATTGAGCAATGTCACTACTGGAGTGAAGAACTTCTGTTTTGTTTCTAGTTCATGCCTTAGTTCAAGATCCAAGATTTATGCTCAAGTTTTGCTCCTTGTTTTATGGATATACCTTTGGATCCATGCCCATGTTTTGCTCTATTTATTTATTTATTTTGGATTTACCTATTGCCTTTGAGACTTGCTTCCGTTATTAACTCTTGGATTTTTACCCTTATCAATAAACTGTTTATTACCATGTTTGGTTTCTTATTGAATGCTGTGAGTAACGTGAACTGCTGCTTGGGTGAAGCAGCAGGTTAGAAATAGGTATTTAAAATTTTTACCCAGAGAGATTTTTGGCCTCATTAAAGTACAAACCCTAGAATTCCACAGGGTGTTGCCATCACAACTGAAGTGGAGTATAGTGCTATAGCAGAATAATGTGATAAGTATCTAAGTCTCTGTTTCTTTCCGTGACATCCTTTTCTAGCTCTCTTCCTCTATTCCTCCACCCAGTTTTACTCACCCCATCTCTCCCATTTTCCGTCCCCTCTTCTTCCCTCCCTCCTTCCCCCTTCTTCCTTTCTCAAAATTCTTTTTATTTCTCTCTCTCCCTCCTCCCTCCACTTCTCTCATCCTCGCTATTCTAACTCATTCTTTCTCTCCATTCCATGCACACTTCACCAGGCACCACTACTAGTTACGTTTCCCTTCTTTTCCTTTTTTTTTAAACTTACAGAAAAGTTCTGGCATGTAAGTTCTTTTTGCACCTTTCTCTAAAGTGGTTTCAGGGATCACATGAGGTCTTTAAAACCCTCTGGAAAAGGATGATGCTCAGCACAAGGGCAGTTTCTCTCTGCAGGAACTCAATCTATTCTGTACATCTTGGCTTAGAAATATTTAGGTTCCCTCTGGACTATAGAACCCTGGGCTTGCAACTGGCTTTAGTCCAATGTTAGTGGTGTCACAGAGAGCTGCAGCTGGAAAGAATAGTGTTAAATATTCCCACATATTCTGGAGGTGAAAAGCTCCCCCCCCCAATCTGATTTGACTAATTTCCAAATTAAATAAAACCACAATTCCCAGGTTAATTCTCCCACTAACCTCCATCATCACCAATAAGCAATCTGCAAATAAGCATCAGTGTTCGTTGTACTTTGCCAACCAACTAGAACCAAGGTTATATCCATATAGTCAGATGTATCTTCTGAGAGACATCAGTAACCAATTGTGTTTTTTTAAAAAAAAATACAACCCATTATGGCCTTAAATTAAACTTTTGTTCTAGAAGAATTTTCTTTTTAAAAGAGCTACTCTGAATCCCATCCCAAAATACTACATTTTTGCAAATCCCCAGGTGTGCAAATGACTCATTTTTCAGAAACATTTTGGGGGAGGGCACTCCAATTCTACAACACAGTCTACTGTTTTCTCTAGGGTTTTTTATAACCAAATTCCGACTGCCAGGCAAGTTTAGCTTCACAATACGGTCTTTGTATGATGCTCTCCTCCACAAGGCCCCTTTTTTCTAGCCTCACACCTCTCGCAGAGAAGGTGAGCTGCACAGACACTGAAAGTATTTTCAAGCGCACTGATTTGCCAGTCACGTTCAGTCTGTGGGAAGCCTACTTTTAGCAGTAGTTCACACAGCTAGCATTTTCAAAGATGGGTTTTTCTTCAGATTGAAGAGCAGCTATCTTAGTCCGTAGCATAAACTGTTGCTTGCCAAAATAAATGTTAGTTCTCCAGGACATCACAGTACACGTCTGTTTCCTATGTAAAAACCATGAAAAATGTCTTTTCCCACCCCATTGTACCTGAAAATGAGTGTGGCATAGTAGTTTGAATGTTAGATTATGGTTCTAGAGATGGGGCTGGAATCACCATTCATGGAAACCCCCTTGGGCAAGCCATACTCTCTCAATATCAGAGAAACCCTCTCTGAATTAAGGTCTGATAGGTCCACTTTAGGGTCACCATAACTTGGAAAAAAACACAACTATATCTGGTAGATCAGACTTCCTTCTCACCGAAGGTATGGTTGCAATGATTTTAGGATTCCATGGGACATTTGTTTAATAGCCTCTATGAACTAACTTTAATTCACTCATCCTAATACCATACACTATGGACCACAGTCTAAGAATGTTTGCTAACCCTTGGTTCTGAACTCACAATTACTAACATGGGCAAGAATCTCCATCACATGCACACAATACAATTAGAAGTCCAACTTTTGTCACTCCAATAGTTGCTGTAATCATGGGATTAATTTAAGGGGTATTTAATCTGTGTTAATTTATCTTGTTTATGTGTCTATAACAAAAAGGAGATCAGAGATGAACAGAATAACTTTCATTGCTATTGTTTAACTTCATGTTGTTTCTGATTTATGGCAACCTCAAGGCAAACATATCATGGACTTTTCTTGGCAAGATTTTCAGAAGCAGCTGGTGATGGGGACTCTTGGGGGTCTCTCATTTATAGAGTCACCATAGGTCAAGGGCAGGACCTACAATGCTTCCTCTAAGGCTGAAAGTGTGTGACTTGCCCAAGTTCACCCAGTGGGTTTCCATGACTGAGCAGGGATTTGAAACCTGGCTTCCCAGAGTCCTAGTCCAACACTCAAACCACTACACCATGTATACAGAACTAAATGTTTCCCTCAAAGAACCAAGTGTACCAGATTTAAGGAGGGAAAAATTGTTCAACCATTTGGCATACAAGATTAGTGGGCTGGATCCAAAAGTATCCATATTTAAGAGCATTTAAGAGTAGAACCACTGAATAGACTGGGACTAACTTAAATTATTTCAGTTTATTTACTCCCAAGATCAATTAAATTTGGATTCAACCCACTGTGCAGGCCAAAGATACAATTACTCCTGAAATGAGGTCACTTAACAGCAAGGGTAACAGCTGCCCTCTACCTCTTATGTGACTAAATAGTATCTCTGCAATCCAAATTCAACCAAAGTACAGGAGATCCATCTAAATATGCATCTGCACTGCACAGATTTGATATCAGTTTAACTACATCATGTGGTATCTTGGGATCTGTAGTGCAATCCTTAGAATTCTTAGTGGGCAGTGCTAGAGTTCTCTACCAGCAAATTCTAAGGACTTCACCAAACTACAAATCTTAGGAGTCCTTAACATTGAAGCATGTCAGTTAGAACAGTATGAAACTGACATAATTGTGAAAGGCAGATATAAATATGAGCATTTTGTTTTCCACAGTAGAAACAGCTGATGGTCTTAAAACATTCAACAGCAGCTTCTGATACATTTTCTGACACAACATTAAAATTGTGCCCGCTGCCAAGAAAAGAAGGAAGAGAAAAGCAGAGAAGAATAGTGGGAAGAATGAAGAACAACATCTACCTCTTCCCTAATACCCGCAAGCAAATCAGCCAGTCAAACTTACCTTGATAATTGTCTGGCTTATCTGAAAAGAACCAAGAGAAAAGTCAGGCAAAACTTACTTGAGCCAAGCAAAGGCAAATGGCTTGCAGGAAAAGCCCTAGGAGGCAGGGAAACTTCTTGCCTGGAGCAGAGTTAGCCATAGAAACCTTCTCCGATCAATCAGTGGATGTCCAGCCACAGATGAATTTTAGGATGCAAAAGTACACCCCCACTATTTTCCCCCCAGGATTCTGCCAAAAATCCTAGAAAATCAGCGCCTGTTATTTTGCTAATGAATGGCAGTGAAGGGGGTAGCGGAGATTGGAGGAAACCTGATGGCTGGGAAAGGAGGGATTGAATGACACCAGATATTTTTAACCCTTTGCCCTGCAGATGGTTCTATGCACGTCCTAGTACTATGTGTATATATATTCACACATATACTTTGAATAAAACAGGCAGGCAAGGAGAACCCTCATAACATTATATGTATGTTTTCTTCCAATTTCTGTGTGGATAACTTTGGGAAGGTAATGTTTCAGACATTTTGGATTTCTACCCCAAATGTACTAAAAGTGTTAAGCACTGTTATTCAGTGACTTCCTTACCGAGCTCCTGGCTATAAGTTCACCGCAAGTTTCTCTTTGAGGTCGTTGAGGGTCACAATGAATCAGCATCCACTGGATTTCAAACTAAGGGGAAGAGAGACAGAAAACACTAATTTAATTGGTATATAGTCACCTTCTAGATAGTAACCAAGTCATGCTAAGCTAACCATGACATCACTGAAGTCTCTGGGTAATTAGTTCACGCTTATCCTTTTGTTAAGGATAACAACAGTTTTTCACCTCACAAAACCTCAGAGATTTTGCATTTTGTCCTTACTGTATACACAATATTGCAAGAGAGCAAAAGACCACCTGGTGATTTCATGGATAAGCCAGGAATTACACCCAGATAAGAATATATGCCATACCATTTCTAGTTTATGTTTATGATTGTGCAAGACAGTGAAGAAACCTCATTTGAAATGTGGTGTGATAAGACAGTTCTACAGATAACTTGGATGACCAAAAAAGACATCTATGAACAAATCAAGCCTGATCCCTCCTGAGAAGACAAAATAATAAACTGAAACTATCATTGTTGGACCACATTATGAGATGGCATGACTTCTTTAACAAATATGATCATGCTTGGCAAGATGGAAAAACATAGAAAAGAAGGGAGACAGACTCACTCAAGACAGCCACAGTCTTTAGTTTGGCAAATTTCAATAGGGTGACGAAGAAGTTTCTCTTTCATAGAGTTGTTGCTAGTTGAAGCTTATTTGACAGTAATGTTATTTGTTTGTTTGTTTTTAACTTACAGTGCTTATATTACACCCTTCTCATCCCAAAGGAGACTCAGGGCAGATCACAGAACACATATATGGCAAACATTCAATGCCAATTATATAATGACAAGACAGACAACAGATAGAGGTATATATAGGCTTTTTCTCATCATTCGGCATCTTTTGGAGGCTGTGCTCAGTTCCAGCCACAGGGGAGTGCTGTCGCTACATCTCCTTGCTGAAGAGCTTTGTTTGTTTGTAAATTTTCCTCTGAAAACTGTGCCTACAATACCTCCCCGCTTAATGCAGTTCCTATCCATCTACTCAAATTGCTCTTTTCAATCTGCTAGGTGGGCGGGGAGCTGGGCTGAAGGTCAGAAGCTCATCCAGACTTGGCTTTGAACTATCAACCTTTTGGTTGGCAAGATTTATTGCAGATGCAGCTGATGATTAACTTGCTGTGTTAAAGCCAGCCCATCAATTAACAATAACTTTAGATAAAAGGACAATTCTAGACCACAAAATATTGAAGAAAGATCAGATTAACTAGTTGATGTCTGGTTCTCTTAAACACAATGACACTAAATGGGCATTATCCATGTTTTCCCTCCAAATGATCACATGAGTATGTTAAACATCTAAAAGACTATTATACAACCTTGTCACATGGCTGTTGAGAACATACTGCTTCATCGGGGGGGGGGACTTTGCGCCCCACGGCCCGCATCACCCGGCTCTTGCTGAGGGCGATCACATGAGGGAAGTGTGAAGTGCACTGTTTCCCCCATAAATTCCACCATCTCTGCCCTCCTTCACCCACAGCCACTGTTGAGAGAGAAGCATTATACGATGCTTTCCCTCCAGTTGGAGGAGGGGCTTCCACAGGAAGCTCCCGTATGTTTTCTGCTGGGCAGCAGTCTCCACTAGTCCTCCAGCTGGAGTAGAAGCATTGTAGGATGCTTCCCAAGGTAAATGTGATAAGGTGGTGACAGATGGCCATCTAACCTTTGTTTTAAAATATTTAAGGAGGAGAAGCATCCAGTACCCAAGGTTTTAACTTTCTGTATCCTCCATGCCATTCTATGGTATCCTTCTACTGATAGTTACCATAAAACTGTGTTGGATGCCAAATGCAAATTCCTAGAATGCCTCTACAAGAAATTTTCCAGGTCCCCAATGGCACCTCTGTGGTAACTGCAAGAAGAAGTCATTCATTTCAACAGTCCACTATTATCCATGGTTTCTTGTTTCAGGAATGTCCATGGAACTCCATTGATATGGGGGTGATATTATACATTCCTGTAGTACCTGTTGTCTTCTGCCCAATAAAATAATCCACTGGAAAAATCCATTTTCTCTCTTTGGAGGAAAGGCTTGTTTAACTTACTACCCATCCTTTTCTTTCTATCTGATCACAGTGCTATTTGTGAAAACACTATATCAGCTATGGTAACAATATAGGGGAAGGCCAAAGATCGAGGACCTTTTCACATGGGGCAAAATGCTGTTTTGCCACTTTATTTCGCGGCTTGAAGTGGCTTGCAGTGCACCATCACATGAAGCACAACAGGCCCCGTCCACTTTCTTCCCAAAGTGGAGGCAAAGTGCCAAAAGGAGCTATCCACACTTTCCTCTCCAAATCCTCGTGTGATGGCAGAAAGGGAGGCAGGGCAACTCACGTTGCTGCCCTTTCTGCCAACTGTTGAGGGGAGAGGAAGGGTACCAAATCACCCTCTCCCATCCCTTCCGTGTGATGAGGGGAGGAGAGAGGGCATGTGGGACACCACTAGCCGCCCCACGCACCTTCCTTTTTGCCAACGATTGCCTGTGCTACAGTACTTCCCAAAAGTACCATGTAAAGAGGTACCTAGTTTCTTTCAATGCTCTACAAGAAAAGCTTATGCCTCCCAGGAACTCTGTGATCATTTTCTGACCTAAGTTTTTCCCATGTGGATCATTCCGAAACACTGGATATGTAACATTTCAAAACTTCTTGACATCATCTCTGCTCCTTGTCATGACATCTCACATCATATATGCCACCCTTGTCATATCATTTTCTATCTTTAAACTTGCTCCTAGGCTAAGCTTTTAATGCCCAGAAGCCCAGTCCTTGTTTCTTTTCAGTCATTCTGAGAAGTATCATAGTTTGTCTCAGCCCTTAAATAGTACTGACACATTTATATCTACATCATTCTTACAATCAATCACACGTTGAAGTCTGAACTCCTTTAAGTGGATATGAAAAATTTATTCCCAACACATATTTGCTTTTTCAGAAACATTTCACCATTTTTTGTCTCAAGCCTCTTATGGTCAATGTGCTTATGTTTTCATTTTCTCCGTATGTTCAAGCATTTCAAGATTTCAAGTCTTTAGTCTTTATTTGCTTCCCCAATATTACATTCCCTCCATATTCTGATTTACATATGTAAATTAAATTTACATATGTAAATCTTTTCATATTACTTTCAACTACCATTGAAATGAACAGCATTTATTTCAATTTATGTGTGCATTCAGAATAAGAAGTGTATATTGCACTTTCTTTTGCATCCTCAAAAGTCATTTGCAATTCTCAATTCCATTCTCAGAAATCTTCAGACTGGCAGGCAGTAAAACAAATGCATGTCTATGTTTTCCAAGATGTTATTATCAGATTATATTTATGGGTGCATCTACACAGTAGAATTAATGCAGCTTGACACGACTTTAACTGCAGTGGCTCAATGCTATGGAATCATGGGGTTTGTACTTTGGTGAGGCACCAGCACTCTTTGGCAGAGAAGATTAAAGTCCTTGTAAGACTACAACTCTTATGATTCCATAGCACTGAGCCATGGCAATGAAAGTTGTGTCAAATTTCATTAATTCTACAGTGTAGATACAGCCTACGCGATTTAAACAATTTGCATGTATTTATTTAAAATGCCTGAGATTGTCTTACTACCTCATCAGACAGCTGGCGGCAGGAGGTGGCAGTGCTCCGCTTCGTCATGGGGCATGGGGACTGGCACTCCATGCCTCGCATCACCCGGATCCATGGGAGGGTGATCAAATGGGGGAAGCGCGAGTACATGTGATGCACGACGCTTCTCCCTACAGAGTTAATGACAACACAGGAAGCCTCTTCTGTTGTTGCAGCAGCAGCACACCAGTTCCATCCTCCTTCACCCACGGAGCCAACACAATGTCGTCTGATGGGAACCGGCCAGCTCCATGGGTGACCGGGGCTAGATAGATGTATGCCACTGATTTTAGCCCCATCACAGCTGACCTCCAGCTGGAGCGGTCAAGGGCCAGGGCTTCCCAGTTTTGACTATGCCAGAGTTATTAAGGTTGGCTTTGAGCCCATCTTTAAATCTCTTTTCCTGCCCGCCAACATTCCATTTTCAGTATATCAAACTCATAGGGAGAATATTCAAGTTTCCATATTTTGTCCATTCCATATTTTGTCCATTTCCATATTTTGTCCTATGCTCCAGAAATTCCATGAGACAGCAGTGGATCTCAATGCAAAACATGCACCCCTGCTTTGCAATTTCATAGATGGGCATGAAATGGGTTTCCAAAAGAGGGCTGCCTGGAAAGCACGAGAGGTTATGTATCTTCCTCTTTCCCTCTCTTCTTTTCACAGCATATAGATGCCACAGGACCTTGAGTTTCATTTCAGTTCCCCACAGTGTCTGCACAGTTTTCATGAAAGAGGAGGAAAAGTAATATTTGTCCCCCAGAGGAAACTGCCATCTGTAGTCTTCCTGCTCCCTTTCACCAAATGCTTCAGATACGAATGTCAAATGCTTTCTCCCATCATTTACATTTCCTATTCAGGGCGTTAGTGGGCTTCATTGGTTGTAATGCCACCTGGTGGGTATTTCTAATGGGTTCAAGGGTATCCAGATCTTATATTTCCGTAAATGAATAGGAGCTCTTGCCATGAGCTTCTTCCTTCTTTTTATGGAAAGAGCTTTATGATCTCCATGATGGAGATCGGCATTCACAAGTGAGCTAGTCAGTCTTTCATGAACAGATGCAGCATTTGAAACCATTGCTGTACTCATTCTGCAAGGGATATTATGTTGTTCTGATAAACTTAAAAGAACAAATAAGACGGGCTCTCTAGAAGAGAACGCTTTTTTAAAAAGGCAGAGTGGAGATAACAGAAAAGCTTGCCAGCCAGCATCCACGAGCAAAGTCTTCAGAAGCTTGTGGCAAATAATTGCTATGGTCAACAAACCATTTCAGCCAAAGTACTTGGCTGCCTTCCAGTTTAGTCCCATTAAGATCATTTCATGTCTAAGATTAATCAAATTGCAATAACGCTAAAGCTGTTTCCTTGATCTGCAGGCAGACAAG